GTGTCGGAGCGGGACCAACGCTCGCTACCGTTAAACCAACGCTAAAGCAACGCCGGCTTCAGCGGTGCACCGCTAAGGCAACGCCCGTGTTTTCGATTTGTTTCCCATTTTGTGCGCGGTGACGAAATTCGGCCCCCTCTCCCTACCGTTCAAGGAACGCTCCAGCAAAGTTCTGGCTGTGAGACCGGGCCTTAACCCTACGTGGCTAATTAGGTTAAAGAAACAAAAAATTATGTTTGCAAAGACATGCACAAATACCTTATTCACATCTACAATCGTTATATATGTCCCATCTTTGTGAAATTTCTTACTCTTCCAATCTTGATAATAATGATAATAATAATAATCATAGTAATAATAATCATAACAATAATACTAGTAATAGTCACATTTGTTTATTGGCGCCTAATATTAAATTTCTAAGCGCTTTACATTGAAATTATTATTACCCGGTCGATGGATTCACTTGCTAATCCAGTGATGGTATTCCGTATTAAGCGCTATATAGATCCAGGGCCCTGTGTCAACAAACCTGTTATCAATAACAAAAAATTAAAACAAATGCTGAATTCATATGTCAAATTAGCTCCCAGCCAATCAAGGACCACGATTTAAATAGCTCACAACAGTTATTGTAACTTGATATTGATAACAAAAAGAAACGGGGCCCAGATTGATTGTGAGATAACTAGGCGTTGTTGCATGCGCCTGTAATCCAGTTATGGAAGTTACAAACTGATTCAGCCGAGGACGCAGGTTCAAAACTGAGTCACGTCTTTCGGATGGTGGCGTTTAAAGGTCAGTCCCCAGACTTAATTCATCACATCTGATTGATTGATACACGTCTTAAAAAACCCAATACACACAAACACACACATATAGTGAGATATGGTATATTTGTGTAACGATTTCATCCCAGATCCGGACCTATCTTGGCTTGTCCATTGTTGGCTGCCTCGCGGGGTTAACACTCTGTGCAATGCATATTTTTGCAGCTATTTCCGAGGAATTTAGTAATATCGACTATTACTGGGAATGCCAGCCCGGCGGAATAAATTCCTGGATTTTCAACTGCGCTAAATCAAAGGTAAGCAAGATAAGAAGGTTAGGTTATTCATCGAAAATATAAAACCCACTACCCTAGGATTATCGTACGCTAACCTTACCGATTGAGCCAATGATAAACCTAACTCATAATAATAATAATAATGATAATAATAATAATCTTTTAAAGTCCACTCCAAATTTTATTAAACCGAAACGGAAATTCTTTATGCCCAATTGATCGTGAGCCCGGCAGCGAATTTTTTTTTCCCAAACAGGTTTACCTATGAGAGTAAAATCGTGCCTCCTGATTGGTTCAGAGGTATACGCGTCATGAATATTCACGAGCTGAGTTCACAGCACTGTGGCTGAGCTGCAGTACCTAGTATATGTATTACGCATGCGCGTGGACTTCAGTTTTGCTGGCCATTTAGGTGTACAAAATGTATGTGAGCTAGCTGTGGTGCGAGGGGATTTTTATTGGGGGAAGGGGGGGGGGGGTCTGTTTGTTTTTGAACATTTCTGGTTATTCTGGTGCTTGGTTTATATAGTTTTACACTGAGGATTTTTTTTCTCAAAGAGTTCACTTACAGTACACACACTAATATTCCAATTTCACACATAGGCTATACATACAAACACTATCTTTCTCTCTCTCTCTCTCTCTTTCTCTCTCTCTCTCGCTCTCTCTCTCTCTCTCTCTCTATAAACACACACACCCACCCACCCTCATGTATTTACAAACACATAAGCAACAAATGCACACACTAGCTGTCAAGAATACACAATAGACACACACAAGGGGTATGAATTATCTTATCAGGATGGTCCGACATGAGATGGTTGGATGTGGGTCAAAGCCACTGTGTTGCTCCGAGCATGATATCTTGACAAACATTTAATATTATCACCCGTAACTGAAACCAACACACAATTAATATCACGGTATTAGTCTCTTTTTTGTTCCACCAAGCTAATTTTTGCACCTTGCACAAATGCACTTCTCAACATGAAATATTTCACTAAATTTGTTTTGTTATTTTCACTCAAAATTAATTCAGCCATGCTCACTTTTAATCACTTCACTTATATCTTGTTTAACATTGAATACAATGCAGTTGCATGGGTTGTTCTTTTATTTTGTTAACTCGGCAGAGGCCACGGTCATGTTCAAGCATTTACGCTTACGACATGTGGTCTCCTGCTTTTTCCTTTTGTATGAAACTTTTATTTTAACTAGAAACAAATTTTGTCAAACTTACATGTTATTCATTATATTTATTTGTATGTTTCTTTGTATTAATATGAAAAAGTGGAAATAAAACAAAACAAACAAACATATCAGTGGTTCTGGTTCCTTTGTGACAGATGAACCTGGCCAAAGAAAACAAAGGACATAAAGTAATATATACAGGCTCTACACACATGCCAAAGACAAGCTTTTATTATTAATATGCATACCAAGTGCACATTACACTGATTCATCTCTTATTTAAATATGAATATCTGACTAAGTCCTTTTCAATCTTTATATCTTCAAACTTCTTTTCTCAAGATTATCTTACTTAAATCAGAATCAAAACAATATTTAAAGGACATCCATTTCATTGCATTAATTTGAGCTTTCAACAATAAATACAAACAGCAGGTTCATAACCTTTGACCTACTTTCATGAATTTAAACTTGATATGACATGCACAGGATATGATTTTACATTTTCTGTTATTAAGATACAATCCCCACACACATTTATTTCACTGCCTCTGTCAACTAAATTTGAGACTCCATATAAATTATATTGCATGCATGTGTCACTGCTTTTGAGACTAATTCAGAATACATAATAACATAACCTACTGACACTATATACTGACAATTTCAAAGCATTAAAATAAAAATGGGATGGGCCGATTTACAATTTCACAATAATATTGTGGTACTTACATAAAGACTTGTATGGTTCTTGCAGAAGAAATCGGTATTCTCTTCTTTAGAGCGACCAAAATTGCAGAGAGTTGTACTTGTAGACTCCGCCATAATACTATAGCTCATGTAAAAGTTATAACTTAGAGCCAATCACTGCGCATGCATATCCATGCATGCAGTGTATAGCCTACGTACTATAGCTGCGCTGCATCAACGAACTCAAACTTGGATTTCGATGAGCTGCATGAGCAGCTTCGCCTGGTGTCACGCGCATGCGTAATACTACTAGTATCTTTCAGCTCAGTCATGAATATTCATGATGCGTATACCTCTGAACCAATCAGGAGGCAGGATTTTACTCTCGTAGGTAAACCTGTTTGGGAAAAAAAAAATTCGCAGCCCGGCAGCCACTGAGCAGCGCCAGATCGACGTTGCTCTATCCCTTATTGTTGAACGCCAAACAAGGTAGCAATAACTCCCGTCTTTTAACCACGAGATGAGAGGGATTGATAGTCTGTTTAAAAGATGTACTGACCTCAATTAGTTTCAAATTATATTGAGCTCATTACTTTTTGTATAATTATATTATGACAAATTGAAATCAATTTTATCTTGGAACATTTGTAATCTTGTTCCTGGGATATCGACAGTAACCTGAAGACATATTGAACTTAAAATATTATTTATTTATCATTATGCCTTGATAGGGACTGCGCGGGTGCATATTGTGCACCATCCAGCTTCTTCCACTCATAAAGGTGTACATTTTAATAAGCCGCTTTTAAAATATACTGCAGATCAGCACCCTCTGCCAAACACGCGGAGGTACATGTTCAAATCTACACCCCAATTGTACCTTTATTTCTTAGTGTGTGGGGGTAGTACTGTGAATTTTAGTGAATAACAATCCCTACCTCCCGAAAGGTTTGATTTAACGTTAATGAAATACACCTCATATCGCCAAATTTTATCGAAAATCTATGAATAAACCAGATTACTAGATAAATAATCCCAAGAGTTCGTAACAAAATGCTAGCGATCGACACTTCGTCCTTGTATGTCATATTTTCACAAATGTACATGTAAAAACAAAGGCTCTATTATCTCTAGGACCATTTTTGAATTAAATGTGATTAAGATGCATTCAATTTACTCGGCCTTTCATGAATATGGGTAAATGCTTTCATGAAAGTTCGTGTAACCCAACAAAACGACCCGACGCGAGAACAAGTTGAACGAAGTAAGCCGACAAGTTTATTCCTTTTTTCCAGTTTATCGTTATTTTTTATATCGATCATTATCATTATTGGCTAATCCTGACCATAGATTTAGAGAGATAGTTGTGACACGCACATGCGTGTGCACTCAAGGTTGAATTCATTGAGCGCTAAGTAGTTCCCGCCTACATACAATCTCGATGATGAGAACTATATTTGTGTTAATTTTCAGCGCTCCATGAATTGAACATTGAATGCGTGCGCGCGTCACAACCGGACAGAACTAACTATTTTTACGCTATGGGACTAACAAACCATTAGACTCATAATGTATATTTATGTCTACGTATAGGCCGCAAGGCAGGTGGTGGACGCCCTCATAGCGACTATTGCGTTGATCCTCTCAATTTCATGCATCGTTTCGGCATCGTTTGGTTGCGCTGCTACATGTTGTGCCAGCCAGGGGCGTACGCAGGATTTTTTCAAGGGGGGCGTTTTAAAATCGGGCCCAAAATTTCGCAACGACTCAGCCAGCCGCTGAATAAGCGGGGGGGGGGGGGGGGTTAGGGTTAGAGGACATTTTTTTTTCTTTTTTTTCTGGTCTCGCAATTTGGAAATTTGACATTTTTCTTTGTTGGGGGGGGGGGGGGGTAAGGTCACCTCTTTTAGGTCAGCCATGGGTATAATTTTTTTTTTTAATAATTAAAAAAAAAAGGGGAGGGGGGGTTTTAGGGGGGTTACACACATAAAAATACCAAAGGGGGGATCAAACCCCTAACCCCCCCCCCCCTGCGTACGCCCCTGGTGCCAGCTGCTGTAAGGGATGTGGCTGCGAAGAGGAAGGCTGCTGTCAAGGGTGTGCTCTACCGCCTGAGCCTGCCAAGGTAGGTCATAAGGTATGTCCTCATCAGCTCGAGATAGCCAAATATCGTGATATTTCAACTATCCCGATCGTTAATTATCCAGTTAATTTGCGTCTTCATCAGCCCGAAGTTGCAATTAGCGGGATATGTGGTCGAGACAATCATCCTAAGATATCTAGGGCTAATTTGCAAAATATCCTGCTATTTGTCCGGACAGTCTCACACTATGCTCGAACGCTGAGCAAAATATCTCGAGCTTATTTCTCGAGGTCGAGTCTCGAGCTGTTGAGGACGCGATTTTTAACTTCGGGATTATTTCCCAAATCAAAAATAGCGGGCTATTTGGCAATCTCGAGCTGATGAAGCCATGCCTATTAAAGTCAGGAAATTGATCCTCTTCATGTTTATTTATTTGTTTATTCCGCATATTGAAATCAATATGATTAATCTGGTCTTCAATCAAGCCCTGTAATATGCAACAAATATAAACATAAATGAAAAACATATTTGTAGAGTGCTTGGCTCAAATTCTTTGCTAGTTGATTTTATGTATACGAAGCTTAAAAATGCGATCCCAAAAATGTAGATCGAAAGAATTCAAGATGTTAATTACGCACATGACGATAAAACAAATTCACAATTCGAAGGCGACTTATACGAAATAAGAACACTTGATTTTATAAGACTATCTTCAATGAAATCTAGCCATTTCTATAGCCTATTGTGTGACTTTAAGAAAAGAGAACCAGCTGTATTAACATTTTGGGAAGGTAAACTGAACCTTGTCATTGATTTTGATTGGAGAGATACATTAAAATTTAAGTTTAAGACATTGAAAAACAATAAAATAAAACAACTCAACTTTAAGACATTTCATAGGATTTTACCCTTTAGATACAATCTGTGCAAATGGAAAATTGTAAATGAAAACCTTTGCATTTTTTGTAAAACAGCAGAATCTTTCGTTCATGTTCTTTTAGAGTGCCCGAGCGTAAAGCTTTTCTGGAAACGTATTGTGGAATTGATTGAATTGAACTTTAAAGAAAAAATTATATTAAACGAAGAATTATTAATTGCTGGTTTTGATTTCAAACATGCAAATGGAGCAGATATAAATACAATCGTTGCATATGCTCAATACGCAATCTATTTGATGTATATGTTAAATTATTTTCAAGGTAAACCATACAACAGCTTTTTCATATGGCATGTTTTTAAATACGAGTTACTCTTGGATAACATCTCGGATGTTGTTTCAGGGGCTCTCGGGACATAGTATTTTTTTTTTGGAGAGTTTTTGAGAGCTTTTGAAATAGCATCTGGGAACTAAGGAAAATCTTCGGGGATATTTTATATCACTGAAGATTTTCTCTTAATAGTTTAAGAAAATACTTAAAGTGAATGAAAAATTTTGTTATGATGTAATGATTTGTGTGTTGGTTATTTTTGTAAATGAATAAAGTACCTCTGACAAGAGGAAAAAAAAAATAAATAAATAAATAAACATAAATGAATTACAAACAAAGACCCCTTTACAAATCGACAAAAATTTCGAGGGCATCTTACCCCTAACCCTCTCTAAATAAAAGCAACAAATGCCCCTAAGCATACACATTTCTCTGTGTGTTATGAGACATACTAATAGTAGCTCTGTGGCCTAGTTATGTATATATTTCGTTCCAGTTCTTTTCCGGGGGGGGGGGGTTACCCCTTTTAAGCCTTGTACAGGATATGACGCTGCTATAACAGTAGGGACCTCCGGAACAGCGGAAATAATACCGATGAGGCTCTGAAATTAGAAGATATCGTCACTATCATTAACGCCTCGTTCAGATATGACGAGATAAACCGTTTTTTTTTTTAAGTGATGTAATAAAATAAAAAGTTTTATGCCTACCAAATTAGTTTTTCTGAATATTGTATTGGCCTCTTTCGTCAATATGCAATAAATATAAACTTGAATAACCTTGCACATGAAATTGAAATAATTGTTCTAACATCTTTTCATGAACGATTATGAAAATACGAATTACCCTGGAGAGTTTATTCCTCTTCCCAAAACTTTATTGTTCAATCTCTATGACTCTTCGTAGATTGATTGATCAATAAATAGAACAAGTTCTGAGAAGCTAATTTACACTTTATCTATCGAGAACGATCTGTATTGTCACAATTAGTTCCTGAAAAGACGTAAAATAAAACATTTCAACTTTATGAGCAACAGTGTACATTACAAATGTCCATTTCTTCGGATTTCGCTCGGTTAAAATGTTTTGTTCAAATGAAATTTGACATATCGAACGATTAACCCTTTTTTCCCTGGTACTTTTTCAGCCCCAAAGAACATCATGGAACAAGGAAGGTATGTGTTATAAGCTACTGTTATATGCTACTGTTATAGGCTACTGAGATTTCATGCACCGCTGTTCGACATATGTGAGGACTTTGATAATAGCTAAACAGTAGGCAAAATTTAATAAAACATTTTCGTAATATAATCAAATTTAATGCAAACAAATTTTGTTAAACGGGAAGTTAATCCTACAATTAAATCGGATTTAATTTAAACAGAAAAATTGGAGAAACAATTCGGTGAAAGTTTGAGAAAAATCAGACAACAAAAAAGAAAGTTATGATTCTTTCAAAATCGTGAGAATTATGGAATCTTTGAGACTAATTGGCAAAGCAGTTGTCATCCCCTCACAATTCATCACTAATTTGAATGACAGAATGACCCAAAATCTCAATTTATTTTAATGTTATTGGAATAGTAGACCTATCCTATATGGGATGCATGAAAGAACATGATATCAAAATGGAATTTAATAACATTTCTTGCTTTCAACAAAAAGTAAAAGGTAAGTGGCTGACATATTAATAGACCGCGTTGCCAAATTGACTCACAGATTTGATGTAATTCATGAAAAGTTAAGGATTTATAACCTTCTTATTTATTATCAGATTTTTCTCAAACCTTCATTGCTTGTCCTACCTTACAATACGAAATGTATGCAATTCATCTTCTGACTATTGGTATACCATATTCGTCACAAGTAATTGAACAAATTTGTAACGGTCGAGCCGTTTCACAAAGATTTGCGCATTAAATTTCATTAAATTACGAAAATGGCCTTTGGCACACATATCAATCTCAAATAGAGCTCAAGACGCCTACAAAACCCTGCAAGGCCTAGGTGTGCTAAGGCGATAAAAGCAATCAAGGAACAAACTCCTACCAAGTCTCCATTTGGAACACCCGGGCAAACAGTGTGAAATACAGATCAATGTCTCACCAAAGGACATTTCGTGCTGCGGCGCGAATCGAACCCCGAACCATATGATATATTACCCCCAACACGTCTAATTATGTGGTGGTATTGTAAAATCACCTTTATCAGGTTTATTTTAGTTAACACATATTGAATGTCCTAAAATGCAAATTTTTGCTTGTTTAATAGAGATGTCAGCTCAGTACTTTGGTATATTCAGCCATTATTCAATAAGTTCGCATTGCATTTAAGATTTGCTATGCCAAAGGATAACATTATATCTTTCGCTCGAATTAATGATGATACAGTTTCAAAACTATAAAACATGGTTTGTACAGTTAGCGAACAAAGTCAAAATATTCCCCTCTTTGCCAATCTTTTCAAATATTAACTACATAGTTTTTCTCTCTTTTTAAAACGATCGCAAAGACTTAAAAAAAAGTTAACCTAAGGCCGTTTCAATAGTCATGACTGTTCATCACCTATTCAAGTATTGAAATATATACAAAAAGGGAAGTCCGAACGTAACTTATATCAGTTAATGTTCTTGAAATTACCTTTAAGTTAATTTTTTTTCATCTGTGAGATTTGTTTTTCTTTCTTTTGTGCACTTTTATGACTTTCAAGTTCATCAACAAGCCAGAATCCAACAAGGCCACTCCCCCGCCAAGGCAGCGGCACCGTTATCCACCAATCAGGAAGCAGCGTCTTACATCGTGACGACTGCAGTCGATCAGGCCCCGCCTCCATCACAACCAGTTTTAGGCCACGCCCAGCTTTCACCCATCGAGCAACCACATGACGCGAAGAATTAAGAGAATACAGACACGCCCCCTTCCACCGCCACACGGTGCATGGAGTGGGAATTATAATGTAACAAGTTGCAATAGACATTGTAGACCAGGGGGGCGTTTCACAAAGATCCTCAGTTGAACTTATCTCTAAGTTGGACTTAACAGTTATGGAAAGCCGTTAGCATCTCTGAAAATATTTTGTTAAAGTTATTTTAAAATGGCATAAAATGTTGATTCAAATCAATCATATTTTCTATTTTCTATTTCCAAGGAGATTCCATGTTCTTAATGTGGAATTTATAAAAAGACTAAAATACTTGAATTCTCACTTTTGAATAAATTTTATTTTAAGGCTACAAACTTTTTCCATAATTTTGAAGTCCAACTTAGAGTTAGGTTCGACTTAGGATCATTGTGAAGCACCCCCAGGGCCCGGTTTCATGAAATTTGTTATTAAATATAAACGCTACGATTATATGACAAATTATTTCTCAGTTTTATGAATCGATCTATTTTGTATTACTATAATGACGATGAAATAATTCTTACATATATAATTTATATATACATTGTGTTCCATATTTTACTGTTGAGAAGGAAATAAATGTTAATAAATACAAATACTAGTGAACAGAAGCTCATAATTTACATGCTACTTTAGATTCCGATGTAGATTCAAGTTCAGATTCATCATACTTATATAATCTTAGCTTCCCCTGGTAATAAGACCTTATTATTCTTGTTATTTTACTCGTAGTAGTATCGTTATTCAATTTGTATTGTTATGTTTTTTTCTTGTTCTATAAATATTACTCTAACTATAAATTACCATAAGAGAGAAAGAAGGGGGAGGAGGTGGTGGTGGGGGGAGGGAGAACAAATCCATGCGCAATACTCATTATTGTGTAATTATTTTATTCATTTGGACGACTGAATCAAAAAGCTAACATAAGCTTCCTACAGGTGCTCCCTTTTCCTTCTACTCATTTTCACAGTTTGTTTAAATCAATTTAACATAATGCTCATGATTTGTATATCTTAAAATGTCTGTACTTTATCACATGTACATATTTGTTCGCTTTTTAACGGAATAAAGTCTGTTGAACTAGTATTACCATTACTATTACTATTAATATTACTTTTACTAAGGGGAGCCTTCCAAAGTTGCGACTGTGCCGCGACGCGTCGGGGCGCAGAACAGGATATGAGAACAAAGGAGGCGCCTTTATGCGCCCATTAGCGCCTTTTTGCGTCGGATAGGAGAGGACTTCAGTTGGTTGCCAGCTCATTAAAATCTGGCTATTGTTTGGAGTCTCATTGTTACGAAATTACCCCGCCGGGGCGCGCCCCGGTGAAGCACTTGACATTTGTGAATGGGAGCTTAAACTTTGAATAGCTTTCGCGCCCTTTCGCGCCCGGTCCGGCGCATTAGTTATTCATGTAGTGCCCGCTTGTGTGTCGCTCTCGTCTTGCGAGATTTGACTCTGAAAAGCATTACTTTGGCTACTGATTTGTTTTAATATTATTTTACATACATGACATTGGTTACAATGTTTGTTCTGATTGTTTATTTTCCTCTCAAAATCGGAGTTCTGTAGGCGTTAACGTTGGCATGATTGTTCATTTTTTTCATCTCCTCCTGTTCTGTTCATGATTGTGTTCAATATACTGTATCAATTTTAATACAAATTGATTTGTTCACGAAAAAAACAAATTTATTTTATACTTACCCCACTCTCTCTGACATTGTTTTCCTCGTGCATGTTTTGACACTTTAATTGTAATTTTATATTTCCTTATAGCGATGTTATCGCATGTTTCGATTTTCTTGTTTTTTTTTAAACAATTTTTGTTGCATCTTGTAAACAGTTCTGTCGTATGATCATTATAAATCATATAATTATATCATCAGTCTGTTATTTCATAGATCCTTTGAATCTTCTTAAAATTAGAGAACGTATTTTTAAATCCGTGATGTTGAAAATGATACTTAATCCAGAATGTCGTAGTTTCTCCATGAATTGGATTTAAAAAGCGTTTTATCTGTATTACGATGTTTTTTTAATGCAAATGATATCCGTATTGTCGGGAACATCATCAATATGTTTCGTTAGAAGGAAGACGCTCATTTTCAGAATGTTCTTTCTTTGCAAAACACTAATGTTACGAACAAAATTAAATAGACTGTGCCCGTATCAAAGAATTTTATCGAATATTTCTTTGCGACGAAGGGGGGGGGGGGGTTACATTCGCGGCCAGTTTTAGATCTAGGTCATTGTTAAGAATAACTAAAATACGTATATATTGTGCTGAATAGGGGCCACGTGTTATCGAAAGAGCGTAGTGCGTTCTAGAACAAATACAAGCCATGGCAATTCGTTGAATTGCTTCTCGTAACAGAACTGTCTCACCGTCTAAATAAGGATCCATCCGGGGGATCCATCATGCACGTGTTGGTATCAAGTAGTAAACGGAATTAATAATGATTGCGTTGTTTTGGGACATTTTTTTTCGGGGGGGGGGGCAGGGAGCCCTTATTCTTCTTCTACTGGGTCATCAAGAAACACAAATAGTGTTGAAATTTTCCGCAATCCCTTTAGCGCCGAGGGTAGAAAAGCCTTTAGAAAAGTCAGCTGGACAATAGCAATTTAATGTTGGTCAAACAATCAGCGAGAAATACTGGGCAAACAGATATTAGCCCACGTCTTCAATATAACCAGGGAATCCCGATATAACTAAGCACATGCTCACAATATGAATATCAAATCTGGCTATTGTTTGGAGACTCATTGTTACTGTCTGGTAAAGGGGTATTTTTCACGCACCAAAGTCCGGCTCGTCTAGTACACACAAATCCGGCCCGTATTGACTTTACACACCGGACTTAGGGGACTGTTTTCAAAAGGAGGGAAAATGCATATGCGTACCCTACCTAACACTCATTCGGGGGTGGGGGGGGGGGGGGGTGCGCTTAAAGGCGAAGCGCTTTTTGTGAATTGTGAATTTGTGAATTTGAAAAGCTTTCGCGCCCATTCCTACGCATTAGTTATTCATGTAATCCTCGCGTGTGTGTCCGCTCTCGTCTTGAAAGATTTGACTCTAAAATTTTCACGTTGGCTACTGATATGTTTTATTATTATTTTACGTACAAGACATTGATTTAGATTGTTGTTCTGATTGTTATATTCCTCCCAAACATCGAAGTTGTGTAGGCGTTGACGTTGTTATGATTGTTCATTTCTGTTCATTAATGTGTTCAATACTTGTATTAAATTAATTTCTTCACGAACAAAACAAAAACGATATGTATAATTGTATTCCTTCTCTATGTTTTGACACATTATTTGGTTCATATTACATTTATTTTGTTCTGTCATCCGATCAAAATAGGTCATATATCTATATCATCACTCTGTTCTTTCTCATGCAAGATCGATTTAAAGAATAGAAACGTAGGTTCTCTAAATCTTCGCAAAATCAGCTATTGTATTTAAATACCCGTGATTTAAAAAATGATACTTATAATCAAAGAGATTTAAAGATTCTGCTTGAAATAAGATTATAGGGCGTTTATAAATATGTTATACAAAACAAACAAACATCTGCAAATTAAAGATATTACAAAAATGATAGTCGTATTGTCGGGAGCCTGCATCATCAAAACGTTTCGGTAGATGGAACAATTCGAAATCGCCTATCTGTTCCAAACATGAAATTCGATCGAATATTTCTTCGCGAAGAAACTTTATTGGTGGTGTCATTTGTCTTAAAGTAGATATTCATTGATTTTAAATCTAGCTTTATTTTCTTTATTGCAAAGTTGAAACTTTGATTCGACAAGGTTATCAAAATTCGATGCTTGGAAACATTCGAAGTAAATTACAAAACGCTTAAATACAGCCCCGGCATAGCACCTGAATAGCTCTCCGAAGGCTGCTGAGATGTGTGAGATCACAGCAGGGACATGATTTGCACAAGCAGACGATGTCCCATGACATCTCACACATTTTCAGTGCCTGTGTTTTCATCTTCTCTTGAGTTCTTTCTCTTACTTCACTACCGTCAGGCTAAATATGTAATCTATTGCCTCACTCTAAACCCCGCGCATGGTTTTATTTTGATGACAAATGCAGCGATACAAAAATAAAGGAATCTGTCGCTTGTAAACAAAATAAGACGCCATTGTATATTCAGCTGCAGACACCGCGGTATGTTCGGCGTTTTAAGAGGGAACAAATGCCGCCCTTAATATCAATCCGGGGGCTTTTCAATTTGAAAGTCTGGTTTCTTTGATTGTTAATTAACCCCTATCCTGTGTATTTACAAGTAAAAGATTTTAGTTATCAGAATCGGGTCATGTCCCCTTTTGATCCGTTTGACGTGCCAGTACATTTATATACACTAAACTCATTATAATTTGACAAATAATAGCTTTGCAATTATGTTCATTCCCTATGGGATGTCGTCTGCTTGGGCAGTATTGGTCCCTGTTGTGACGTCATTAAAACATCGTTATTTTTCTGGCGAATCTCTCGTATATCCCAGGTGCTATGGAGGTGGTTGTATTTTTATTTTTATAAATCACCCGATATGTAGCTGACCTCAAACTTGTACGATGGCCATCTGTTAGCTTACCAGTTTCTAGTGATACATTAGTTGACATATTTGTGATTTTCTTTGAATTTCACCTTTAACAATTTGTTATCTTCAATGTTCGTGACGTTTTGACGTTGCATATTTGTTAGCTAGCGCTAGTAAAGTCTTTTGTTTTAACGTGCACTGTATATAGTTATAAGGCCTGAACACGTCATGTTCACATTGGGTGTTATATAACATACGGATATTATAGTACATGTAACTTTTAAAAGCACTTTATTTTTGCAACGCAATGACAAAAGACAGCTCTTTGAGCAGCTAATAGTTGTTGCGCTCATAGGCTATTCCCAATTACCGGGCATTATTTGTTATTGTATCATTAGTTAAGTTTATTAATCTATTCATGTTTTCTATTTATTTATTTAGTTTTGGGGAGGGGGATGTCGTATTACGAATTCATGACCCTTATACATAATGACCATGTTCTCAAATTACGAATAGCGGTCTTCATGAATAGTTGTCCAATGAATAGCGGTCCTTATAACTAGCGAGCAACCTTAATGTGTAGCTAAACAAGAATCTATAATAGCAAGTCGGACAATTATAGCGATCAAACAATAGTCTTGCTCGGCCGCGTGAAATCCTGCCACGGCATTCTATGTTTTTACCTTTAGAGCGAACTTTTCTTTTGTATTCGCTCCATAGAACTCTACTTTATCTTACAGCGAGGTGAAATGAAAAGAGCGTCATCATGAGTAGATCTATTGTTTGATGTTATCCTTCTTCTCCCTAGTTAAGCCAAACCTTCAATTTAGGCTTATCCATAAAAGGTAGCTTCCTGTACCGTTCGCTTTTTTTTCCTGACTGCTATATGAAGCATGTGTATGCTCTGAATTAGGCAAACAGGGGACCGGCGGGTTTAAGATCCTCTCCGAACGAAATGTAATGTTGAGTTATGCCTTATAATAGCATATCGACTTGGTTTCTAACCAGGGAGCTCCCGGTTACGAGCTGCTCTGCTCTACCACTGGGCTATAGCGCCTCCCTCCTTTTAAAAAGATCTTTTAAAATTTGCCGTTTTTTTTTTTTAGAATAAGAATCAAAACATATTTGGTATGTTTTTTGTATCTGTGCATTAAGATTTCAAAATTTCACTTTCGCCACTTAATTATACAAATCTACGAATAAATGATTCGAATGTTAGAGCAGAAATCAATGTTTGCATTTGTGTCGAATGATTAATTATCATCATGAACTGATTAATATTTTGTATTGCATTTCCAATTGCTGCTCAACTTTATCACCATCAGGCTACGCTTTTTTGTTTACATCTTCATGACACACGTGTTTTATAATCTCGATATAGTTCCCGGACTCTTTTTTCTATTTATTGCACTTTTAAAAAGAGCTATGGAATTATTATGATTTAAAACGCCTTTTGGACGGGCAATTTTCGAAGGCAAATCTCGGGCGTGAAATCCTGCCATGGCATTTTATGTTTTTTTTTCCCTGAGGCCACTTAACAAAATATACATGTTTAGCGTTCCCGCCTGCTTCCTTTTTTGGGGCCGCCTCCTATTTTTTATTTTTGGGGAAATTTGTTTTAATTTTTTGTTTGAATTTAATTTAAAAAAATTAAAAAAAAATTGAAAAAAAAACACATGAAAAACAATACTAAAATGGATCTATTACTGATTTTTTTTAAAAGTTAAAAGATTTCGGCGGCCATCTTGAAAAAAAGCCCGACTGTCAGGGAAAATGTACCGAGCGGCCATTTTGAGCGGCCATTTTGAAAGAAAAAAAAAAGAAAAGAGAGGGCCTCCTCCTTCCTAGTTTTCGAAAAAACAGGACACTAATAAATCATTTTTTTATTTGGCCTTAGAGCGAACTTTTCTTTTGTATTCGCTCCGTAAAACTCTACTTTATCAAACAGCGAGGTGAAATGAAAAGAGCGTCATCTTGAGTAAATCGTTTGTTTGATGTTATCCTTCTTATCCCTAATAAGCAAACCTTTAATTTATTAGAACCAAGTCATGGGAGGAGAAAAAAAAAGGATTTGACTGACAAAATATAAATTCTTCCAAGCTCAGGCTGTGGCGATGTGCAACGCGTAGCGTGAATATTATTGACGGGAGAGAAAGATAATTCCTTTGTCCATTATACGACGCTAGAATCATATCGCGATGTGGGAATTATACAAATATGTTGATAATCATTCAAATTACAAACATACACAAGCGACCCAAACAGTAATCAATTTGCCGACTATAACCGCATACATGTGGTCATTCACATCATTCGTCTTTTATTTTTTGTTGTTGGGGACAATTAAGCTCGCAATTAAACAACCATTAATCGTACATAGTCATCTTTATTTCACATTTCATACAGTCGTCACAAAAATTAAAAGGAGGCGTATTAAACCCAACAAAAATAAATCATAATGTATTCTGATCAAGATGAACGAGTGTGTTGATTGCCCCCCCCCAAAAAAAAAAAAAAAAAAAACAAAGACGATCCCACCAGAGAAGTTCATGCTGTGCTGTAGTAATGTACATCGCAAAGCTTCGCCACAATGATTGGAAAGGTAATACCCCGCCCGTTACGACGCAAAACGGCGCGAGAAGAATAGATCGCGACGCGAGAAGAATACATCATTTTTGTACAAACAATGGAAAGTTTATCAGAACGAAAACCGGAGGAGGGGAAGTCAGGCTTTGGCCGACAAATACTTTCTGTATATCAAGTTTAAGCTGTACCGCGCATCACGAGCGAGAACAATGACGGGAGAGATAATCTTCCATCGCCTGGTGGGGCGCAAAAGGGCGCAAGAAGAATAGAGCGGGTTTATACTAACAATAGACGGTTTCTTTTCATATGCAAGAATCAGGTGAGGGTGACTATTGCGCCCCTTCGCGCCCCTTTGCGCCTCAATGCGTCTCTTGGGACGCGATTGTTCTATTCATCGCGCCCCGACGCGTCCGGGCACAGTCGCAACTTTGGAAGGCTCCCCTAATACTATTACTATAACAAAACTATTAATATTAGTATTACTTTAAATGTTACTATTATTATTACTATTGCTATCTAAAATACTATTACGATTACTGTTACTATTACAATTTATTTTACTATTTACTTTTACTACTTTTATTGTAATTACTGTTTTGTTATCATAACTGAACGTGAAGACGACGAGATGAGAAAATATTGCGAAAGCCTAAAATATTGATTTTTCATACTTTGTAGGTTTTATATCAAAATAAATTAAAAATATACTTTGTAATACATTCCCCGTCCAAAATGATGAATTATCTATATATATATAAATAATAAACGATACTGTAAAGAAAAGTACAAGAAATCTTTTTATTCCTGCTATACCTTAAACACCTAGACTACTGTCAAAATCGTTGTCTATTCTGGACAATATGAATGATAATGTAGGGGAGCGACGAATGGGTTTAATATATGTGTGTGTGTGTGTGTGTGTGTGTGTGTGTGTGCGTGCCTGTGTGTGTTCGGGACCATGTGTCCGCACGATTCATTTCACTTAAGTCCATTTATTTAACACTTTGATATAACGCATGGACATCGGAACAAACAAAAACATATCAAATTACAATAGCAACTGGAAAGTAAACATTAATTGCAACAGTAACTTAATATAAAGTTCAACATTTTTGAGCAAAAATCGATCAGAAATAGGAATTCGTATGACTTTGTGAAGTTCTTTGATTGAAAGTCCATAATTTTATGAAGCAAATTCGTTTTCCCTGGCTTCCTGCCGTAGCAACAAACAACAAACTCCGTCTTCTATGTTGCTACGGCAGACAGCCAGTGGAATGCATTCGTTTAATAAAATTATCGAAATGCAAGCATTACTTTAAACAAATACAACTTTGTTATTCCTGGCTCATTCTTCCTGATTGAGGTGTCCCATGAAGGGGCAAAAAATGAACTTGCAGAAAATGTAATTTTCTCTTTGAAACTTAGATACCGTTTGCCAAATGACTTTTTGGTACTCTTTCTTCAAATTGTTTTAAATCACTCATGCGTGAAATATGCATCATATGAGTTGCATCAAATGAAAGAGGAGGATCTAAGTTTAACAACTATGTGTCATTAATTGATTATAATTTAGTCATGATAAAACATCAATCTTTCTTGGTTTTGTTTTATCTGGGACGCACTGTATATAGGGTGACGTTTAATTGATTTTTTAAAAGGGAATATATTTTTATTTCTATAGCACAGGACAATAAGGAGGGGAACTCGCAAGATGCTTCACTAAATTACCATTGATTGCACCTTCAAAATGTCAAAACTTTCTTATTTGTAATCAGTTTTATGCTAAAGTTTCACTGAACTGTTTCTCTCTCATTTTCCTGTTTCTTTCAAAACCAATTTAATATCAGGATGGACTACCCCTTTAAACGTATTGTATCCCTTTTGCAGCCAACATCGAATGATGTAGAACTTTGCAGGAATTGTGAATATGTCACGTATGTCCTATCTGTTAAATTTAAACGTTAGCAGTGTCCTAGTATTCAAATTATGCAAGGAAATCCGTTTAATTTCTAGACTTTACTGTCAGACACTATTGAGTGACTGACTGACTTTTTTTTCTCTTTAGTAATAACTAACATAAAATGAGATTTAAAGGGTACATGAGCACTTGTCTACATCCATAACCCACTTCTTGTAATGACCAAATTTTAAACTGATTGAATCTTTGTGCAGCACAAAACGTACGACCATTCAGTACAAGGGTCTGAAAATCAGACTATATAATTAAACGACCGCGATTGCTATATTTGATTCGACAACTAACGGTCGTTATTTTTCATTAAAAAGACATTTTGAAGCCCTTTTGTTTGGTTGATGGAAGTTCTAAATTAGTGTTATCTTTCAAATGATGTTGGAATTTCGTGGCCTACAATGGGTACATTACACCAGGAAGGTGAGAAGTCTCACCTCCCTGATTACACCTAAAGGTAGGGCCGACGTTTATTCAAATGTTAAAGAAACAAGTTTAAGGGGGAGGGAGGGGAAGACAAAATGAAATTGGGATCGTTATTCCGAAAATGCATGTTTTTTTTCTCCACTTTTTCGGTGTGGAAAACGGAGGCTTTGACTTTGAAAAGGGGGCACCCCCTCCCCCACTCTCTCCGTTGCACCGCCAAAACAAATAAACACGTTGCAAGGTGCGCGGTTGTCAATGATTACAGATCGAAGGGTCATACATGTATACGAGAACTATAGCCTGTAATCACGATATTCAATATCAGCTTCTGAATACACACACCGTCACACACGTTCATTTACTGTCTTGCAGACTACAGCAACGCTCTGGCAACGCTCACCGTGAGTTCCAAAACAGTAAGTACGATTGCCTTTATAATATTTCATTTTGTTGCGAAAAGACAAGGAGGAGAAAGAAGGAACATAAAACGGAAAATGAGAACATGACGAACAGAAGAAGATGTAAAGAGAGAGGATAAAGTAGAAGAAGTAGAAGAAAAGTTAGAAGGAGAACTAGTAGACCATGAAGAAGCAGGAGAAAAAGAAGAAGAAGTAGAAGAAGAAAAGATTTTTTTTAAATAATAATGATAATGATAATAATAATAAGAAGAAGAAGAAGAAGAAGAAGAAGAAGAAGAAGTAGAAAAAACAGAAGTAGAAGAAAAAGCAGAGGGGTAGGAGAAGAGGAAGATGAAGACGATGAAGAAGCAGAAAAAGTAGAAAGAGTTATGGAAGAATGAAGAAGAAGAAGAAGAAGAAGAAGAAGAAAGAGAGGAGGAAGAAGAAGACGTAGAAAAAAGAAAAGTAGAGGAAGTACTAGTACAGAAGTAGAACACATAGGCTATTGCTCCTTTTCACAAACCATGATGGAACAATGAAGTCGGTATTGATGCAAATAAGGATTAGAGTCTAGTGGGTGTCTCAACAACAGCACCCCAATACATTATATGAATTATTAAAATAAAAGAGATTTTGATCACTATGTGTTAATTAATAAACAGATGTTGAACACTAATGTCTTAATGAATAAAATTTCAACTTTTTTCGTTATAATTTCGTAGGTAATGTAGTAGTATTTTTCGACCTTCATGTGAAAATTCAAAAGGGCTCAAGCTAAACCATAATTGTATCAGACGTGCCAATATGGATTGTTTTAATTGTGTACGTCAGAAGATATCAGGTCAATTAATAAGCAGGCATTGTTTACCATTCTAACGAGCGTAGATATGGAGAGGGCAAAGAACAAACAGATAAAGAGAAGATAAACTCTGACGTAGCAATTCATAACTTAAATAGTCTGTTGGTACGTCATTTCCTTTTATAGGTTTATTACACGCGCGTGATGTTTGTGGGCGTATGCGAGTGTGTATGTGTGTTCGGTTTTCTGTTTGCTAGAATTTCCAATTGCTAGACTGACCAAAATGCACTTTATAGAGTCACTCAGTCCGACATAAACTATTAAGATAAGGGTTAATAATTATGTTCAATCTACGTGCAGACTATCTAACTAGTTTTTAATGTGTTATTGAGTCTTAATTTTCAAAATAAACAAAAGAAAAATAACTCAAAATAATTGGTGGTATATGTGAAAATGAAAATAGGTATTAAGCAATTCAACCTTTGCTATACACTCTGCACGGTAGGTCAATTAGTGTATACAACTCGTTTACTATTGATCGATGGTGCAAGGGCTTGGCAGAATGGACTTTGTGCATATTGTGCTCGTGCATTGCAATGGAAGCAAGAGCCCATGTCCATCGCACTTTAAGGGTTAATTTTTGCAATTAATATTATTAAATATTAACTATTCATGATTAATAAGTAAATATTTAATGCGCCTCAGAATAGTTTACTAGAACAATAGCGCATAACAACTGCTGTATTTATAATATTATTGTAAGGCGTTCACTGCCAATAACATATCAATCCAAATGGCGTTATTAACAACCTGGCATATCGGGGGTTGATGGGGGAGGGGTCGTACCTAACAAAATAACTAACCAATAGAAATAAAAGCCCATAAATAAGCACCAATTTAAAAACCTGTGCTTAAAATTCCTTTCTCTCTTATTGATCAGATTATATATTTTTTTTCTTTCCACCAGGTCAACGAGGATCAGATTTTCTCTTTGATACACTTTGTCCCTCCAATTGGAAATTCGTGGATGATATAGAAATGACTTCGACCTCTAACCCCGCACCAGCGACGACATGTATCTATGGTATCCCTGAAGAGCAAAATGGAGCTCGTTCTTCCTATCGTGCACGCATTAAGGTAAGTGTAATGCTCTATGCCAATATTGCACCCATGCGGCCATTGTTAACCTAATCAGGAAGACTTAACTTCGGAGAACCGAGAACAGCGAACACAGTAACAAACAGTGAATATAGAGCCTTCATCGTGTTAAAAAATATCGGGAAGACATGTTGATATATAACAATTACAAAAAATGATGCTGTGGCTGAATTATCTTCAAAATCATTGAATGATAAGTCTTATCAATTAGCTTTTAAATGGCAAATGGCAAATATGGCAGGAAATCTATGCACTGGATTCATTTAAAAGAATGTCAGATCAAGAGCAGGTCGTTGTTGTTTGCTGGCATTCAGACAATTACAAACAACTCTAAAAGAAAGCAATCTAATCATTGAGGTAGAGAGGTGAAAGCCTGAACAAAATTTGACCCAAAAAAGGGAAAATTATGAATTTTAAAAGTTGGAATCACTATACATTATGTGAATAGACCAATAGTATTACAGATCCTCCGAAATGACTAAAATAACATTTGTTTTCTTCGATATGTATGAGTCCGGGCTGTGTTTTTTTAAAGGACCTGTAACACTATTCGTCTATTCCCATATGGTCTACATCCAGCCCGTCTACTATCCACATGGTCTTGTAATCAGTTCGTCTATGTATCAACGGTCTAAAGACTATTTATTCTAAAAGCCATTTAGCCTATGAATTTCAATTTGGTCTAATCTCCAATACAACTACTTTTCATTTCGTCTCTTGCTCATTTATTCTTATTTCCAGTCGGTCTAATTCCAAGTTTGTCTAATGCCCATCTTACCTACTATCCAGACGGTCTAATAATCATGTCATCATAAATATTAATAAAAAGCATCAAACAATTATTTGACCATGTGGATAGTAGACCGACTTTGGTGAGGACCATATAGGAATAGACTACTTTAGTAGTAGGCGAACTGGCTGTAGACGAAACGGTACTATTCTAGTGAAAGATGTATTATTTATCATTATAGATGACGTACATCATAATCAAATGATTGGTTGAGAGTGTACACGTGACCAGGCATTTATTTTGTCTAACACGTAATTTTGATAACGACCGGTCATTATCAAATGCTAATGACCAGTCATTAGTAAAATCATGTTATAAAACATCATTTTATAAAACAAATAAAACATCGTCTTATAAAACAAATAAAACATCGTCTTATAAAACAAACAAAACATAATGTTATAAAACAAATATTACCAATTATTTTGTTTGGGCATTAGTAAAATTACCCACACAAGGTACCTTTGGAACAGTCTAACACGCCCGAGGCGATTACTAATGCCCTTGTTGCTGTGTATTATTTGTAAACTATTTTATCGTTTCAGAGGACAGCAATCATTCAACTGATTGGAGGATGTTTACTGGTTGCCTTGGGGATAGTAGCCATCATCCTTATGGCTTTTTGGTCCTACTTTGCTACAGCCATCTGGAGCGGAATACTGGTAATGTGATTATATATACAATATATATACATGCAATCACATACACACACGCCCACACACATAAATATATATAAATATATATAGTATATATATATATGCACTCTCTTTCTCAGACACACACACAAACACACGACCATATATATATATATATATATACACACACACACAAATATGTACAACTTTATCTCGCAGAAAATTTCATGATTAGATATTTTTTTCTCCAAGAGCACATTACTTGATCATACATAAAGTTCCAATTTTGTTGACTCTAATTTTCCGATAAGCGAGTTTTTTTTCCTTTATCAGTAATTAGCATGTTTATTTTGATTGTTCTCATATCTCAGATATTCGGAGTGACAGGAGTGATCGGCATATTGGCAGGGAACAAAGGGAACAAGTGTTTGGTAACCACTCTTCCTCTCTTGAAATCCTATATCTATCTTAATTTTTCTCTGTCCTTTTCTTCACCCCTCTCTCACTAACTCATTCTGGTTCTCTCTTTCTTATACATTTTTAGTCTCCTTTGGTTTGCTTTGTTTTGCTTATTATGTTAATTTTTGTTATACGATACTATTAATACATGTATAATTCTTTTATTTGAACATCCCAGATTCATATGTATATCGTTATGTCTTTCTTCGGTTGTATCAGGGGAATCGCTCTGTTTAAGATGTCTTTTGATATATTAGCTACTACATGAAATGTGTTAGAAATTACTTTCAATAAACATTCCAGATTCAAGTCCAGTTTTGTCATAAGATACGTATTTTGTATCCCAGATTTGTTATAAGCTAATATTAAAATAATTTAATTTCTTTTAAAATCACAGCCGATTCATACTGTCATGTTTAGGTCTATCTTCGGTCGCCTAATGGAATTCGCTCCGTTCGTGAAATCATTGTTATAAGCTACTGAAATATGGCATTTAGCACGTAAACCAATGGATATCGCAGCAAGATTTTATTATTTTCCCGGTAACTGGAATTTTGCCGGGATTTTACTTTTCGACTATTAATTGGTTTTCGCATTTTTCGTCTCTTTACGGGAATGGCTAAAATCACGACTGCAATTTCTACCAATCAGATGGCTGGATTTCTTAAGTGAGGTATATAATAGATTATATTGTTTTTAACATTACAGATTCGTGCCTACCTGGTAATGTCTATCTTAGGTTGCGTCATGGGATTCGCTCTCTTTGAGATGCATATCTTCGCCGCCATTTGGGAAGGCAAGGGACGTTGGGACTATAACTACTACTGGGGATGCCAGCCCGGAGACTATTACTCGTTTATTCCAAACTGCGCTAAATCAGAGGTGATTTGCATACCACTTCAATCATGTCCATCATTTCACGTAACAAGGCTGTGTCATTAAGAATTAACAAGCCTGAAAATGCAAAATAAACACAATGATAGCTTTATATGTAACATAGAGAAACAATTATGCCAAACATGGGAAACGTATTAAAGAGGAAAACCTTGCATATAATTGGTTCCCTTATGAAATATAAAATATCGTAACTGAAGTGGGATCGGTACTGGAAAATGTGTATTTATTTACTTAGTATACTTATACTCTTACTTCAGTATTTATTTATTATCCAAGTGGTAAAGTATATTGCATCCATTCAGTTTTGTGTTCGCTTATAAATACAAATATTATGTATAAATATTGTGGCATAGTGGTTCATTTACTTGACCCTCAATCCAAAAACCAATGGTTCGAATCTCAGCCCGGTACTAACATCATTTGGCAAGATGTTTATCCGCATTTCGCACTCTGCACCCATGTTTTAACGGCATCTGGTAATCGCTGGAATGATAATGAATCGCAGGGCCCAAAAAGAACAGTATTGAAGCAGATGAGGCTTCCCCGGCTAGGTTTAAACAAATTCATTATTATTAGGCTATTATGTCATAACTTTTGCTATTATAGCTCTGTTCATGGATTTTTTTTTTTTTTTTTATATATATATATTCCTTTTCCTTATAATTTTGTTAGGCCGCAAGAGTTACATTTGATGCGCTGATTACGACTACCGGGTTCTTCCTTTTCGTGACGTGTATCGTCTCGGCGTCGTTTGGATGTTGCGCTTTCAAGGGTTGCGAGAGTTGCTGTAAGAAATGTTGCTGCAATGGTAGCGGCTGCAGCACTCCAGCTCCTCAACCCATCACGGTAACTGTCAAAATATTCATGACCACTAAAGGCTCGTTCAGATATTATTATGACGCGGTTAATTACCTGAAAATCTACCGCGGTTTTTTTAAAATTTAAACGGTAGTTCAGATATGACGAAATTAATCGCCACTATAAAAATTAAAAAAAAAAAAATTAAACGTGTAAATGAATGGCAACTGCACCGATCAAAGGTCCTGTGCGAATGTACTGAGCTCAATCTGTGTGTGTTTGAAGATACAGAAATATGATGCGTGTCACAGTTTTCGTCATCATAATAAATAAACGGTTTGCCGTTGCATAACTGAACGAGGCTTAATAGTTTAAAGAGGACGTCAACCCTGAAATAAATTTGGTTTTGATAGGAGCCGAAAAATGAGAGGAGCATGCAGGTCAGTGAAAGTTTGAACCAAATCTTATCCAAAACAAGAAATGTATGATTTGTTAAAGGTTGTCATCATTCAGTGAAACACAAATTGGCAACACTGTGACGTATTTTTAATAATGGGTAAACGCAAGCTATTTTGTCACAAGTTACCGGTCTCATCTAAAGGTGTGCTCAAATCTCATCCAATATGGAGGTTTTATTGTCATCACTGGCAGTAGGCATCATGCCTGTATCTTAGTTTGAATATGCCTATATATGTAGGTTTATGTAACAGTCGTTACTTGGCAAACGAGAATGAATTTGCCAAAATTCAATATTTTTCTTGATTTCGGCTTGTTTTAAAAAAATGCATCTTTCAATGAACTTAGGTCTGAATGGAGTTCATAGTTTAATTAATAGCACTCTTTACCATATTTTCCAGGCCATCTTTCAGCCGCAAGGACCTACCAATACTACACCGGGGCATCAGCAAGGTATGTGCTGTCATAGGTTATTGTTATGATCAATACAAGCTACTGTAGCCTAAACTATATTGCAAGTTGAGTTATGATGATAAAATAGAATGCTATAAAAAATGGTTAACCATTAGCTGAATTGGAGCATAAAGAAATTCATTTTAATTCCTTTGAACTTGCATCGGTAGGCCTATCTTGTGTGACAGTCGTCAAATATGTAGTCACAATAATTGAAGAAGAAGAAGAAGAAAATCATTATGTAAATAGATGATTAGAAGAAAAAGAAAAAGAAGACGAAAAAACAGAGTAAGGAGAAGAAAGGGAAGTAGGGAAATATCCGGATATCAAACCTTATGGCCCGAATTCACAAAGGAGGTTTGTCGACAAACCTTGGTTTTCGTACGTCATATGACGCGTTTTTAAGCATTTTTTACAAACCTGGTTTGTAAAGAACAAAAGGGGGTTTGTTGACAAACCTTCGTTGTGAATTCGGGCCCATATGTTTGATTCCCCCGTGACAAGTATAAGAATAGTCATTGTAAATCACATGGATATAAAATAGTCTTTTTGCGTATAGCATGGCAATTCCATTTCTATCCTCCAATACCTGTCAATCTAAATTATCGAGTCAAAGCATTGACAGGTTAATATGCCTATATTTCTCCCTTTTTGTGAATTTCTCAACTATATGCATTTCAAGTTGTAATATTGTTCTCTCTTTTGTGTATTTTCCTCCGACGTCGCAGTTCATGTTCAAGCTGGAATGTACATCGTACAGCAAGGACCAGCTCCCGTCATGCAGTACCCACAAGTTGCTATGCCAATGCCTGCAACCACCAATCAGGGCCAAGCGCCTTACTACGTGGTGCATCCAGCCACTCAGGCCCCGCCCCCACCACAGTCGATCCCCAATCACACGCATGCTCAACAGCCCAACCCTGTTGCTCCGCCCACTTACTACGTCGCCGGTCAATTCCCCCCTGTTGAGGTACCTGAGAGTAAGGAATAACGAATGCAGCCCCTCCCTCCTCCGTTGCATGACAATATATATAAATTGAAATGTGACAGAATTAAAAAGAAAAGGCTAGGTTGATTACGTTTTCTTTATGAAATTGGCCACAACAAAAATATATTTTCATAGCTACATGGTTGTAATAAAATGTCACGGTTAAGAAAACGATACAAACGGATATGTTCAAAGGTTTTAATATGTCGAGTTCTTTATGATTTCTTTTGAAGGAATGGTGATTTAGAAACTCACAAAGTGTAGCCTTTTAAAGATATACATCAAAGCTTATTTTCCTTTTTAAACTTCCTTGCATCAAATGCAAAGTGGCCATGCAGTATAATGACCACTTTTCTATGAGAGCCTTAGTTGATTTTGTTTAGTCTAAATATTATGTTATTATGTTCTTTGATATATATATTGTGTATCATTTACGGCCAATGAAATCATTGAATAAGAATAATAAATACAAATAAGATTGTTGTCAGTAATTGTTGAAAACGCAGATCACAGTCATACACTTTCCAACGTCACTCTTAAAACCAGAACTTAATTTTTCTTCAAATTGTTTATTGTACCTAAGACATATCATGCTACCGAAATGCATTATTGCCAACCATCACAACATCCGAGATAGATATAAGATTACACCTCCAAAAACATTTGTGGAACTTCTCTTTTATCTCGCCAAGAAAATTCAAAGCAACAATTAAGTTAGAGAGTAGAACAAAACAATTTATATTGAGGTTTTGTTTCCCTACAAGACGGATCTTATTAGTAAGTCAAATATGACAACAAATCAAGATCGTTTGTAGTATATTCTATATTCTATGAACCTTTTAAATATTACCGTAAATACTTTCATCAATGCTTTTGTCTTGCTTCTATACTGTAATATGCATTTTGTATGCTGATGATTCTTAATGAATGTGAAATAAAGTATAGTTTATGCTTAACTGATATACACGTTCTTATCGGGTTATTTCTGCTTTCCATCGTTTAGCCTCAATTTGCTTGTCATTTACAGTGTGTTTCTTTAACCCCCTCCCCCCCCCCAAACCTCGAAATTCCGCATCGGCAATAACAAATATATATCTTGTCCTGAATAAGTCTCACTATACATATCAATGTTCATTTATCCGCCTTCATAAGATACCAGTTATGTGATAGTAGTTTGTTTATGCAAGAATAAATCAAAAATATTCTTTTTAAATAAGGGATATCTGAAGTAGTTTGCGCACCATAAGTGATGCATACACATAAACAAAAGAAAAGAAAATTTAGATACTGACCAAAGATAACTGATATATCATTATTTTGTTTAATTCACATCCCAAATAAAATAAAGAAATCGTATTTATATTATAACAAACATTTAGTTTTTTATACGTATCCCGTCCAAAATGATGAATTGTAAATTCCAAAATCATTTGATGCATGATAATAAATGCTACATCAGAGAAAAGTAGAGAGAATCATCTGATACCTGCTTATACTTTATACACCTAAACTCCTACACTACTGTACTGTTGAATTCGGTGTCTATTCTTGACAAGTTGAATGATATGTAGAAGAGCGAGGAAGGGGTTTAATATGTGTGTGTGTGTGTGTGTGTGTGTGCGTGTGCGTGCCTGTGTATGTGTAGGACCATGTGTCTGCACGATTCATTTCACTTAAGTCCATTTATTTAAAATATTCATATAACGCATGGATATCAGAACAGACAAAACATATCCAATTACAAAAGCAACTATAGAAAATAAAGATTAACAGTAACAGTAACTTTGATAGTATGAAGTGTAACGTTTGAGCAAAAACAGATGAGAAATAGGAATGTTATGACTTTATGAAGTTATTCTAATTGAAACTCAAATTGGCAACACTATGACTTATGTTGCGAGCTCCTTTCCAATTTGTTCTGTAAAGAAATTTTCATGATTTCTCATCTTCTTAGTTATTGATGACGGAATAGATTTGTTACATACGGGGGTTGTAGAAAAACACATTTGCAATCATTGTACTCTGTTGCTCATGATTTTGGGACCGGGGAAAAATGCAATGAATTATTGATAATTTATTGCATTTTCATTGTATTGTTTTGTATTTGTAGGAAGTAAGGACTCAGTAAGTTATATTCATTAGAAGAAAAAGAAGAAAAAGAATATAAACTGCAATGCATTAGGATTCTCTCTTCTTTCTTTTTTTTTTCTTTTTCATTTTTCATTTTTTTTTTTTTTTTTTTGGGGGGGGGGGGGTAATACATTTTTTTTAAATTACAAAAATCAACCAAGGTTTGTTATTATAGGTGCGTTGCACCTAAAGGTAGGGCCAACGCTTATTTGAATTTTCAAGAAACAAATTTACGGGGGAGGAAGACAAATGAAATAGGGATCATTATTCCGACGATTCGTAAATCAAAAATGTAAGCTGGTCATATTCTTTTTCGCTATTTAGTTTAGAAAGCGGAGGCTTTGTCTATACAAAATGAGGGATTCCCCACCCCTCCCCTTTCTGGCTGGTGCACCACCACTACAAATAAACCCGTTGCAAGTGCGTGGATGTCAATGATACAAATACCAACGTCTCAACTCGAGACTATCCATACACGCATTAATCACCTTACCGACAGCAGCAACGCTCACCGCAAGTTCCGTATACAGTAAGTACGATTGCTCTTATATTATTTCATTTTTGTTGCGAATAGACAAGAAGAAGAAGAAAAGAAACAGAAAAAGGAAAATGAGAACAAGACGAAAAGAAAAAGCAGAAAATAAATATATAAGGGAGGAGGATAATTAATAAGATAGCTCTTTATACGTTTTATTCCAGCAAATGCCAATTTATTTGTTGGCTGTTTCGTGTTGGTAATGATACGCACATTAATTAATTAACGGTCACCATATTTTGGGGAAAATGGAGCTGAACTGGTAGGATCGTATTCAATCTAAAATTTCGAGGTCTAACATTACGTTCAATGCTATTTTAGGTTCTAAGAGGGCACTGCAAATGTCATAAATAAAAATAAGAGCAATAACCATGCAATTCTACTGTATTCATGTGCGTGTGTACATTGACTGTATATTCAACAATGATGTGTAATCGTCCATGACCTAGCATCGTTTTTCCATTCATGAATGAACCTGCATTCAATCAGCAGATGTATGAGATTTATTGTATTATTACCAACGCTCCTCCTCCTCCTCCTCCTCCTTCTCTCCCCTTTCCTTTTCTTTTCTGCAAGTCACTCTTTTTTATTTTTATTTTGTATTGTTGTATCTAAGTTGAGGGCTGCCGGCACGTCAAGCTACTTTGCTTATTTCTGTAGCCCTCCTGCATCTAATGTATGTTAATTATGCATTCAATGTATATGTTTAAATTCAATATATTTGTTTAATATCGTTTATTATCTGTATAAAATTATATACACTTGAAATATTCTATCAAGCCATATTATGTTCATGAAAATGTAAGATGAAAAAAAGAAAAAAGATGCAGAAACCAATAAATCAAATCAAATCAAATCAATATGAAGCCATTTGCGGTCTTATACCAGAACTCAACTATCCCTTAAACACCAGCAAAAAAAAAGAAAAAAGAAGATACATTAAAAGCACTGAATAGAAATGAAATATCTTATAAAATATATCTGAGCTGTCCTTGTTATAGATACGTATGTAATGTGTTGTAATATTATTTTACGATCTTCATGTGAATTTCACAAGAACTACTGCTAAAACCATAACTGTTTAAGACGTGCCATTATGGATTTTTAAAATTTCATTGTGTACGTCAGAAGATATCAGAACGATTAATTAGGAGGCATTATTTACCATTCTAAAAAAACGTAGGCATGAATAGGAGCAAAGGTCACACTGATAAAGAGAAGATATCCTCTGACGTAACAATGCATAAATTAAATAGTCTCTTGGTATGTAATTTCCATATATAGGTTTATTACACGCGAGAGTCATGTTATCAAACAAATAGTACACATCATTTTGTTCGGGCGTTAGTAAAATTACCCTCACTCGGTACCTTCGAAACAGTCCAAACACCCTCGGCTTCGCCTCGGGCTTGTTAAACTGTTCCAAGGGCACCTTGTGTGGGTAATTCTTACTAATGCCATGACTGGTGTGTATTATTTGTATTCTACTGATCGATGAAGCAAGGGCTTGGCAGGAAAGAGTGAATTTTGTGCATATTACGTGTGGACGTTCGTGCACGGCACAGTTAATTATTGCAATTAATATTATCAAATATTAACAATATTTATGATTGATAAGTAAAAAACTAATGTTAGTCGGTATTAAAGGCATTTACTGTCAACACATTAATGCAAATGACGGGATTAACTTCCTCAATGGCAGATCGGGGCGAATAGCGGGGGGGGGGGGGTCGGCCCCCCCCCCGAAATAATTATCCAATAAAAATAAAATCCCCATAAATATGGACCACTTGTAAAACAAATCGGCACTTTTGTATGGAGTTTATCGCTTGCGTTTTTGTTCTGGCTCGTTTTCTGCTTTTATATATTGTTTTTTTTAATTTTTAATGATTGATTGACTGATTGACTTATCTATCTACTTGTTGATTAATTATTTATACATTTATCAAATTTATTCTTCGATTGATTGCACAGATTTGTCAGACTTTTTCTGTCTAACAAAGTGCCAGAAAAGACTGATGAACCATGAACGGACCAATAAAATGCAACAGTCGTGTGTGAGAAACGCTTTGCTTTTGGAAACCCTACTAAAGCTATATAGTTGAGTGTAGACATACTATAAAAACAAGAAGAAACAGAAGCGAGGATGATGACGACGATAAAGAAGATGTATTTTTAAAAAAGAAAAGAAGAGGAAGAAGTATAATAGAACAAACAGCAATGAGGAGAAGAGGGAGGAGTTGGTAATAGATCTGTAAACTAAAGGTCACAGGTCTTTCCTTTAGACGTTCTCCTTAAAAATTTGCTGAAACACCTAGCTCTTCCATTGATCAGATTATATCATTTCTTTGTTTCCACCAGCTCAACGAGGACCAGAATTTCTCTTTGAAACGCTTTTTATTCCCCCAATTGAAAATTCGTGGATGATATAGAAATGACGTCGACTTCTAACCCAGCACCAGTGACGTCATTTGTCTATGGTACGCCCCAAGCGCAAAATGAACCTTGTTCTTCCTACCTTGCACCCATTAAGGTAAGTGTAATCATGGACCTACTAGTAGGTCCATTATGTAATGCTCTATATCAATACTCCACCCATGTGGCTTTTTAATCTTTTTTGTTTTTACCTCAGTAGGATCAGGAGGGCCCTCATCGTTCAATACACGGCAGTTGTGTTCAAAAGGCCTGGGAGAAGTTGATTTTGATATATATTTTAGGAAAACCAGATGCTGTGGCTGAATTATGTTCGAAATCATTTCCTGCAATATTTCCCATCTAAATGTTAATATATTCACTTTTGAATGGAAAATATTGCAGGAAATATATCACAGCATTAATTTAAAATATTCACTTTTCAATGGGAAATATTGCAAGAAATATATTACAGCGTTAATTAAAAATATTAACTTTGAATGGAAAATATTGCAAGAAATATATCACAGCGTTAATTTAAAATATGCATTTTTGAATGGGACATATTGCAGGAAATATATCCTAGTGTTAATTTAAAATATTACATTTTGAATGGGAAATATTGCGGGAAATATATCCCAGTGTTAATTTAAAATATTAAATTTTGAATGGGAAATATTGCAGGATATATATCCCAGTGTCAATTTAAAATATTAAATTTTGAATGGGAAACATTGCAGGATATATATCCCAGTGTTAATTTAAAATATTAAATTTTGAATGGGAAATATTGCAGGATATATATCACAGCGTAAATTAAAAATATTTACTTTTGAATGGGAAATATTGCAGGAAATATATCCCAGTGTTAATTTTAAAAAATGGCATATCAAGAGCAGATTGTTGTTTTTTGTTGTATTTTTTGGAATACAAGCAACTCTAAAAGAAAACGAACAAATCAGAGATTTAGAGTTGTGACAGTTTGGACGATTTCTGACAAAAAGTAAGAAAATTCTGAATTTTAAAAGATAGAATCACTATCCGCATTGAAACATTAAACTGGCTGAATCGTTAAAGGCCAAATCCACTCCAAAAAATAACTTACTTTCAATAGAAGCAGATTTATGTCAAGCTTTCGCCTTTTCCCCTGATTTTTCTGCTTTGATTCAAGTGAAGTTATTAGATGGGTTCATTTTCCACGATGTAGACACGTTCTTGCATTGGACAATGAGGGCTAGTTGACTATCACTATGAACATGACGGACAAAGAAAGCAGACAAAATATACAGTTCCTCATTCTACCCTCAACAATTGCTGTGGTAGACAAAGGAACATCCTTTCACTGTAGAACAGGTGTCACATGCATATTCGCCTGTTCTACACATTTTTAAGTAATAGCAGTGAAGGGACGTTCCTTTATCTACCAAAGCAATTGTTGAGGGTAGAATGAGGACTGTATATTTTGTCCGCTTTCTTTGTCAGTCATGTTCATAGTGTATACGTCATTCACTATTTTTGAAGTATCAGCCTGTTTTCAGTTGTCCTAAGTTGTGTCTGACGGTTCATCAAAACGGAAATTCTATAGATTCCCTAAAAAAAAAAAAGACTCAATCAGAACATTATTTTATCGATTGAGAAGTTACACACTGAGATAATCGTGAAATATGTCTTTTTTAAATGGCACGCCCTCACGACCTGCATAACATATTGTTTTATATATTAATAATCATATAACTGGTTTCATTTGAATCTTCATGTTATTGAATTATGTATATCTTAAGGAATCATGTTTGTCTATGTATATTTATGTATTTGTATGTATATTTATGTACTATCCCGTAGACTAATTAGGAGAGCCTTCTATAGAAACTCAATTTCCTTTTTATAATCCACAGGCATTAGTTATAATGGTCTGGTGGTCTAACAAACATTTCGTCTACTTATCGTTTGGTCTTTTGCTGATCTAGTCTAATTGCCAGTCGGTCTAATTCCTAGTTTGTCTAACACCTATTTTCTCTACTATCCATATGGTCTAATAATAATTTATTCATAATCAATAATCATCATCACATGATTATTAGACCATGTGGATAGCAGACGGACTTGGCGAGGACCATATAGGAATAGATTATTTTGGAAGTAGGCGAACTGGTGGTAGACGAAAGTCACGTGACTGCAATTCACCAATGAAGGTACCTATATTAAAGAGAAAGGTGTGTTATTTATCACTATCTCATCGTTTCAGACGACAGCAATCATACAACTGGTTGGAGGGTGTTTACTCGTTGTCTTGGGGATAGTAGCCATCATCCTCATGGCTAGAATGTCCTACTTTGCTACAGCCATCTGGAGCGGAATACTGGTAATGAATATCCATATATATAAATATATACACACACAAACACACACACACACACACACACACACACATATATCTCGCAGGAAATTTCATGTTAGAGACTTATTACAAATCACATCACGTGATCAAGCACAATGCTGCAATTTTGTGGACTTTGTTCCCCGTAAATTTATTATTTTTGTTTGGGGGAGGGGGGGGGGTTCCAACTATGTTATAGTTATCTGAAGCGGTATGTTGGTTATTTATTTATTATATTATCCCTCGCAAGAGACATTGGTCAAAGGTGTATCACGTGATCAAGCATATGCTACTATTATTCACTTGTTTGGTCTCGCTATGTTACAGTCACCCGAAGAGGAATAGTGTCATATATTTTGTATATATCGTTCACAGCAGTAAATTTCGTGTTGTATTTTGATTTATTTTATTCTGCAACATACAAATCAAATTACATTTCAGCAATACCCCAAAATATACCAAAATACAACCGTTTTTGTAAACGTGTACAAAATATGATGGTACTAATTATTGGCGTTAAAACAAAATGTTGCTGATAACACACTAACACTAATTATTCATTAAAACAATATCCAGAAGAATCCTCTGTGTGGCCATGCCTTGAACCATAATGCATGGCCGTACAGAGGAATTTTTCCTGTTGGGGGAAATTATTGATAATTTATTGCATTTTATTTTTATTTTATTTTTATTTGTGGGGGCTGCCCCCTACCCTAGTCCCTGCTGCGTACATTCATGATTCAGTGGCAAAGCAATGACTCGTAGTTGTAAGCATAATAGCACACACATACTTAAGCAGTTACGCGAAACAAACACTTGTAAATTATTATTCAATAAAACATGACAATGTATACTAGTATCTAGATCTATTAAGAATAAATCATTGTCGAAATTGGGGTAAAAACTAATTACTCCACCATTATGACCAAAAGTGTAGTTGGGAGAATTAAGGAATCGATCAGATCAGTGTTTCCCAAATTGTTATCTTTAGTAATGGTCTGTTACTCTGTTTTCGCTCAAACTTTCGGATTTTCTTTAATTGTACATTTAGCATGTAAGTCACTACCTTAAAGCTTATATGCCATAGTTTACAGAAGGGATTAGACCGCACTGCAATGCCACTGGACAGGTGGTTATCTCATCAACTCAGCTCTCAGTTAACATAAGAAAAAGAGGATCATGGGGGACAAATGGTCACCGATTAGGCATTGTTTGTTATATAGATGGCGCAAGTAGTTACAAGTAGTGCAGTGGGCCTTTAATTAGCACCATTTTCTCTCATCTGAACAAAAGGGACAAAGTATCTTTAAAGATAAAGTTGAGTTTTGGTCATGGGAATGCATTGTCAAGGAAACGATGTGGAATCGATTAGAACAAGTTGAACATGTAGCATGTATTGGTGTGTACTGCTAGGTTCTGGACTCGACGAAATAATAAGAAATTTACATGTGGCATAAAAATGGTCCTCATTTTAAAGCTATTAAATGTCATATTTAGAATATGAAGGCATTTGAAGAGCCATGCTTTTCAGGGAATTTTTGTTCTATGATATTCTTCCACACTTGCATAATAACAATAAAAACACTCACAAATGATTTTACACCTGTTCCCCAAAATCAACCTTCCCTTTAATGCCATTAAACGTTGATATCGGACTATGTAAACGTCATTCTAGGCAAGTATGCGAGTGATAGGATAAAGGTACGCATTGTATTCATTTATAGCGTTCTGGACACAGGTTTAGAACACAGGAAGCTTGTAGGATTAAATCATTGTAAAATATGTCATTATGAAATCCTGGTGATTAATTTAACCATTCATGTTAGTTAGATCGATGCATTATATACACTCAAACTTGGCTATAGTGGCCACCTCTCTATAAAGTATAAAGGTCACTTTGCCTTATTGTGGCCATGCATTTTGTTTCCATCGAGAAAGAACTGTGTGTTGTATAACCTGTTTAGAAGGTTTGACTGTATTATATTACGTACAGTTCCTATGTATGACATTTAATGTCAGTTTCTTCTTCAGTAATTAGCATGTTTATTTTGATTGTTCTCATATCTCAGATATTCGGAGTGACTGGAGTAATTGGCATAGTCGCAGGGAACAATGGAAACAAGTGTTTGGTAACCATTCTTCTTCACTTGGAATCCTATATCCTTTCTCTCTGTACTTTACTTTACCTCCCTCTCTCTAACCCACAATGTTTCTCTCTTTCTTATAATATATTAATCTCTTCTGGTTTGCTTTGTTTTGCCTATTATGTTAAAGTTTGTTATACGGTACTAATAATAAGATTCTATTCTTTAAACATCCCGGATTCGTACCTACTTGATATTGTCTTTCCTGGGTTGTATCATGGTGTTCGCTCTGTTCGAGATATCTTTTGTTCTAAGCTACTGAAATATGTTATAAGCTACGGAAATATGCTATAAGCTACTGAAATATATTGTAAGCCACTAAATTAAATTTGTTATAAGCTACTTTTAATACAATTCTATTCGTTAAAATCCCAGATTCATACCTACTTCGTTCTGTTCTTTTTTTCGGTGGCCTCATGGGGATTCGCTCTCTTTTATATGATTGCTGATCTTCTGATATAAGCTGCTAAATATTTTTAAAGCTACAATTCAAGTTTTGTCAGAAGGTACTAAATATATATATGTTTTTGTATTCCAGATAAATAAGCTACTATTAACAGAATTATTTTCTTGTTAACACCACACATTCATATAGGCCTACTTGATTAGGTCTATCTTCGGTTGTATTATTGGATTCGCTCCGTTCGAAGATATATATATATATATATATATATGCTACTGAAAAATGTTATAAGGTATTATATTCCACAAACTAAGAATCTTGCTATACGATTGGTCAAAAGTAAATCACGTGATGAAAGATAGTTAGCCCGTCATTGATGGGAGAAGCAAAAAGTTCGTTACACTGTAAAGCAAAGCACTTTCACTGAAGATAGAAGTCCTATGTACACAGGGCAACGCACTTTAATTGTATACGCTGCGTATTGCTGTCCTCTTTAAGCGCTTTTAGTGTTAGAACGCGAACTTTGGTCACGCGCAAACTATAATATGGTCACACCACCATACTGCATACACTGTATGGACGTGTGACCAAAGTTCGCGTGTGACCTAAGTTCGCTATCTCGAAAAATCAGTAAGATTTCGAAAATCTGATATCACCAATGGAAAGAGGAACATAAAATTACTCAGAATTGAAATTTTCTTTGGAATTGGGTACGAAATTGTTAAAATATTGACAAAAGATCGGCAAATTTTGCAGTCTTTTGCGTCCGTTCCGAAAATTTATCAACTTACCGATAAGGGTCTGAAAATCTTCAATTAGAGAGCAAATTTCCTCAAAATTGTAAGTAAAAAGTGGTACCAACTGATTGTGTGATATCTTGTCTGAACAAATTTGGAGTAAAAAACTTTGCCGTTCATTTGGTAGTAATTGAAATAAATAAATTTGTGTAGAATATGAGAAATCATAGATCAAATATAACATTTTGTAATATGTTCTAAAATGTCCGCGAACTTTGGTCACCCCTTCATACGTATCGTACACCGTTTGCTAGCTGTTAATTGATGACTTGTTGCTCTAAAATGACAGAAGAAATGAAATGTTTCCGATGTGGAATATAAAGCAAATAATCACCTTTTGGTTTCAGGCGATGGCAAACTATCACTTCCTCGGCATTCTGAATGTATACGCTTTTTTTCCTCAGCTTCGCTTCGGAAAGATAGCTACATCCAGATCGCCTCGGAAGTGATAGTTTGTCGCATTACCTTCACCAACGGTAATCATTTGCTTTACTATTTAATTTTTTGTATGGGCTACTGACATGTTACATGTATAAGCTATTATTAATAGATTCTATTTTTGTTGTGACATTCCAGGTTCGTACCTACCTCGGTATGTCTATTGTCGGTTGTCTCATGGGGCTCGCTCTCTTTTTTATGTATATGTTCGGCGCCATCTTGGAAGGGCAGTGGCGTTATTCATGGGAGAATGGCTACTACTACCCCTGGCCTGGATGCCAGCCCGGGAACTATTATTCGTGGATCCCAAACTGCGCTTACTCAGAGGTGATTTGCATACCACTTCAATCATGTCCATCACCCACTTTGTATTTTTGAAGGAGGCGTGATGGCTCAATTGGTAAAGCAGTGGTCTCGTAACCTGGATGTCCCGGGTTCAATACTGATTCGAGGCATTAAAGATAAAGACCAGTTTTGGTCATGCGATTGCATTGTGAAGGAAACGTTGTGGAATCGATCAGAAAAGGTTGATCATCTAGCTTATAAGTATTGGTGTGTACTGCAAGGTTCTGGAATCATCAAAATGATAAGAAATTTGGCCCAGTCTTCGTAAAGTTACAAGCACTGTAAACAGAAAGATGTATATGGGACTACACACACGTGCGCCACACGTGCGTTTATCTCTCACACACCAATAGATAACTAATTTACCAAATATATCAATTAGTAGGCGGTTTCCCGGCAAAATTGTTATCATCATGTATTAGTCAAAACATACTCTTTCACATAATTGGTAATAAGAGCTTCCATTTCATTTTTTAAAATTAGGGCGCTTCCAATACTGGTCGTTACCTTTAATCCTCATTACCAAATCCCTCGGAGAGTATTAAAGCCGTCGATACCTTAGTTGCTCAATACTTACAAGCACACGTGTGCTTTCTTAGAAGTCAGGTAAAAGAAAACCCCGGCAAAAGGGCAGTTTTATCAATTGATTCTATAGTTCAGCTTACTCTTCTTTCAGCACGATTATTTACAAGTGATTAAGGTGTGTTTTTGTATATATTCGATGTGGACAGAAAATAGGCTTTCGTGCAAAGCTTTTGTAATAAACTGAACTTGAACTTGAACTTCATTTTCAACATTCAAAAGATCAACGCAAAAAAAGTAAATACGCATTAAAGATATACATAATGAAAGTGCATTCAACTATCATTGATAATATTGGATGGCTTTGGGTGTGATACAAGAATAATTGATCGAGCTATGACAATATTGGACGAGTCTAATATTGTCTTGGCGAGAGCAATATATTCTTGTATCACACAAAAACAAAGCCTTACAATATTATTAGTATTATATATCTTAGTCTGACTAGCATAATAACAGTGGCGGATCTAGCTTTTGGCTGTTTTGTGATTTTTCTTGACATCATTCTTATAACATGCGGGGAATCGCCCACGAGCCGCGTAGCGGCGAGGCGATTTTTTTTATTGCCAGTTTGAACCCCCGTAAGTGATGTTTTCCTGGCATCTAATAAGTTAAACATCTACTAATACCTTGTGGGGCTGGACACATGAAGGCGTTTTTTTATGCGCATCACATTTTCACCCGAACCCCCCCCCCCCCCCCCCCCTGTAGATCCGCCCTTGAATAACAAAATTTAAGTTAATCCCTCGTTTAATATGACTTTGTTTTCGTGTGAAATCGGTATGATATCGATGTCGAGTTCCCGGATGACTGAGCAATACGAAAACAATATTGGTCAGACATCCGGGTACTGCACTAAAGATATTGAATACATTGATTTATTGTACCACGATAATTCAGGCAGTATTAAATTACTACGTACGAATCAAAATTCAATTTGTAGAGTACTAAATGTTCAAGAAATGTCACGTTTAGAGAAAAACACCCCAACTGCCCCCGCCCACTAAAAAATACAAAACAAACAACAATAAAAACAAAACTACAATAATGTGATTCAATAAGTTAATTATTAAGATGTTTGTTTTTTGTATTGTTCCACATTTCACATCACAAGGTTGTCTCATTCATAAGCTTTAAGAAGAGAATGCATTATAAACACGTTGATAGACGTGACAACATTGAGAAATGATAATGTCAAACATTGGAAATATATTAGGAGGAAAAGCTTGTTGATTTTTGGTTCCAAGAATAAAGTACTAAATATCGTAGCTGAATTGGAATCGGAACAGGAAATTCCGTATATGTACTACTGCAACTTTTCATTTAAGAAACATTTCTCGAATAAGAAGATACACTGTCGCTCATAAAGTTGGAATATTTTTGTTTTACCCCAATTCATGGAATTATTTTTAAAAATAAATTAAAAATAATAGATCTAGATAATAGTAACATTCTCAGATTTTATTGAATGATAATTTGACAATGTGTGTTATGCGTGACTGCTAAAGCATGTGTATGCTACTATGCTTATCAACAAGGGGACCTACGCCCTTAAGTCATAAATGACAGTAATGAGGATTAATGCCCCACAAAAGGGCACTTATATAGCACATCGACACGGTTTTGATCCTGGGGCCTCACAGTTACGAGGCCATTGCTTTGTCACTGAACCATGACTGTACGCTGTGGGGGCTAGGGTAGGGGGCAGTTTCCAGAAATAAAAAAAAAACACACAGAAAATGTAATAAATTTTCAATAATTTATTGCATTTTACCCTGGTCCCCAACATAACAAAATCCTCTGGACGGCCATGCATTATGGCTGAAGGCATAGGCACACAGAGGATTTGTACTACTGCAACTTTTCATTTAAGGAACATTTCTCGAATCAGAAGATACACTGTCACTCATAAAGTTGGAATACGCGTGCTTTACGCGTGCTAAAGATGCAAAATTCAAAACTGCGCGAAGCTCTGGGCGTGGGCTTCACACACCTTCACACAGCGCCTTGCCTTTATCAGCACTGATGCATAGTGTGCGTGCATAGGCATAGGCTTACAAATGTTTCATTTCAGCTCTAACATATTTACCTTTAGCAAATTTATTACAGATCCAGAAATATCAGCATTTGGCGCTGTGTGTACGTGTGTGAAGCCCAGGCCCAGAGCTTCGCACAGCTTTGAATTTCGCATCTTTAGCACGCGTAAAGCTTGTCATTGACAAGATGAGCTCTGATTGGCTGTATGCAAATGAGTTCATCCTGGGGGTCCCGAGCTCAAGTGGGAAAAAATTACGCTGCCCGGCAGTGCCTTAAAAGGACGTCACATTACCTTAAAAGGATGTCACACTTGGCGGTCTACGTTCTCGTCGTGTAAATCTAAAAGTCCCTATTAATAATAATAGGCCTAGGCATTTTTATAGCGCCGTCTATATAGACATTCTATTCCGAGGCGCATTTATTATTACCCCGCCTTTAGCCTAGATGCCATTACAGCGCTCCAGCATTTCAAGGAATTAATTCCTGCCAGCATACAGGTGCGTGCAACATACGCGAAACCGAAGAGTGAGGAGAACTTCGGTCTGTTTCGGGAACGCTAGCGCGCTGACCCAGTTAACCAAGTCCTTTCTCTTTTTTCTTTTTTTCAATGATATTTTAATTTCTCCATTGCCTTTCACAAACAATTACAAAAAAAAAACAATAAAAAAATCAATACATAAAATAATCTGCATGTTAATATTATTATATAGAATATGATTTTACAGTCACATCTTAATAATACAAGTGAACTTTTACTATTTACATAAAATAAAGCATGAAACATGCATGCATGAAGAAGGCATTAACATACAAAGACATTAAAAAAAAACACACAGACACCCACACAAACACCCACTGAAAACGTTTACGTGCAGTCGTCCAAAAGAAGACGTAGATGGCGTTAACCAGTATTTGTTATGCTACACCCCCTTTAAGGGTTTAAATCTCAGCCCAGCGCTAACATCCGTTGGCAAGACTTTAATCCGCATTTTGGATCCGGGCCCGGGTTTTAATGGGCAATCGATAGGGGTAGTAATGATTCGGAGGGCGCTCTGAAAGAATAGTAGCGAGTTTTCGCAACCGGTGACGCGGCCTTCTACAACGATAATCTTAGTTGGGGGTCGCAAATGCACTCAGAACTAAAATTTCCGCGTAGCATCCAAACCTACGACGGTAGTCAGCTGTATTAGCGTCTGGAGTCGAGCTAGTACGGGGTGGCGAGCTCATTTAAATACTCCGTAGTCAGCACTTGCGTCGCTGTGCGAAAACTCGCTAGTATTGAAGCAGATGAGGCTTCCCCTCCTAGGCATAAACAAAATCACTAAAGCTAATAAAAAGTTTTGGTATGGGGTCATGAAGTTGGTTCAAATGAACATATTGGAAGCATATACGATCCTACTACAATATTCAGTGATCGTGATGAAATTGCAAATAATAAACTATTTATGTTGTATAGCTCCCTCTCAAGGTCAAGATATTAATTTAGCTATAAAACAATCTTTCTTGACTAAAATCGACCGATTGGCTATTCCCGTTTGGAAATATCATATCACAATTACATATTCTGAAATGTTCATGGTCGCAGCTACCATTGTGTGAACGCAGGCGCTATTTGAAATTTATCAAAATTTACCGGGATCGAGCACCAGTAAATTTTGATATTCACGTTTTCTCGAAAGCAGAAGTGTTTGAGGGCCTTAATTTTCTAGTGCTTATAATATATCCACAGGAGCAACCAAATATATCAAAATTGTAAGGAATCACTGTCTAGCCAACTTTCAAAATTTACCAAAACTTTGTATAACCTTTAATATTAGCTATCATATTAAAACTTTCGCAATTGAAACTCTGTCCGTGTTTTTTCTGTTTATATTCCTTTTCCTTATAATTTTTTAGGCCGCAAGAGTGACATTCAATTGCTTGATATCGATCACCGGGTGTTTGCTTTTCGTGACCTGTACCGTCTCGGCGTCGTACGGATGCTGTGCTTCTTGCAAGGGTTACGAGAGTTACTGTAAGAAATGTTGCTGCAATGGTAGCGGTTGCGGCCAGTGTTGCACCCCAGCTCCTCAACCGGTCACGGTAACTGTCAAAATAACCACGTTCACTAAAGACTCGTTCAGACATATGACGCGGTTAATTACCGGAAATTCTACCGCGTTCTTTAACTTGAAAGCTAGTTCAGATATGATGAATAAACCGCCGCAATATTTTTTGTTAACGGTTAAATGAATGGCATCTGCGTGCAACAAAGGTTGTGTGTGTATTCAATGTGCTCGATCTGTACGAGTTATAAGATACAGAAATATGACGCGTATTACATTTTACGTCAGCGTAGGAAAGAAAAAAACGGTTTACCGTTGCATATCTCAACGAGGCTTAATATTTTAAAGAGAAAGTCCATCCTGACAAAAATTTGATTTTTAATAGAAGCAGAAAAATGAGAAGAGCATGCAAATCAGTAAAACTTTGAACAAAACTAACTTATCGAAAATACGAAAGTTACGATTTTTTAAATTCTTTATCAGTGAAACACTGTCACATGACCTAAAGGCAGGGGCATACATCATCCAACATGGAGGTTTTTTTTATCGTCACTGACAGCATTCTATACCATATTTTTTAGGCCATCTTTCAGGCACAAGGACCTACCGTTGCTACACAGGGGCATCAGCAAGGTATGTGTTGTTATAAGCTACTTTTACAAGCTACTGTTACAAGCTACCGTTACAAGCTACTGTAATAGCTCAAACTCCTGTAAGTTGAGTTATGATAAGGAATATAGAATGCTGTAAAAAGTGTAAGCCTTTATATCTGAATTAAATCATATACCAAAAAATCATAATAAATTCTGTAGAACTTACATCGCTAGACCTTATTTGTGGAACAGTGGTGAAACATGAAGTAAATAATTAAAGAAGAAAAAGAAAACAAATGTAAATAATAATGATAATAATATTGATAATAATGATAATATTAAAAAAAAGAAGCAGAAGACAAAGAAGAAGACAAAGAAGCAGACAAAGATAAGAAAGAGAAGGAAGGGAAGAAGGCAAATGTCACGAAAGTAAAATTTAAAATGTTGGATTCTCCCGGGACAAGTATAAGAACAATCGTTGTAAATCACATGTACAGAAAATACTACGTTTCGGTAGCAAGGTGATTTCATTTCTATCCTCCCTCTCCCTGTCAATTCAAATTATCGATTCCAGAATAATACTCTTATATTTCTCCTTTTTGTTAATTTCTCAACTATACGCTTTACAACTTGTAATATTTGTATCCCTTTTGTGCACTTTTCTTCGACTGCGAAGTTCACGCTCAAGCTGGAATGTACATCGTACAGCAAGGACCAGCTCCCGTCATACAGTACCCACAAGTTGCTATGCCAATGCCCGCAACCACCAATCAGGGCCAAGCACCTTACCACGTTGTGTCTCCAGCCATTCAGGCCCCGCCCCAACCACAGCCGATCCCTGGTCACATGCATGCTCAACAACCCAACCCTGTTGCTCCGCCCACTTACTACGACGCCGGTCAATTCCCCCCTGTTGAGCTACCTGAGAGTAAGGCATAATGAATGCAGCCCCAACCCCTCCCTCCTCTCGTGACTTGCGCCCTGTAATACCTTACACACCAAATGTTACGATTATTGTATCTCCCCGAAATCAAAAACCGTATCCTTCTATCAAAAATAAAACCTTTACAAAAAAGTAACTTACGATTAATTACGCTGTCGCTCATATAGTTGGAATATTTTTGTTTTACCCCAATTTATGGAATTATTTAAAAAATAATTTAAAAATAATAGATCTAGATAATAGTATACATTCTCAGATTTTATTGAATAATAATTTTGACAATGTGTGTTTTGCGTGACTGCTAAAGCATGTGTATGCTACTATGCTTATCAACTAGGGGACCTACACTCTTAAGTCATAAATGAAAGTAATGATGATTAAAGAACAAGTCCACTCGAAAAATAACTTACTTTCAATAAAAGCAGAAAAATCAGACAAACCAATCAAAAAAAGTTTGAGCAAAATCGGATAACTAAGAAAGTTATGAATTTTTGAAAAAGTATGTAAAACTATTGAACAATGAGAATCACGACACAAATTGCCAAGATGGTTATCAGTTTGTGACGTCATCTCCTCACAACTTATCAATTGCTTTATATAGTTTAATCCCATTAATTTCCCTTTTTATCCCCCACAACTTGATTTCCCCATGCCTTTGCCCAGGTTATATGATTTGTATCATATTGCGTGCATGACATTTCCCAAAAACCTTTATGAATTTTGAAGAATTGATACTATTTGCCGAATATTGTATTTCATAATTATTGAATTTATATAAATAGTTTATCAAAATTCAATTTTTTTTATGATTTAACTGGACAAAAATTACTCTTTATTTGTGCATCCACACAAAACATATTACTAACAATCTAACTTGGATGCTGGTGTGAAGAAATAAGATTCTTAGGGTGAAAATAGGAAATTTATATTATCAATATAAAGAAAATAATTAGTAGATAGTGAGGACCATACGTCACAGACTCATGAGTGAGTTGCCAATTTGTGTAGTGATTTAAAAAAATTCCTGTCATTAAAAATTCATAACTTTCTTATTAGTCATCCGATTTTGCTCAAACTTGTTTTGATTGATTTGTCTGATTTTTCTGGTTCTATTGAAAGTAATTATTTTTGGAGTGGACTTGGGCTTTAATGCCCCATAAAAGGGCACTAATATAGCACATCGACACGGTTTTGATCCTGGGGCCTCACAGTTACGAGGCCATTGCTTTGTCACTGAACCATGACTGTACGCAGCGGGGGCTAGGGTAAGGGGCAGTTTCCATAAATGAAAAAAAAATGCAATAAATTGTCAATAATTTATTTCATTTTACCCCGGTTCCCAACATGAACAAATCCTCTGTGTGCCCATGCCTTGAGCCATAATGCATGGCCGTCCAGAGGATTTTTTTTATGTTGGGGACCGGGGTAGAATGCAATAGGGGGCAGACATGTTGTATAGTAGCATGCTACCAGATTGCAATATTGTCGATCATCATAAAATCCGTAACAGATTTAAAATTGAAAGGATTCATTCGTAGAACTTGTTTTTATCTCGCCGAGAAAGTTCAAAGCAAAAATGAATCTAGAGAGTAAAACGAAAATTTTCAAGGATGTCTCTTATTAGTAAGTCAACAACGGCAACAAACCAAGATCATTTTCTGTATTCTGTAGATCTATTCTATTTTCATCGTAAAATGAATTCTTTCAATGAACCTTTTAAATGTTCCCTTAAATATTTTCATATGCTTTAGTCTTGCTTTTATTGTTATATGCATTTGTATGCTAATGATTTTTAATGAATATGAAATAAAGTAAAGTTGATACTCTTTTATGCATGAATGAATCAAAAATATTCTTGTTAAAATGAGTGATGTCTGAAGTAGTTTGCGCATCAGTAGTGATGTATACAATTCCGTTTAACTATAATGGTAATTAACAAAACAAAAGAAAATGTATACAAAGATAAATGATATATCATTATGTATTTTAAATAATCTCACACAAAAATATCTCACACAAAAAAGTCGTAATTATATTTAAATAAATATAATGTTTACTTTGTTATACGTATCCCGTCCAAAATGATGAATTGTATGTTTCAAAATTATTTGATGCGTGATAATAATCGCTACTGTAGAGAAAAGTACAATATATTATCTTATTCCTACTATGCTTTATACACCTACACTACTGTAAAATTTAGTGTCTTTTCTTGACAATTTGAATAATATGATGAGGAGCGACGAATTGGTTTAATATGTGTGTGCGTGTGCGTTTATGTGTGTGTGTGTATAAGTGTGTGCACATCTATTATCAGCAAACAAAGGGAATTTCAATTAGGCTTTTACTTGGAGCCATATAAGAACATTTGATGAGGTTTGGGTAATTTGTGAGGGATAATTATTTTTCATTTTGTAATAATACTTACATATATCTCTGAACTGCACGAAATTTAAACAGCTATGGCACTACAGTATTCAATATTTCAGCTAGGCTGAATTAAGATATATGAAATGGGGGGGGGGGGATATATTAAACCTGGCAATTCGAATAGAAAAAAATGTGTGAATTCTTTGGTCTTATTTTCAATATGCAATTTTCCATTGTAGGACACAAGGACATGCACCTTCCAGTGTGAAAATACAAACATATATAATAGCAGAATGTATAGAGGAAAAAAACAACTTAGAAATGAAGGAAGGCAAGTTGAGTTTACACCTACAGAAGTGTAAAGAACTAAAGTGAATAAGGATTTGAATGTGAACAGGACGATATGAGGTGTCCAGTGTTGTGTGCGTGTGATTATGTGTATGTTTGTGAAGTGCGAACTTGTGAGTGTGAATGTGAATGTTTACGGGGGGGGGGGGTTAAGTTGTAGAAGATGTGGAGGGGTGGCGGGAGATATTAACGGAGGGTGCATTGTATCCAAATGTGAATTATGTTATTTTGTCATGAATGATGGTAGGCTAATAACTAAGTTCAGTATGTCATCATTATTAGACAAATTTGGGGATTTCATTCCATTATTCTCCTTCTTTGCTTTTTTTTGTGAATAATTTATCTGCGTTATGAACACGAAATGAAGATTTGTAATTGTATGTAAATATTTACATTAATTTTTATGTAATTATTTATTTTGAATGAATTTTTTTTTCAAAAAAATATGGGGGAAAATATGTGCGGGACTATATGTCTGCATGATTAAGTTCAGTTTAGTCAATACATGTAGTAGCAGTAGCAGAAGTAGTAGAAGAATGATTTATTAAAACAACTGCAAAAAATAAGCAAAAACATATCCCATTACATTAGCAAGTAGAAAATAATGCATTAGGATTCTCTTTTTTTTTTCTTTTTTTTTCTTTTTTTTTTTTTTTTTTTTTTTTGGGGGGGGGGGGTAATACTCTGTCAACTAGGTGTTTTTAATTCAAATACGAAAATCAACTAAGGTTCGTTGTTATAGGTGCATTATACCTAAAGGTAGGGCCAACGCTTATTCGAATGTTCAGGAAACAACTTTAAGTGGGTAGGAAGAAAATGAAATAGGGATCATGGCTGACCATTTGTAATTTCGAAATTGAAAGCGGGTTTTCTTTTATTTCGCTATCCAGTTTTGGAAGCGGAGGCTTTGACCATGAAGGGGGATTCCCACCCCTCACCCTATTGCACCGCCACTACAAATAAACCCGTTGCAAGTGCGTGGTTGTCAATGATACAAATACCAGCGTCTCAAATTGAGACTCTCGGTACACGCATTAATCATCTTGCCGACTCCAGCAACGCTCACTGCGAGTTACGTATACAGTAAGTACGATTGCTCTTATATTATTTGTTGCGAATAGACAAGAAGAAGAAGAAAAGAAACAGAAAAAGGAAAATGAGAACAAGACGAAAAGAAAAAGCAGAAATTAACGATATAAAGGTGGAGGATAATGAATAAGACGTATAGACAAAAAGAATTAACGAAGGAGAAGTAGTAGAAGAAAACGAAGCAGAAGAAGTAGCAGATCAGAAGAAGAAGAAGAAGAAGAAGAAGACGTAGACAAAAAGAAAATAAGAGGAAGATGTATATATTACTCTTTTTTCACAAATCATAAAACAATATTAAAAGTCAGTATTGCTACAATTTTCTTTGAAAGGCATCGTTTAACATTGTTACATCTGAGATGCATGGCCCTACGTGTTATCAGTGTCTGTGATATGGTGTAATATTGAAGTCTTAAAAAAAATAAAAAATGGCGCTTCAAAATGATTATGAAGTGCCTCAAAAAATAAAAATCTTGGAGTGACCGGTTATACCATACTCATTTGCCCCAATAGACTGTAGTTTTATAAAAACCGTAAGGGCAACAAAAAATTCGATTTCCAATCATACATATCTTGATAATCAGACAGGCGATCTGCTTGTAAAAGCAGGGAGGTGACATAGTCATGGGATTCCTGACTGACCTAAAGGTTTATAATTATGATTTCAGCATGAGCTAAATCCAAGATTTTATTTCAGAATCTGAGGCAATGTAAACGAGTCACGTTCATGAAATGAAGTGGGTGTATTAACACCATCAACAGCAAACAAATAAATGTAAAAGCAATGAATAGAAATGAAAGCTCTTATGAAATATATCTGAACTATCCTCGTTATAGATACGTAGGTAATGTGTTTTACGATCTTCATGTGAATTTCATAAGGGCCACAGCTAAAACCATAACTGTTTAAAGATAAAGTCGAGTTCTGGTCAGAAAAGAAAAGGTGTGAAATGGATCAGAAAAGGTTGATCATGTAGCATGTAAGTATTGGTGTGTACTGCAAGGCTCTGCAGTCATCAAAATCATAATAAATTTGGCCCAGTCTTGGTAAAGAAACACGCACTGTACACAGATGTATATGGGACTACACAAATTGTGTCGGGCCTACTTACCTTGATTTCCTTGTCTTTCTATACTCAGCCAGTATACATTTTTTACCAATTTTTTTTGGCAAATAACATTTATTTGCAATCTTAAACATTCAGTGTAAGTTTCATTTGATTCTGTGAGAATTAATGTTTCTTTCTTTACCAGGAATCAATTTTATCTTTAAGACATGCCATTATGGATTTTGTTCGATTGTGTACGTCAGAAGATATCAAAACAATTAATTAGCAGGCATTGTTTACCATTCTAGAAAACGTAGGCATGAATAGGAGCAAAGGTCACACTGATAAAGTAAAGGTACCCTCTGACGTAGAAATGCATAAATTAAATAGTATGTTGATACGTAATTTCCATATATATGTTTATTACTCGTGAGTGATATTTTGTTTGCGTGGGAGTGTGTTTTCGGCTTTTTGTTTGATTGAATGACCTATACAGTGCGTCCCCAAAAAAACTTTACACTTTTGAAATGGCTACCGAATACAAAAATATATAATTCTGGGTGAAAAGTTTTATATTTATGGATAGCTCATAAACGCTAATTCCTGCGCAACCTAATTGTCATACCCTTAACAAAAGAGAGCAGTGCTCACCCAAGCATGAATTACTTTCGGACTTGTTGGTGTCATATGAAAGTTGAGTTCATGAGCGTTCCATCCATATAAACCCCCCCCCCCCCCAGAATCATGTATTTTTTTTATTCGGCTGCCATTTCAAAATTGTATAGTTTTTTCGGGGGACGCACTGTAGTGCAATTCAGAGTCCCTCAGTCCGATATAAACATTTAAAAGAAGGCTTAATTTTTCCAAATACGTGCAGATTATATTACTAATTTTCAAAGTGTTATTCTTTCTTAATTTTCAAAAATAATAAAAAGAAAAATATCACAAAATTATTTGTGGTGTTTGTAGAATCACCCTGTGATACACTCTACACATTAGGTCAATTAGTATTTATTATAAGATGATGAAGCAGATCCTAATCAAAGGAATGGTTGAGAGCGTTCACTTTACCAGGCTTGCACTTTGCCTAACACGTAATTTTACTAATGATCGGTCATTAGTAAATAATTATGACCAGTCATTAGTAAAAACATGTTATAAAACATCATTTTATGAAACAAATAATACACATCATTTTGTTTGGGTATTAGTAAAACTACCCAACCTCGGTACCTCGGTTATCGCCTCGGTCGTGTTAGACTGTTCCAAAGGCGCCTTGTGTTAGTAATTCTTATTAATACCATCACTGGTGTGTATTATGTGTATTCTACTGATCGATGAAGCAAGGGTTTGGCAGGAAAGAGTGAACTTTGTGCATATTACGTGCGGACGATCGTGCATGGCACAGTCAAGGGTTAATTATTTGAATTAATATTTTCAAATATTAACTATATTCATGATTGATAAGTAAATAACTAATGTTTAGTCGATAAGGCATTCACTGTCAACACATTAATGCAAATGACGTGATTAACTACCTCAATGGCAGAGCGGGGGCGGATAGGGGGGGGGGGGTCGTGCCCCACCGAAATCATAAACAAATACAAATAAAAGCCACTTTTGTAAGGAGTTTATCGTGTGTGTTGAGGAAGAAGTATAATAGACCTGTTTACTAATATATTTAAATTTATGCATGTTTCTCTGCAGATCTGAAAACCCACTTAACTTTCCTTCAAATTTTCCTTTTAGTTCCTCAATTTAATTGAGCTCTAATAAACTTGGGAACCGGTTTTCTAAAAGCTCCCTTAGCGGTCAAAAGCTAGCCACGTTGTTGCTGATCTACTGCCCAAAGTTTTTTTCGTGTCTGTCTAAACCTGTGCTTAAAACCCCTTGCTCTTTCATTAATCAGATTTTATTATTTCTTTGTTTCCACCAGGTCCACGAAGACCAGATTTTCCCTTTGATATACTTTATCCCTCAATTGAAAGTTCGTGGATAATATAGAAATGACGTCGACCAGTAACCCACCACCGACCAGTAACCCACCACGGGGATGTCATTTGTCTATGGTATCCCTCAACAGCAAAATGATGTTTGTTCTTCCTATCTTGGACGCATTAAGGTAGGTTTAAAGGCCAAGTCCACTCCAAAAATAACTTACTTATAATAGAAGCAGAAGAATCAGAAAAACCAATCCAAAAAAGTTTGAGCAAAATTGAATGATTAATAAGAAAGATATGAATTTCTATTAAATGACATAAAAACTTTTAAAATAGCAAGAAAGATTGGCATCTCACTCAAGAGTCTATGACGTCATTGCCTCACTTTCTACTAATTGTTTTCTTTATACTGATAATCTAAATTTCCCATTTTCCCTCTAAGATTCTTATTTCCTCACACCAGCATCCAAGTTATATTGGTAGAAATTGTGTGTGGATGCACAAATATAGAGGTTTTTTTTTTTTTACATAATAATAATAATAATAATAATATTTAATTTTAATAAGAATCAATAATTATGAATCAATAATATTCAGAAATGGTATCAAAGCTTCAAAGTTCATAAAAGATTTTGTGAAATGTCATGCACGCAATATGATACAAATCATATAACGTGTGTGAAGGCATGGTGAATTCAAGTTTGGGGGATAGAAAGGGAAATTAATGGATACAAATCAATTGATAATAATGAGACAATGAAGTCACAAACTGATAACCAAAGTGAAGGTACCTGTATTAGTGAAAGATGTGTAATTTATCACTATCTCATCATTTCAGAGGACTGCAATCGTACAACTGATTGGAGGATGTGTACTGGTTGTCTTGGGGATAGTAGCCATCATTCTTCTGGCTGCTTGGTCCTACTTTGCTACAGCCATCTGGAGCGGAATACTGGTAATGTAATCATATAAATGTTTATATATAATAGTTATATTTATTTATATAACCCTACGTGATGTATTAACCGGACATATATTTATAACCCTACGCTGTACATTAACCGGACATCGTAAAAAATGGTATGTTAACCCTAACCCCAACCCTAGATTCAAACCAATATAAATAATTAAACTAATGATTAAACCTTTAGTTTCTTTGAAGGTCTTTAAGCTTCATCTGCCTGCAAACATAAGTAAGCGGCAGTACTTCTTTTGTGCAATCGTTAACAGGACACGAACATATCTTGCTAATGACCATGTCTACTTTAAAGTTAATACAAAGTTCTGGTCTGGGGTCATGAACTTGGCTCAAATGAATATATTGGAAGCATATGCGATCGTACAATATTCAGTGATCGCTGTCGCGGTTGAAATCAAGTCTGAAGTTACGAAATTGTAAATAATAAACTCTTTATGTTGTATAGCCCCCTCTCAAGGTCAAGATATCTATTAAGCTAGGCGTTGTGGCGTGCGCCTGTAATCCAGCTTACAGTGGTAGTTACAAACTGATTCAGCCGAGAACGCAGGTTCGAAACTGAGTCACGTCTTTCGGATGGTGACGTTAAAAGTCGGTCCCCAGACGTAAATAATCATATCTGATTGATACACGTCTGTAAAAACCCAAATACACACACACACACACACACATATAAAACAATGTTTTTTGACTAAAATCGACCAATAAGCTATTCCCGTTTGGTAATTATATATCATAACTACACATTTCGAGATTTTAATGGTCGCAGCTACCATTATACGGCCGTAGGCGCTATTTGAAATTTATCAAAAATTTACCAGGAGCACCGATGTTCTCAAAAGCAGAAGTGCTTTAGGGGCTAAATTTTCTAGTGCTTATAAAACATCCACATGGGCATCCAAATATATAAAAATTGTAAAGAATCACTTTCAAGCCAATTTTCAAAATTTCCGAAACTTATTATTATAATATTATATTATTTTGTTCATCACATAGGCATTTGTCTGTCTAATGATACTATAAGGGGTCACTCGCGCTTGCACACACACACACACACACACACACATGTATATATATAAATATATATATATATATATACACATTGTTGGTCATAATGGTGGAATAATAATATTTACCCCAATTTATACATTTTCAGATTTTATTGAATTATACATTTGCGAGTGTTTGTTTTGCGTGACTGCTAACACAAGAAAATGCAATAAATTATCAATAATTCAATGAATTTTCCCCAGCTGCCCGACAGGAAAAATTCGTCTGTAGGGCCATGCATTATGGTTGAAGGTATGCCCACATAGAGGATTTTGTTATGTTGGGAATCGGGGTCTTAGTACGGTATAGCCATCTTTACCGGCATACTGGTAATTTTATTGTATTGTCCCTCGCATGAGAGATTGGTCAAAAGTGTATCACATGATCAAGCATGTTGCTACTATTCAGTTCACTTTGTTCCCATATATGTTTAGAAAACAGGACGCTTGTAGGATTAAATCATTGTAAATTTGCAATTATAAAACCTCGTGATATTTTTAGCCATTCATCTTAGTTAGATCAATGCACTATACACTCAAACCTGGCTTAGTGGCTACCTTGCGGCAGGTCACTTGTCATATTGTGGCCATGCATTTTGTTTCCATCGATAAAGAACTGTGTGTTGTATAACCTGTTTACTGAGAAAGGTAATCCGTCTATGTATAGTGGCCACTTTCTACAGTGCCCTTGGTTGGACTTACTGGACAGGTTTGACTGTATTATATCACGTACAGAGATGTAATGTCAGTTTCTTCTTCAGTAATTAACATGTTTGTTTTTTTTTGTTTTGTTTTTTTGTTTTGTTTATATGATCGAAAACATTTTTTATTACAATATAACAAGTAGAACACTAATAGATCCCATACTATACAATAAGGGAGTTTACAGATAGCACATGGTACAAATGACCCCAAATATCCACAGATCTTTTACACATGGAGAAGTTCCACTTTGAGCATATTAGAATAATAACTGCCAACGTCCTAGATGTGCTTCATGAATAACTTTTGCTTGCCCTCTTGAAAAGAATACTTCCAACTGCGTATCTTAGAATGTACCGTTGGTGCATAAATGAATAATGTTAAATAACTTTCATGAGCGCATATCCAGTATTCATCTCTGTGGGTTGTACCTTTTTGGTACGAATGAACTTTATCTTCCCATGCGCAGATTGTATCTGTAAACTCCCTTATTATTATTATTTTTTTTTTTTTTTTAGTAAAATGAATTTATTCATAAATATATGCTTTTGAACAAATCAAACAATCATACACAATCAATTGTAATAACCTCGTAGCATCTTAACATAGTTCAAATAAAACATGTTTCGTTTTCTTGAAAAACAGTGTTTTCAAAAATGCATAGCTTTTTTGTTTTACAGTTCCTTTCGATCTTTAATCGGTTGTGGATTAGTCATTTGAAAATACAAAGAATAGAGACTTCATGAAACATGAGTTTGCAATTTTCTGCTTGCATAAATGTTAAATAAACTGAGTAGTTTGCATATATGATAAGAAAATTAAAACTTTTAAATATTTAGTTTTTCAAGTTATAACCTTCAATTAAAACGAACTTGTCAAAAGAAAAATTTACATTGTAAAGTTTTCGAATTATGTCTCCAAATTTTAACCAAAACAATCTTGTGTGCTTGCATTTTACAAATAAATGGAGATTGTCGTGTAACTGATTATCATATAATCATAAGGGATTGTTACACAATTTGAATTTGAATAAATTATACCTATTTGGTAATAAGTTGTGTAATAACTTAAAATTAAATTCTGATTTTTTTTTCTTTCATAGCTTGTAAATTAAATGACCATATGACTTTCCAGTCGATTTGTTGTGTACTATTTAACATTTCTTCCCATTTCTCTTCTATTGGAGGTCTAACAATTGAATGAATAGACAACGTAGAGTAAAAAAACTTCGACTTTCGTTTAGTGTTAACATTCATTAAAACATTTTTCATGACACCTTCATTTTCTTCTCGTGTCGCATCATATACATGTACCTGTCTTAACATATTCTGTTTCCAAACTTTGGGAATTGCATTTACTATGATATAATATTTTTTAAACAAAGAAGCATGTTTTTTCTCAAATCTTTCTTCAATTTCTCTCAAAGACATAAATCTAGAGTTTTTTACGACATCATTAATTTTCAAAAGGCCTACATTGAACCATTTTTTAATAAATAATACATTTTTGTTATGATCTCTTATATTTGAGTTAAACCATATGTTTTCACTTCTAACATTAGTACATTGTAAATCTATTGGCGTCTTACATTCTACTATCTCTTTGAAGTAAAACCAAGTATATGCCATACTCTTGTAATATTGGGGCATTTTTATATTCTTTAAACAAAACTTCATATCATCTTTTGTACATTTAGTATTTAACACATATTGTAAATTGCACACTTTTTTAAAGAAACCATCAATTATCTTTTTCCACTTTGAGTTTTCGTGGGAGAAGTAGTGCAATATCCACTTTAATATAAAACTTTGTAACATAGAATTTAAATCAACCATTTTTAATCCTCCATACTCATAACTCATACAAACCACTTTTCTTTTTATATTGTTTTTTTTTTCCATTCCACAAAAAATGTATACAGTAAAGAATCAATGTTTATCTTGATTGTTCTCATATCTCAGATATTCGGAGCGACTGGAGTGGTTGGCATATTGGCAGGGAACAATGGGAACAAGTGTTTGGTAACCACTCTTCCTCTCTGTTCCTTTCTTCACCTCCCTCTCTCTCTCACTAACTCATTCTGGTTCTCTCTATCTCCTAAATTTATAATCTCGTGGGGTTTGTTCCGTTTTGCCTATAATGTAAATTTGTGTTATACGCTACAATAAAATTGATAGAATTCTATTCTTTAAACATCCCAGATTCGGACGTACTTTGTTACGCTTTTGTTCGGTTGTATCATGGAGTTCGCTCCGTTCGAGATGTCCTTTGTTATAAGCTACTGAAATATGTTATAAGCTACTGAAATATATTGTAATACACTACATTACATTTGTTATAAGCTACTATTAATTCAATTCTATTCGTTAACATCCCAGATTCATTCCCACTTCGTTCTCACTATGAACATGACTGACAAAGAAAGCGGACATAATATACAATTCCTCAGGTAGACAAAGGAACATCCCTATACTGCTATTATGTAAAAATGTGTAGAACAGGCGTCACATGCATATTCACTTTTTTACATAATAGCAGTTAAGGGATGTTCCTTTGTCTACCTGAGGAACTGTATATTTTGTCCGCTTTCTTTGTCCGCCATATTCATAGTGTCTGTTATTTTTTCGGTGGCCTCATGGGGATTCGCTCTCTTTTATTTAATTGTTAATCCTCTGATATAAGGTACTGAATATTTTTAAAGCTACAATTCAAGTTTTGTCATAAGGTACTAACTATTTATTTTGTGTGTGTTCCAGATAAATAAGCTACTATTAACGTAATTATTTTCATATAGGCCTACTTCATTAGGTCTTTCTTCAGTTACCTAATTGGATTCTCTCTATTCGAGATATATTTTGTTATAAGCTACTGAAATAAGTAATAAGCTACTGAAATAAGTAATAAGCTACTGAAATAAGTAATAAACTACTGAAATAAGTAATAAGCTACTGAAATATGTAATAAGCTACTATTTAAATTTTGTTACGAGCTACTCATATGTTATAAGCTATCATTACAGGCATCGTTTAACAATGTTAAATCTGAGATGCATGACCCTACGTGTTTTCAGTGTGTGCGTGGTGTAATATTGAAGCCCTAAAACCAATTGCGCTTCAAAATGATCAGTGCCTCCAAAAAAAAAATCTTTGAGTGACCGGTTTTATCATTCTTATTTTCCCCAATAGACAGTATTGTTATGAAAACCGTTAGGAAAACGAATTTTTGTATTTCGATTTCCAATCATAAATACCTTGATAATCAGACAGCTGATCGGCTTGTAAAAGTCATGGGGTTCCTGACTGACCTAAAGGTTTATAATTATCATTGCAGCATGAGCTAAATCCAGGATCTTATTTCATAATCTGAGACAAAGTTACCCAATCACTTTAACAGATTCTATTTTTCGTTACATTCCAGATTCGTACCTACATGTGTATGTCAATCTTCGGTTGCCTCATGGGGATCGCTATCTTTCATATGCATATTTTCGCCGCCATCTTGGAAGACGGCCAGTGGCGTTATGTATTGGATGGCCGCTACTACAACTGGGACTACTGGAATGGATGTCAGCCAGGGGACTATTATTCGTTTATCCCAAACTGCGCTAAATCAGAGGTGATTTGCTTACCACTTCAATCATGTCATTCACCTATAAGGAGGCTCAGGGGCGGATCCAGCCGGCGTCGAGGGGGGGGGGCCAATTTGTGAGAAAATATTGAGCGGCGCGTCAGCGCCGCGTTCCGCGCTTGCGCGGACAGGGGGGGGGGGGGTCTGAGGGGGGATGTGTCCCCCTGAAAAGCTGAAGAAAAATCGAATTTGTAAACTCAATTTGTGCGATTTGGTGTATACTTTTTGCCAGGATATCATTTAAAATCTGTGACTTTTTCCAGCATAAATTTATGATAAGAGGAAAAGACTGTAAACACAAGAAGTGGGACTATGTGTGCAGTCCGCATAGTACCCCGTTGTGACCAAATGTCTTTAGGACACTGGTATTCATCGGTACCTCTAGGCAGGCGCGTACGCAGGGGGGGGGGGGGGGGTTGGGGGTTAACCCCCCCCCCCTTTCGGCGATTTTTTTTTTTAATGTCCTCTTACCACCCCCCCCCCCCCCCCCCGCTTAATCAGCGCCCCCGGAAGCTCGGAGGTTTGAGCAGGCCAGGGGCAATTGAGGTCATTCTAAGGGTGTGGGGGCATCAACAATAAAGGGCACTTTCCGGGAGAAAGGGGCACCTATACTAAGGGAAACCTCAAAGCGAAAATGTACAGTTTTTTTAGACATTGGTATATACCCCTACAATGTGATTACAGGGATGATTTCAATGTCTGTTTCTCTCTTAACATGGTCCATACTGTTTAAGCATCACACATTTACTTTGTAGTTGGTTTGTGATGGTAAGAATCATTTTTGCGAGCGAGCGAAGCGAGCGAGCAAAAAAAATTTGGATTTGTGAGGTCGCAGTGAAAAAAATTACATCTTATAAAGAAGAAAAAAAATCCTGATGGGGTTTTAAGCACAATCTAATCATGAAAGACTGAAAAGATCTTTAATATGAACCATAATTATATCAACTTTAAATACGAGCGAGCGTAGCGAGCCACACTTGGGTGAAATTAAAGAAAAGTTCCTCTTAATCCCATCAAATTAGGATCACTTTTTATGGGGAAAGGAAAAGGGGGCACATATCTAAAGGGAAAAATGACACTTATTTGAAATGAAAAAGAGCACATGTCAAAGTAACAAGGTGAATTACCAGAGGTGAAAATGGGGCGCTCCTCGCACTTAATAAGGGGCACTCACCAGAGATGAAAATAGGCATTTATGACAACGGATAAAGTGCAATTTTCAGAAGAAAAATGGCACTAATCAGAGATGAAAAGGGGCACTTATTACAGAGTTAAAGGGGGCACCTCTCAAATTTTAATAAGGGCATGCACTCATCGGAGATGAAATGGGGCACGTATAAGAAAGAACCAAATCTCACGCACACATTATGCAAAAGAGGTGAGTAATTACGTCCTGCAGGACACAATACAAATCCCAGGTTAGTTTCCGGAAGCTGGAGAAGAATCCTTTTCGCATCGTATACTGATTTTAATTTTGAATGATTTGCGCATTTATCCAATCTCTCCATATAATGTAACAGTAACAACCCATCTGTGACACTAATAAACGATGTGCATGAGACTAATTTTATTCGGTATAATTTACATATAATAAATATTATGGGCAGTTTGAAAAAGAAAAATTTAGACTGACAGATCGTCTTCTGCAGTGTTTTTACCCAGATTCTGGCGATAAAAATGGGTAATTTTCTGAATAAATCAGGCTTTTACAACCACTTTTACGTAACTAATTTTATGAATCCGCGAACTGCCGAATTTGGAAGCTTTGCCGACATGCTTCACGATGCCTCCGTGTTTTTACTTTTCGCATTTGCTATTTTTCGTGCTTTTTTCCTTAATTACGTTTGCTAAGTCGCGCTTTTATGTCGATAAAATATGTGGTCTCGCATTTTGCAGGAAAAAATTTTTTTTTTCCGGGGCCTTGCCCTTGGTTGGTTTCTTTCTATTTCTCTTTAAAATACTTTTTCAAATAAGAGGGGGGGGGGGGGGGTTGAGCCCCGCCATACCGCGGACCCTGTACACTGTGTAACAGCATGATGATTTGACAGATGGACCTGAAGTTAACCGAGTCCTGAAATACTTTTGAACGTTGTAACTTGTACGCCCTAGTGTAGAGAGATCATCGGCATTTTGTTTCTATCATAATATATAGGCCTAAAACACTAATTAGGGCTAGTTTTGACCTGAAAAAAACCTAAAGCTCGGCGCATGTCCAGCTGAACCGCGGGAGCTTGGCCTATATACGGATAGGTGAGGGCCCTGGGTCCACTCCTAACTCGTGTTTTAGCCCTTCTTTCTTCCCTTTTCCTTTCCTTTCCTTTCCTTTCCTTTCCTTTTCTTTTCTTTCCTTTCCTTTCCTTTTCTTTCCTTTCCTTTCCTTTTTTTTCGGGGGGGGGGGGGGGCCGGGCCCGTCGGGCCCCCCCCCCCCCCCCCCCCCCGTGGATCCGCGCCTGAGGACGCTAAATGGTTCAGTGGTAGAGCAGTGGTCTTATAACCAAGAGAAGCAAATCGAGGTATAAATCCTCATTACCAGGTCCCTCGGAGAGTATTTAAAACTGTTTATCCCTTGGTTGCTTACTTGTAGACAAACGACCCAGCCGAGGGGCAGTTTTATCGATTGATTCTAGTTCAGCCTACTCTTCTTCCAGCATTGTGATTAAAGTGTTAACTTTTTATATATATCCGACATGAACTGCAAATAGGCTGTCGTGCAAAGCATTTGTAATGCACTGAACTAGAACTTGAACTTTATTTTCAACTTTAAAAAGATCAACGTATTTTTGTTGTTGCTCAAAACGAGGGGGGGGGGGTAGTGAGCACTTAACAAATTGTTTTGCTCAACGGGGGTTGGGGTAGTGAGCACTAAAGAAATACTTCATTTTTCTACTCAACACCCCATCGCACCCCCCCCCCCCCTCTTTAGCAGACATAAGAAAAGGGTAAATTTGTGGTTACTATCTTTGAAGAAAAAAAGATTTTGCCAGGGGTTGCTGTTGTTGGTTTTTAGGGCATTTTCCATCGTTGTTGAAGGATTTTCGCCAAGGGGTGGGGGCCTGTCTGTTTTAATACTTTTTTTGCCAGGGGGGCGGGGGCGGGCCCGTCGCCCCCTCGCCCTTCTTGTTGATGTGCGCCTACAACTAGGATGCAATAACTTTGCAACTCCGCGATTGGACACGGCGAGGTTGGGTTTATTGTCGGCTCGGTGTAAAAATGTAAGAGGTAAAAATGTCAGAGGAAAACATGACAGAGGTAAAAATGTCAGAGGTAAAAATGTCAGAGGTAAAAATGTTAATAGTTAGAATGTCAGAGGAAAAAATATCAGTCGATAAAATGTCAGATGTAAAAATGTCAGAGGTAAAGGTATCAAAACAAATGCATATTACAGGTTGAATATCGGTAGTGTTTGTATATTAGGCTTATCAAAAAAGTATAACGAAATATTCTCTGCAGTCATTAATCAGTGCTGCTTTATTTTCCTCTTTCGTTAACTTTTATTTACCTTTCGCTCAAAAAAAATGACTGTTTGCCCGATTATTGCCGAGGGGAGGCGGGGAGGGAGTTTGTATCCCATTCCACCCCCAGCTTGTACGTCTAGGCCATGAATCACAGGGTACATCTTTCAAGCCTCAAAAACAAATAAAATCTTCACTTATGTTGCTTCTAAAGATTTTTTGTGTACCTCTGACATTTTTTCCCTTTGACATTTTTACCTCTGACATTTTTACCTTTGGCATTTTTAGCTCTTACATGTTTACCTCTTACATTTTTAACTTTGGCATTTTTACATTTGGCATTTTTACCTCTGACATTTTTACCTCTGACATTTTTACCTCTGACATTTTACCTTTGGCATTCTTACCTCTGACATTTTTACCCCTGGCATTTTTACTTCTGACTTTTTTACCTCTGACATTTTTACCTCTGACATTTTTCCCTTTATCATTTGTACCTTTGACATTTTTAAATTTTGCATTTTTACCACTGACATTTTTACCTTTGACATATTTACCTCTGACATTTTTACCTCTGACATTTTTACATTTGACATGTTTACCTCTGACAATTTTACATTTTGCATTTTTGCCACTGACATTTTTACCTTTGGCATTTTTACCTCTGACATTTTTACCTCTGACATTTTTACCTCTGACATTTTTACCTTTGGCATTTATACCTCTGACATTTTTACATTTGACATTTTTACCTCTGATATTTTTACCTTTGGCATTTTTACCTCTGACATTTTTTACCTTGGACATGGTACCTCTGACAATGAAACTTTCTAGTGGGCGTTCACTCGAATTCCTTCAGACTTCAGACTTCTTGAACTCAAAGGGTGTGATCAAATATATTTGTTTCATTATATATATATATATATATCTTTCTCTTATAATTTCTATGTATAGTCTGCAAGAAAGACATTCGATGCTTTGATTACGATCACCGGGTTCTTCCTTTTCGTGATGTGTATCGTCTCGGCGTCGTACGGATGCTGTGCTTCTTGCAGGGGTTGCGAAAGCTGTTGTAAGAAAATCTGTTGCTGCGATGGTAGCGGCTGCAGCCAGTGTTGCACACCACCTCCTCCACCGGTCACGGTAAATATCAAAATAACCATGCTCACTAAAGGCTCGTTCAGACATATGACGCGGTTAATTACCGAAAAAAAAACTACCGCAGTGTTATAAGATATATACATGTGACGCGTATCACATTTTACGTCATCATAAGAAAAAACGGTTTTCCGTTGCATATCTGAGCGAGGCTTAATAGTCTAACGAGGATGTCCACCCTGACATAAATTTGGTTTTAGTAGGAGCAGAAAAAGTAGAGGTGCACGCAGGTCAGTGACATTTTGAACAAAATATTATCAAAAATAAGAAAGTTCTGATTTTTTGTAAGTTGTCATCAGTCAGTGAAACACAAATTGGCAACACTGGGATGTATCTTACGAGGGCCTCTCCAATTTGCTCTGTGAATAATTTTCGTAGACTTTTCTCGCAAAAAACGTCACACAGTTGCCAATCTTCAAATTGCCAGGAGTAAAAATTGTATAACTCTTTTTTTTTAAAATCAGATTTCGCTCAAACTTTCGCTGACATGTTTCTCTCATTTTGTTATTAAAATGTTATTAAAACCATCTTAAAATCAGGGTGGGCTTCCCCCTAAATAATGGGGAAAATGCAAGCTATTTTGTCACATATTAAGTTACCGGGCACATCTAATCACCTGCATGGGCCCCATTTAACAAAACTAGTCATCAGTGACACATGACAGTCTTTGTTATAAGCTAGAGAAATACTTGCTTCTGATTGGTTATCTCCACACTTGTCACTGATTTGTACAATTTTTCCTTGTGAAACATCCCCCTGGTCAGGCGCGCCGGAAGCAATTTGGGATAGGGGGGGGGGCAACATTCCAGGGGGCTCACCTTCCAGGGGCATTGACGTAATGAGCAGGGGGGGGGGGAGGCAGAAGAAAAATCTGCATCACTAATACACGTTACATGCAGGCCCCGAGTATTAAACGATCAGGTAGAGCGTAAATTGGCGTGGGCTCCAGGGCCTGGGCCTGGGCCTTGGCAGGGGGTCAAGAGGCTGAGCCCCCAGAAGCTCGGGGTTTTTAGGCATTAAATTACGTTCAGATATTATTTAGATACCTCATTTGTGACACTGGCAGGTCACTAATTGGCGGAGAGTCCTGGGAGCAGAGCCCCCGGAAGCTCAGGGGTTTTAGTTATTTAATTACAGTTAGATGAACATCCAGGGGCCGCCTTAGGGCCCTTGGTGGGGTCCAGGGGACAGAGCCCCCGGAAGCTTAGGGGTTTTAGGTATTTAATTACGGTCAGATGAGCTTACAGGGGACCGCCTTAGGGCCGTTGTTGGGGTCCAGGGGACAGAGCCCCCGGAAGCTCAGGGTATTAGGTACTTAATTACGGTCAGATGAGCTTCCAGGGGACCGCCTTAGGGCCCTTGGTGGGGTCCAGGGGATAGAGCCCCCGGAAGCTTAGGGGTTTTAGGTATTAAATTACGGTTAGATGAGCATCCAGGGGACCGCCTTAGGGCCCTTGGTGGGGTCCAGGGGATAGAGCCCCTGAAGCTTAGGAGTTTTAGGTATTAAATTACGGTTAGATGAGCATCCAGGGGCAGCCTTAGGGCCCTTGTTGGGGTCCAGGGGACAGAGCCTCCGGAAGCTTAGGGGTTTTAGGTATTTAATGACGGTCATATGAGCATCTGGGGGCAGAGCCCCCGGAAGCTCAGGGTGTTAGGTATTTAATTACGGTCAGATGAGCTTCCAGGGGACCGCCTTAGTGCCATTGGTGGGGTCCAGGGGATAGAACAACCCCCGGAAGTTTAGGGGATTTAGGTATTTAATTACGGTCAGAGGAGCATATTTGATACCTCATTTGTGACATTAGCAGGTCACTTATTTTTTCTCTCTGTCTTTTTTCTTTTTCTCTGTAACATACCTCTTCAAAAAGTAAGGGGGCTCGAGCCCCCGAGCCCAGCCGTTTTGCAGACCATGACATAAAGGCTATTAAATAAGCATATTTTTCGCCCGACTGTGAAATAAAATCACCTGGTGATACCGTATCCAATATGGAGGTATTATCAGACACCATGCTTGTTTCCTAGTTCGATTGGGTTGTTGTTGTTGTTGTTTTAGTCTTAAATGCGTGTGTCATTAAATTGTGAATATTTACGCCGTGATTATGTAGGTTTATGTTGGTGATTATGTAGGTTTATGTAACAGTCGTTTGTCTGAATGGAGTTTTGCACTCTACCATATTTTCAGGCCACCTTTCAGCCGCAAGGACCTACCGTTGCTACACAGGGGCATCAGCAAGGTATGTGTTGCAATAAGCTAGTGTTACAAGCTACTGTAAGTAGCCAAAACTATACCGAAGTTGTGTTATGACAATGATTAGAATGCTGTAAACAGTGTAAACCGTTAGCTGAATTCATTTAAAGTTTTTTTTTAGAACTCACATCGGTAGACATAATCTTGTGTGACAGTCGTCAAAAATGAAGTGAATAATTGAAGAAGAAAAAGAAGAATGAGATGAAGAAGAAGAAAAATAACGTAAATAATAATTACAGGAAGAAGAAAAAGAAGAAGAAGGGAAGTTTACACATGTCGGATAATAAATTTGTATATGTTTGAGTTTGATTCCCCCGTGGCAGGTATGAGAAAAATCATTGCCATCACATGGACAGAAAATTGTATTTTTGGGTAGCAAGGCAATTTCATTTCTATCCTCCTTTCCCTGTCAATCTTAATAATCGATTCAAAGCATGTTCAGGTTAAAGGTCATAGACTAGTTTTGGAAACGCCCCCTCTCAAAAAATGAAATGGAAGCTCTTATTACCAATCATGTGAAAGAATATGTTTAGACTGATACGTGATGATACAAATTTTGCCGGGAAACCGCCTACTAATTGATATATTTGGTAAATTATCGTAGTGATCCTGCCTGGATAGATATCACGAATGCAATTCGAAATTGAACATTTGGGCATATATTTCTGCTTTGTTGCGACCTTAGGTTGAAGTATTGCCGTCTAAACCTCTGAAGGCAATATTTAAAAAATATTGAATGGATATTTTGCATCCAAAACCCTTGAACCGCAATTTTACCACTACCGGTCTATATTTTTAATATAGGCCTATATTTCCCCATTTTGTGAATTTCTCAACTTTACATTACAAACTGTGATATTTGTTCTTCATTTTGTGAATTGTTCATGCTCCAGTTGGAATGTACATCGTACAGCAAGGACCAGCTCCCGTCATGCAGAACCCACAAGTTGCTATGCCAATGCCTTCAACCACCAATCAGGGCCAAGCACCTTACTACATTGTGTCTCCAGCCACTCAGGCCCCGCCCCAACCACAGCCGATCCCTGGTCACATGCATGCTCAACAACCCAACCCTGATGCTCCACCCACTTACTACGGCGCCGGTCACTTCCCCCCTGTTGAGCTACCTGAGAGTAAGGCATAATGAATGCAGCCACACCCCTTCCCCCTTCCCCCCCCCCCCCCCCCCCCCCCCCCCCCCCCCCCCCCCCCCCTCGGTGCATGACATGGAACCTGTTACAGCTGTTACATAAAATGTCACGATTATGGTATCTCCCCAAATTAAAACATCTTATTCTTCAATCACTCGTACATTGACCAAAAATAGTAACTGACCATTGATTTTATGTTACAGATAACTACAATGAGTTGTAAAGCTAATCCCAAGAAAGTACATGTACATAATATGGGCTACTATAGTAACTAGACACAGTATACTATTGAGTTGTAGTTGAATGATTGATTGTAAGTCTGTTTTATGTTACGGGGTCTTGAAGTTTGAAGTTTATTTATTCCACATTTACATCAAAAAACAATTTAAATTATTTTTTTTTACAAGCGAATTAGCGTTGATTACACAAACATAAAACGAACAAAAAGATTTCAAATCAAATAAAGTATAATATACGGAAAATATGTACGAAGATTCGAAATATATAGACTAATAATAGACTAATAAATAAATGACAGGCAAGGTAAAAACAATGTAAAATGTGGGGAGCCTAAATATAAAGCATTGCTTGTGGATGACCACCAGAGAATGATGCCGCGGATGAGTTTTTTGTAACGCAGACACTAGCAATTGAACTGTGACAGGGGTGTTTAAAGGGCTATTGTACTGATCACGTGTCCTTCTAAAAACTGGAAAAAATATATGTATTCTTTGCTACATTGTTCTAATAAAATGTCATGTTTTTAAAAAAGATACAATTGCTATTTTCAAAGTTAAAGTTAAAACTCATGGCATCAGTTGCAAAGTGGCCATGCATAAAACAAAAACGACTACTTTTCTATGATAATGATAAGTTCACGTGTTTTTCTTTGTTTCTATTGATATATTGTGTATCATTATTTTATGATCGATGAAATCGATGAATAAAAAAATAGTAGATACAAATAATTATTGTTGTCAGTAAAATTGATGTAAATGCAGATCACAGTCGTAAACATTCCCGGTATCTCCCAGAGACTTACAATTCTTTCACGACGTCACTCAGATGACCAGAACTTAATTTATCTTCAAATAATATTGTGTATTGTACTTCAGACCTGTTATAGTATGTTACCACATTGCAAAATCCGTTATAGATTTTAGATTAGATATCTGAAAAGATTTGTAGAACTTGTTTTTAACTCGCAAAGAAAATTCAAAGTTAGAGAGGAGAACGAAAATATATTCAAGTTTTTTTCTCCAAAACGCAGCTCCTATTAGAAAGTCAATAACGACAACAAGACCATTTCTTGCTCGTGTTCTCATTACAGGCACGTTTCATTTTTATTGTAGAGTATATTTTATGAACTTTTGTAATGTTACCGCATAGATACTTTTATTTTGCTTCATTTTGCAAGATAGATTAGACCTTCGAAAGGATTGTAAAACTTGTTTTTAACTCGCAAAGAAAATTCAAAGCAAAATTTAAGTTAGAGAGGAGAACGAAAGTATATTCAAGGTTTTTCTTCTCCAAAACGCAGCTCTTATTAGAAAGTCAATAGCGACAACAAATCAAGACCTTTTCTTGCTCGTGTTCTCATTATAGGCACGTTTCATTTTTATTGTAGAGTATATTTTATGAACTTTTGTAATGTTACCGCATATATACTTTTATTTTGCTTCATTTTGCAAGATAGATTAGACCTTCGAAAGGATTGTAAAACTTGTTTTTAACTCGCAAAGAAAATTCAAAGCAAAGAAATAATTAAGAGAGAAAAATAAAACGAGATATATTCAATTAAAAAAAAAAATTCAAGACGTCTCCAGCAAGTCAACAACGATTTCAAATCAAAACCATTTTCTTGCTCGTTTTCACATTCATTATATAGGCACGTTTCATTTTTTAAATTTTTTATTGTAGACTGTATTCTATGAACCTTTTGAATGTTACCCTAGATACTTTCATTTGCTTCGTCTTGCAAGATAGATTTAAGATTAGACTTTCGAAAGGATTTGATTTGTAGTACTTTTTTCATTTCGCCAAAAAAAAAAAAAAAAAAAAAAAAAGTTAGAGAGAAGAATGAAACGAAATATATTCAAGTAATAATAAAATATTTATCGAGACGTCTCCAGCAAGTCAACAACGATTACAAATCAAGACCATTTTCTTGCTCGTGTTAACGTTATAGGCATGTTTCATTTTTATTGTAGAGTGTATTCTATGGATTGTTACCGTAGATACTTTCATTTTGCTTCGTCTTGCAAGATAGATATAAGATTAGACCTTCAAAAGGATTTTTGAACTTGTTTTTAACTCGCCTACAACATTCAAAGCAAACAATAAGTTAGAGAGTAAAACAAAATAATATTTATTCAAGTTTTTTTCTTTCTTTTCAAGTCGTCTCTTATTAGTAAATCAACAATGATAACTACCAAAATCATTTCTTGTTCACGTTCGCAGTCTTTTCTATCTATCGTAGAGTTAATTCATTCTATGAACCTTTTAAATGCTACCGTAAATCCTGTCATATGCTTTTGCTTGCTTTTATACTGAAATATGCATTTGTATGCCAGTGATTGGTAATGAATATGAAATAAATTATAGTTGAAGCTAATTTTGTTGCGTTTTTCTTTCCATCGTTTAGTCTCAGTTTTGCTTCCGGTCAGGCGCGTACGCAGGATTTTTTCAAGGGGGGGGGGGGGGGAGGGGGGGGGGGGGGGGGGGGGGGGGGGGGAGGGGGGGGGAGGGGGGTAAGAGGACACTTTTTTTTTCTTCTTTTTTTTTTCTCGAAATTTGAAAAATTGACATTTTGCTCCGTTGGGAGGGGGGGGGTAAGGTCAGCTTTTTAAGGTCAGCCATGGGAATGTTTTTTTTCTTTTCTTAAATGAATAAAAAAAAAAAAAAAAAATTAAATCTAAAGGGGGGGGGGGGTTATGGGGGGGGGGGGTTACACACAAAAAAATACCAAAGGGGGGGGTTAACCCCTCGAATCCCCCCCCCCCCCCCCCCCCCCCCCCCCCCGTGTACGCGCCTGTTTCCGGTTAACAGCGTGTTTCCTTAAAAAGAAACTTGAAATTCCCCCATCACTCAATAGCCAAAAGTAAGATGCCCTGATAAAGTCTTATAATTTGTGTCAAAGTTCAATTATAATCTTTTGATATGATACTATAATATGTTATCGTATTTTTATGTCTAGTATAGTTTGCGCACGAGTAAAATAGATGCGTACAGTTCCCTGTATACAATGCAAATAAAAAAAACCCTCAAAGATAAGACACAGACGAAAGATAAGTGATATCTGTTCATGTTACTTGATTCATGTGGCAGCATTTTACACAACCCTGAATGATGATATATGAGTCTGAAAGTAACTCCAGTGGTTAATCCAGTGGGATTAAAAGACGAAATTTGAATAACTTGAGAGTGAGGTTCAGTATAAAGTGCGCAAATGCCAAATCAATTGAACAGAGCTGGTTTTAATTTTTTTTTCTTCATGAAAAACAGCAATTATGAGTGATCCATGAACAAAATGGAGTCATGAAATGAACGTCTACCGTGCATAAAAGGGTTTGGGGCGAAAGGATCGGGGCCTCCAAGGGGGTCCAAATAGTCAGCTATTTTGATTGGGTGATTGATTTTATTCGCCACGCCTCCAACCTACAACGATTATAAAAGAATAACAGATCATGATTAAGTCAGCTTAAACAAGATACCCACGAAAGCTCGAGAGCTTATTTTCAATGGGATCCCGGCATAATAGGCCTACGTGTACAAAATTGATAAGTTAAAATCGTATAATTTACAGACAGATAAGAAACAAAATATTTAAGATAATGATAATAATAGTAACAGCATTAACATCATAATGATAGAAATGACGGTACAAGAAGAAGGAGAAGATAAAGAAGAAAAAGAAAAAGAAGAAGAAAAAGAAGAAGAACAAGAAGAAGAACAAGAAGAAGAAGAAAAAGAAAAAGAAAGAGGAGAAGAAGAAAAAGGTGAGGAGGAGCTAGAGGGGAAAGAAGAGGAAAATAATGATGAATATGTTGAATTTCTAAACAGTAACTGGACCAAACATGTGGAAAATGTTCAGCACTACCACGTATAGGCCTACCCAGGCGCGTACGCAGGATTTTTTTCAAGGGGGGGGGGGGGGGGGGTTAACATTTTTAAATCGGGCCGAAAATTTCGCATCGGCTCAGCCAGCCGCTGAACAAGCGGGGGGGGGGGGGGGGGCGGGGGGGGGGGGGGGGGGGGTAAGAGGACAATTTTCTTGAAATTTGAAAATTTGACATTTTGCTCCATGGGGGGGGGGGGGGGGTAAGGTCGCCTTTTTTAGGTCAGCCATGGGAATATATATATTTTTTATATATATTTGTTTATTATTAAAAAAAACAAAAAACAAAACAAAGTGGGGGGGGGGGGTTAACCCCCCCCCCCAAACACGCCCCCCCCCCCCCCTGCGTACGCGCCTGGGCCTACCATTAATAAGCACCGACTACTTTTCAAGACCGGGGGGGGGGGGGGAGCTAAATGCGAGGGAAAACTGTCATGATTCTGTTGGTTTCACTGTGAAACCAACGGAATACGGATTTTCTACAATATGTACTTGTTTATTTTGAAAGATGTTATATGCGAGGGAGCGATAAGATTTTTGCATTTTTTATTAGTGAACCCTGCATTCCTTGGCCCTCCAGAGCCTAAAAGTGTGTTGCAGTCTTTAGCCAGTATTTGCTATATTTTTCAAATTTTCCGTGCCGGGGGGGGGGGGGGGGACGATCCCCTTAAACAAATTGAGGGGGACGCCCCGCCACCCCTGGATCCCCGCCCCTGACTGACAGGCATTTTAAGTAGTGAGGGTGCATGGCAGACGTCGTTTTTTATGGGAAAAAAAATATAACTGATGAAACTTGGTAGAAAATGTACAACGCATTGCAAACGCCCATCTCAGGGAGGTGAGCCTCGACCGTCCCCGATTATGTACAGTGAACACCACTGCTACACCACATGCACAGAGAGTAGGTTACAGAGAGGGATTAATCCGCTAATAAGCAGGCAACGTAGAAGTAGTAAATATGGTTAACTGATTTTACCCATTTTTTCGAGCGTCAAAAAAAAAAAAAAAAACTCGATTTAGCTATAGTCGTTTTCACTTATTAGTCCATCTGAACAACTACGTCTTAGAATCTCTTACCCATGCAGGTTAAAAACTCACTCGCCACAACAAATAATTTTGGAAATTATTGCTTCAAAGAAATGTCAGGCGTGCCCCCGTATTAGATTATGAGTAATACGAGCTAGGATGTTAACAATTAAACATTTCAGTGTAATGGGATTTTAAAAACACACCAAAATAAACAACAACAGGCTCCTATGCTTTTTTAATGGGTCATATTATTTTCATGAGATTCACATTTGAATATGCACATATTCTGCTTTGTTTTCGTAAACTTATGATAGGGATTTTTTTTTAGGCATATCGACCGATTAGATGCAAATTGATGAGTCAAACATATTTGGCTGTATTCGGAGCCAATTTGGTACTTTTTCATGCGAAAATTTTGTGACAAAAAGTATTATAAATATAAAAACATATTGTATAGGCAAAATATAGCGGCCATTTCGGACTTCGCTATAAATCATAACAACGTGTTTCGCCTTTGAGTTTGAAGTGACACCATATAGAGATCTGAAATTTCATCGCGGGTCACTATGTACACATGTACACAAACTGAACAACTCGGATATGAAACTCATCCTCAAACACAAACTATATAGGGCTCAGAAAGGTCCATATTTCAGGACTTGTCTTATTTACCAGAAGAGAAATCATATTCATAGTTCGTGATATATGTTTCAATTGTGAGGTTCGCACGTTTTACGTATAAAGTCTATCGAAATTTTTCAACTTTATGTTGATATTATGTCTCGACGGGAGGTCTAATTAATTGCTAAAACTCCTTCAGCATGCAACTCCTAATTATTTTCTTTTTGCTTCGCTTTAATTGTTGTGTATCACCCCCCCCCCCCCCCCGCGCCCAATACTAGGCGTTAGTCAGTATTGGGCCGTGAATAAACATGATCTCACTTTCCTTGAAAATCTAATTTCAAAATGGTTGATCCCCGGCCCCCCCACTCAGTGTTATTTAGGGTACGCATAATGCTCGTTCCCTGGCTTTTTGAAAGCACCCCCTATCTGAGGACTGCCAACATTTCCGAACCCCCCTTTCGCGGGCTTTCAGGCTTTTCCTGCCTTGGAGACCCCCCTAAATCAGGAAAAATGCTCAATGTATCCCCTAAATTCGGAATAATTTCTCAGGAGTCCAAAGACATGAGAGAAAAAAAGAAAAAACACCCCTTTTTAAAGAAATCTCCGGGTGAAAAGTCAAATACACCCCTTTTTTTTTACAATTCTCGGGCCGGACTTTAATTGTCGCACGAAAAGTACCCCTTTCCCGGACATTTTGGCAACACGCATGCGGTCATTTCGAAACCTGAGTGGGGGGTCCGGGGGTTGATCTCATTCACATTGAAAAAAGGAGACTTCGGATTAATTGTTTCGAAATATCGAAAAAAGGGAGACAAAAAATAACACGTTAATAATTGTACTATACTACGGAAGTACCATTTAGTAAGTTATCTCCGACATACTCGTACTCGCTCTACGTAAATACACCAGTTTACAGTTGTATCAGTGCGCATGCGCAGACAGTTGATCTCGGGTCACTGGCCCCGGAAGCGGGGTCAGTGGCCCCGGAAGCGGGGCCAATAACTTTTGACCAGTGGTATTTATGCGTAAATTAAGATTGCGCCCATGCAAATGATGATGTGCGCGCACAACGCAGCGCGTAGGGCAGTGATATCATCAAAATTTGCATGGGCGCAATCCTAATTTACGCATAAATACATGACCTCTAGGTCATTGGCTTTGTTTAAAATGGCGCACACAACTGTAAACTGGTGTATTGTGTCATCTCCGATCTTCCGGTTACCTGATCCACCCCCACAGAAAAGAAAATAATCAAGAAGCTTGCCTGTTTTTCGACTGACAATTCTCCTTTTGCAATGGCGACTACAATGGGAAAGTCATTTCGGGTTTATCATAAAGTTGGCCCACCCTATTCTGTCATTCTTGAAGCAAGGAATAAACAAGAAACACTTCTTTTCGAGTCGGACGCAGTCGCCGTGCTGAGTAAGTGTGATACGAAATGTTCGAAATGCGGCCGCGGTCCGGCGGCTATAGCCCTGCGCCCTACGCCTACAGCTACGGCCAGGGCTGGGGTTAGATACAGCTATCTACAGTGTAGGCTGAGCTGACATGGCTAAGCTAACGCCTGCGCCTGGCCTGGCTACAGTGTAGGCTCTGCTCTGAGAGACTGAGGATCAGTTTTTTCTTGGCTTGGCCTGGCTTTACGCATTGCCTTGCTTGAGGTTGTCATGAGTGCAATAATAATACATAGACGAATTATTAAATGACATGTTAATTCTAAAATAGATCTAGAGGTCTAACACTAACAGTTAGACTCTAAGTTTAACTTCTTCTTTTGATTAAGTCTGCCTCCTTCAATTGACTGAAGATTCGTGCAAACTGTCACTGTGCATTATTTGTGTGTGAACTGCGATTTATGTCCCTTCGAGTGCTATTTACAACTTAATGATTGAATTGTTGTTCTGTTGTAGATCTACTTGTATTCTCATAATACTGTATTCTTTGTTTTGTTGTTGTAGACCTACATGTGACGTCTGTATGCCGGTATCTTATAGATCTAGACTAGATCTAGATCTAGGTCTAGACTCTAGTGGGTCACACAATTCAATAAATTCTATTCCATTCTATTTCATCAAAATCCAATTATAAGTTCTATTTTGTGTTCGAGCTTGTGAGAAGCAATTCACTGATTTTTTAAAAATAATTTTGATTCGATGTTTTTTATCACAGGCATTCCAGAGACTGAGAGTTTGAGAAAGCAGTACCAGAAAATGACTGATGCGTATGGATGCTTGGGAGCTCTTAGACTGAGTGTTGGTAAGAATTTAGCACAGCTAGTTCTGCCAACGGCACTGGCAATAGCATTTATGTTGACGTATACTATAGAATAAGGCACTAGGCACTAGACATGCTAGTCCTTAGACCGAATTTTCCGTCTCTTTCGTTCGTTAGCCTCTTATTGGGGTAGGGTTGGCCGGCTCTCTCTTTAGAGACGGAACATGGATGTCGATTTTGACCCATAATTTCCTTAAAAGGGACCATTAAACGGATTATTTCAATCAAGTTAGTAAGTGGAACCGATGTATTATAGCCTAGGCCTAATTTACATTTGGATATACACGAGGTAAAATGATATTTTGGGGGATTTTGGGGGCAAAACGCTACGACCTGAAATGGCCGTGGCGTTATCAAGGGAATGTGTATAGACGGTTTCCGTCTCTAAAGAGAGAGCCGGCCGACCCTACCCCAATAAGAGGCTAACGAACGAAAGAGACGGAAAATTAGGTCTAGCTAGTCCTCAACCTTCCTTCTCCTTCTTCTTCTTTGTCATCTTCTTCTATACCTACTAACTGTGGATCGCAAGGAGAGTCAAATCTGACAGACGTGAGCACTATACCAGAACCAACAATACACAAGTTTAGGGTTGTTTGCGCCATTTTAAACAAAGCCAATGACCTAGAGGTCATGTATTTATGCGTAAATTAAGATTGCGCCCATGCAAATTATGATGACATCCCTGCCTACGTGCTGCATTGTGCGCGCACATCATCATTTGCATGGGCTTAATCTTAATTTACGCATAAATACCACTGACCTGAGATCAGCCTGTCTGTGCATGCGCACTGATGTAACCGTAAACTGGTGTATTATTATTATGCTATGTTAGCATCCTTTATTAATGGCGCTTGATTTGGTTACATTTCTTTTTTGCCCTCTTGTACAAAATACTTTTCTGTGATAAGTACCCTTTATTGGAGCCTTATTTTCATTCTGATTCCGTAGGCGATGAATCGCTTCTCTACCTTGTTCTCGTCACGGGATGCTCCTCCGTTGGCAAGGTGCAAGAATCTGAAATCTTCCGCATCACTTCCACCCTCTTCATCTCGTTACGGAACAATTCCAGCGACGAGGACCGCATCACGGAGGTCCGAAAGCTTCTCAACTCTGGCACCTTCTACTTCTCGTGGTCGGCGTCGACGACGACGAGGTTCGATCTCAGTCTATGTGCGCAACGGCAGAAACAGGATCACGTTTCGGATAATAGGTTCTTCTGGTATGATCAAAGTGCATATTTATTTTTTGTCAAATTTATAACAATTTTATAGACAAATGATACATGTACTTGTTAGTGGAAGCCGATTCGCACTGATCTTGCCAGGGTAATATTTTATCTTCAATAATAGATGGAGGGGGGCAGGGTGTGGTCATGAAGGTCTTGACGCTCCCCCTTTTTTTCATCTATAGTTCTTGTGTATTGGACCCCATCTCTTTGCCTCAATTGGAGTGCCCCCCCCCCCCTGCTTTCATATTTACTTAGGAATCAGATTCCCCCTATCATCTAGGTCTAGACTCTAGTCTTGAGGGTCGCACAATTCACACACACAGCAATATCCTGGAGCCACTCCTGATGTTGTATATAATTCTAAATGGTTAAATCATGTTTTCTCCACAGGAATCGATCCTTACACCTCCACCTGCAGCGATTCGATGTGAACTGCTCCGACTGGTTGTTAAAGACCATGTGTGGAGGGGTGGAGGTACGCACGGTCTACTGTGGTACAAGACAGGCGAAAGCTTGCATCGTCTCGAGGCTGAGCTGCGAGAGGGCAGGGACTAGGTTCAACGTCAGAGGGACCAACGACGACGGCCATGTTGCAAATTTCTGTGAGACGGAGCAGGTGATATTCCTGGACAATAAGGTCACATCTTTCATTCAGACGAGAGGATCGGTACCCTTGTTCTGGGAGCAGCCTGGTATAAATGTCGGAGTCCACAAGGTCAAGATGTCGAGAGGGTTTGAGGCGTCGGCTCCAGCATTTGACAGGTGGGTGGTGGTGGTAGTGGTGGGTGCGTGGGTGGGTTGGTGGTGGTGGTGGTGGTGGTGGTGGTGGTGGTAAGGGTGAAGGTGGTTGTGGTAGTGGTGATGGTAATGGTGGTAATGGTGGTGGTGGTGATGGCGGTGATGGCAGTGGTGGTGGTGGTGGTGATGATGATGATGATGATGATGATGATGATGTAATAGTGGTGGTGGTGGTGGTGGTGATGGTGATGGTGGTGGTGGTGGTGGGGATGGTGGTGGTGATGTTGATAATTGATGGTGATGTACTGGTGGTGATGGTGGTGAAATAAATGATGATGAGGGTTGTGGTGGTGGCAGTGGTAATGATGTTGATGGTGGTGGTGGTGGTGATGTTGATGGTGGTGGTGATGATGTTGATGGTAGTAGAGTGCAGTGAAGCCTAACTACCCAAATGCATTCAACCCAATTGTTTAATCTAAATAACAATAAGTGGGTAGCATTGAGGGGAAAGGTTAAACATTGGTGATAGTGGTAATTGATCTAGTGATGGTCCTACTGGTGGTGGTGGTGGTGATCAATGATGATGATGATGGTGGCTGTAGTGGCAGTAATGGTGGTGATGACTGGATGAATTGCTGCCAGAGTTTGCGTCCTTCCACAGATTGAGCTTTTTTTTTATCTTCCTTTTCTCCAGGCATCTTACCATGGTGAAGGCTCACTATGGCGACCAAGTCATCGTCAACTTGCTAGGAAGCAAAGAAGGAGAAGACATGCTCAGTAAATCATTCCAGGTAAAACAGTTTGTACCAATAAAGTAGTGACTCCAAGAATCAAAAGTGTTTTTAATTGATGCAAAATTCACATCATTGCGTAAGGGAAGCCTTACTGATCAAATATAACAGCTTCCCTCTTCAAAATTTGTTAGGGGCCCGCAGTAATCATCTCTCAAAAATGTTGATTTTGAGATCCAGATTTTCTGACTTCAACGGTCCTTCGTAGAGCGTCAAGATTTGTGACGTCACATGCAAGACACAGCTATCATTTTCCATGATATCTATATGATTTTTCAGCAAATAATTCATTTTTTTCAAGAGAAAATCTTTTCATCCATATATAATTTCTCTATAATTAGCAGTTGTCGTAAATTTTCTTAGAGTGATTTTGTGCATAAGTCACCAGACTGAACTGCAGGGTACAGGTTCAAATCCCTGCCACAGCACTATCGTCTTTCAGCAAGACATAACTATATTGAACATTTGCCATCCTCGGCCCATTTAAGATAAATGAGTACCTTGCAGAAATCAATTCCTTGAAAAATGCTAGAGTACCATTATGGCAGCCATAATTTTGGAGCGCCAGTAGTGTCAAGCTTGAAAGACATGAGCGCTATATTAGAACCTACTATTATTATGATGATTGAAATCACCTTAGCTATAGTGAATTGAGAGATATCATTGTGACTTGCATACATGACCATGGTTTATGTTATGACTATTTACTATTAAATGTTATCTGAAATGCAATATTCCATTAGGTATAGGTCCCACTGTAGTCATACATGTACCTGCCTTAAAACGTGGGTATTGACTTGTACCTTTCATTTGTACCTTTCATTTGGCAGCTGCACTGAGCTATAGTGTATCTATCATTTGTAAATCTGTCATACATTTTTTGCAAGGATTTCTGGCGTTCTAGAAAATCTAAACCCCTTTGGCATTCCTATTTCTCAATCTGGAACCATTTGAAAGCTTTGTCTCATTTACAAGACATTACTCACCTTCTATTTGACTAGCATCAGATGTGTAGAGGAAAGATAGCTAATCTAATACCCCTTTCATAGTGGCCTGATTTTCATTCGATGCATCTGGACGCATCCGATGAAACAGCCACTGTGAATGGTACAGAGGAGAAAAAGCTGATAGAATAGCCGATGAAAAGAAGAGATATACCGGTAGGCATTAAATTCTTCTGCTCAAGAGCAGGAGAAGTTCTCTCTCTATCGGTGTGACTACGATGAAACGGCCACTGTGAATGGGTTCGGTAGAAAACACAGATGAAAGCACCGATGAAAATGGTCAAAGGTCGTTATCTTGTTCTGGCTAAAGCTAGTGTACGCACGCTTTTTCAGAACCCGGCTAGCTAGCTACATGCACACTGCACTGCGCTGCGCTGTCTGCCGAATCCAAAAATATGTGCGCTAGCAGCTAACAAGCTTGCCACAGCGAGTTAATTTCACCGGCAGTATGAAAGGGACAGCAGGGAAAGCGGTTTCACCTTTGTTTAAATAAGGCAAATTCTATCAGTATTTTTGTTGGTGTGACTCCAATAGAAGCACTATGAAAGGGGTATAAATGTATTACTATTCTCATTTTTTCTCTCAATCTAGAACCATCTTAAAGCATCGTCGCACGACCAAGATACTCCTCACATTCTATTTGACTACCATCAGATGTGCAGAGGCAAAGTGGATAACCTCCCTCTTCTCAAGAAAAAGGTTGCCACGGAGATGGACCAGTTTGGTTTCTTTTTCAGCGAGGGAGGAGAAGTCATCCGGTAAGCATCATCTACTCCTGGGGCCTGTTTCACAAACCCCCTTTTTCAATGACAAATTAGAAAGATCAGTGACAAATCTGTTGATAACCAATCAGAAGCAAGGATTTCACTAGCTTATAACAAAAACTGTTATTTGTCACTGATGACAAGTTTTGTGAAACGCCCCCCTGGCTCACTGAAGAACACCTTTTCATAGTTCATGAGAAATTCTTCCAAAGTACAATGCTAAAGCACACCATCCACCAAGAGACACTATTGAAATTACCAATTATCTGAGAGGCCTGGCATTGTGCTATTTCCTGAGAGTCTATGACTGGTTGGTCTGATGTAGAATAATTTGCATAAAATCTTGAAAATTTTCAAACTATGACAATGAAAAATATGGGATACCCCATGTAGAACACCTTTACCGCAAAATTTCTGAAGAGGAAATAACGGATTTGAATTTGGAATTAGTTACTTACAGTATATTAGATAGCTCTCACAGATACAAAGATGCGATCGGTCTACAGCACGCCATGTGATTTTGATTACGAGGATCCTAATATTCATATTTTACTTCCGGTTATATTTTGATGTTTAGAAAGTTATGGTTATATTATGGTCAGAAGAGTGTTTTTTTTGTCATCATCTCATATCTAAGCAACCCTCTGCGTACCTATTTTTTGCAATAGCCTTGCACATTCGACACAGAAGCCCAAAGGGCTTGACCAAAAAAGTTCATGGAAGAACCCAAGTGATCGCGATCACATTTAATTTGGTATAACAAAGTGTAATGAAAGCTATAATTGGAAGGGGCGAAATACACATGTTTTTACTGCAAAGGAGTTATATTTTCCCTTATAGCTGCTTGTGTCAAGAAATGTAACCCTATAACCTTACCCATCAATGTCTGTACCGTTTCCTCCAATCTCACCCACAGGCAGCAGACTGGAACGATCAGGTCAAACTGTTTAGATTGCTTAGACAGGACTAATGCAGTGCAGACCTTCTTTGGGCAAGACGTGAGTTAAAGTAATTTTAGGTCATTTTAATAATGGCGTTAATTGATATGGATTTTGTGATCAGTTGACTGAATGAATGAAGGAATACTTCATTCAATTTAGTTAGTGATTGACTGAAAAATTGTTTGATCGATTGATTGATTTCATTCTTTCCATAGATGCTGGCTAAGCAGCTAGAAGTTCTTGATGTTTCCAATAAACCTCAGATCGAGTCTAGATTGATTGACTGATTGGTTGATAAATGAATCACTTATTGATTGCATGATTGATTGATTGATTGATTTCAATCTATCCATAGATGCTGGCTAAGCAGCTAGAAGCCCTTGGAGTGTCCAGTAAACCTCAGATCATGTCTATATTGATTGATTTATTGATTGAATGAGTAAATGAATGAATGAATAAATTATGAAATTCGATGGTGTGATTTGTTGATTTTGTGATCACTTGATTGAATGAAATGAAAGAATGATTCATTCAATTTAGTTATTGATTGAATGAGTGATTGGGTGCCTGGTTGATTGATTGATTTCATTCTTTCCATAGATGCTGGCTAAGCAGCTAGAAGTTCTTGATGTTTCCAATTAACCTCGGATGGAATCTAGATTGATTGATTGATTAATAGATTGATTAACAGATCGGTTGATAAATTGATCATTTATTGATTGCATGACTGATTGATTGATTGATTTCATTTTATCCATATATGCTGGCTAAGCAGCTAGAAGCCCTTGGAGTGTCCAGTAAACCTCAGATCATGTCCAGATTGTTTGATTGATTTATTGATTGAATAAGTAAATGAATGAATGAATAAATTATGAAATTTGATGGTGTGATTTGTTGATTTTGTGATCACTTGATTGAATGAAATGAAAGAATGATTCATTCAATTTAGTTATTGATTGAATGAGTGATTGAGTGCCTGGTTGATTGATTGATTTCATTCTTTCCATAGATGCTGGCTAAGCAGCTAGAAGTTCTTGATGTTTCCAATAAACCTCAGATCGAGTCTAGATTGATTGACTGATTGGTTGATAAATGAATCACTTATTGATTGCATGATTGATTGATTGATTGATTTCATTCTTTCCATAGATGCTGGCTAAGCAGCTAGAAGTTCTTGATGTTTTCAATAAACCTCAGATCATGACTAGATTGATTGATTAATTGATTGATTGACTGATTGGTTGATAAATTGATCACTTATTGATTGCATGATTGATTGATTGATTGATTTCATTCTTACCATAGATGCTGGCTAAGCAGCTAGAAGTTCTTGATGTTTTCAATAAACCTCAGATCATGACTAGATTGATTGATTAATTGATTGATTGACTGATTGGTTGATAAATTGATCACTTATTGATTGCATGATTGATTGATTGATTGATTTCATTCTTTCCATAGATGCTGGCTAAGCAGCTAGAAGCCCTCGGAGTGTCCAGTAAACCTCAGATCATGTCTAGATTCTTAGAGACATACAAGACCATATGGGGTTTGAGTGGTGACCATATAAGCAGGATATACGCCGGTACAGGTGCATTAGAAGGCAAGACAAAAGTAAGTTAAGAAAGCGTTTTACACCTGTCTGTTTATTGTACTACTACTCAAACCTAACTATAGTTCCGGCCAAAGGGAAAGACAAACATGGTCTTCGTAGACAGGTTCCTTTAGTACATGTTTCAATAAGAAACCATTTATAAGGGAAACAAGAAATGTGATCTTTGTAGACAGGTGGTCACTAAAGCAGGTTTGATTGTATTTGTAGCGTATGGTTTGCCAAGTTTGTTATAGAATGTGGATGACACGAGTACATCGGCAAGCAAGGAAATGATCGATCAATTGAGGTATTTAGTCGATGAAACTTGAAAATTGGATCCTTCGCATTCCTTTCGTTTCATCTTTGTTCATAGTAAAACAATGTAATCGCATGACCAGAACTGGTCTTTACTTTTAAAATAATGAGCGAAGTACTTACTACTGCAAAAGAAATTGTTTGGAAATAGTCAAATAGGGTTATTATGTAGTTCATAAGTAATGGGCACAAATGGCATCATGCTGAAGGTGTAAACCTAATGATGTTACGATAGCTTTAAAGAGAAGTTGAGTTCTGGGAAGAGGTGAACAAAAATTTGTGAGCGTTATCATTGTATTATGCAAGTGTGAAAGACCATCAGATAAAAAATGTTCCCTGAAAAGTGAAAAATATGGCTCTTCAAATGCTTTAGTATTCTAAATATGGCACGAAACATCATAACAATCGAGATGGATTTTAATGCCACATGTTCGTGTAGTCCCACATACATCTTTCTGTGTACAGTGCTTGTAACTTTATCAAGACTGGGCCAAGTTTCTTATCATTTTGATGATTCCAGAACCTTGCAGTACACACCTATACTTATGTTAGGTGATCAACCTTTTCTGATCAATTCCTCAACGTTTCTTTCACAATGCAATCGCATGACCAGGGGGATGTTTCACAAAGATTCCAAGTCAAACTTAACTCTTAAGTTAGATTTAAATATTATGGAGAGCCATTTGTTGCCTTATAATGAAATATATTCAAAAGCGAAAATTCAAGTATTTTAGACTTTTCGTAAATTCCACATCAAGAACATGAAATCTCCAATGATAATAGAAAATATGAATGATTTGAATCACCATTTTATGCCTTTTAAAATAACTTTTACAAAATATTTTCAAGGATGCTAATAGCTTTCCATAATTTTTAAGTCCAACTTAAAGATAAGTTCAACTTAGGATCTTTGTGAAACACCCCCCTGAACTCAACTTTATCTTTAATCTTTTCTCACAGGCGGGTAAGCTACGAGACGGTGCGAGGTCGGTGACCCGGACCATCCAAAACAACTTCTTTGATGGCACCAAGCAGGAATCTATAGATGTCCTTCTACTTGGGAGCTCCTTAGTAGGGAGTCTGGCCAACAAGGCTAGTTCACTCCTCCCTAGCAGCCATTTACATGGTGAGATATCAGTGTTAGTCTCGTTTCGGGTCATTTAATGAATTAAGAATGAATAGGTATTCTTTGATTATGGGGTTTATTGATATGGAGTCTGGCCAACAAGGCTAGTTAACTCCTCCCTAGCAGTCATTTACATGTTGTTGTTGTTGTTTTAATTTATAGGCGTTTTTCATTCAGAAGTGAATATTTACGCCTCTTCTCTCAGGATTTTTATTCCTTTAAAATTAGATTTACTTTTTTTGATATATAGATTTGGATAAATTGGATTTTTAAAAGCTAAACTTTTATTTAATGATGAAGAATTCAGTGGCTGGCGAGCAAAAGGCTTATCGGCTATATAGGACGCCCAAGGACCAACTCGTACACGGTACGTAGTGACAAGCTTCTCAAATCAGCCTAATGCTGAGCCTAGGCCCTCCGACGTTCACCAATATGTCTAGTCGTCTCCATCGTGTTTCTTCAAAATTTTGACCGGAAACCAAAAAATAAAAAAAACAGATCATGATACATGAAGATTTTAAACGTTAATATAGACAGTTCTCTCTTCTAATTTCTTTTTTTCTTTTTTTTTTCTTCTTTCTCACTCTTCTTCTTCATGTACATGTATACTCACTATAAAAAGCGAAACATATTGGGCTCAAATAATTATGTGCGGTGCAAGGTGGTTAGTAGGGGTACAGGTGTACCCTTTTAGATCTAACTACGAAGTTAACCAGAGCCTGTTGGTGATTAATATCTGTTGATTTCAGGAGTATTGGGATTAATTCTTCGTTTTCTATTCCAGATTCTGTTATAAGCATGGCTCTCTCTATAAGAAAGAGTGGGCACTTACATAAAAAATGTTTAACTGTTTCTTTTTGGTGCTCACAGTTTGGACAATGACCTGTCTCGTGTTGATTCAACTCAAAAAGATTATTATTTAAACCTAAGTTTCCCATTCTTAGGCGATGAAGAATAGTTTCATGATATCTGTTGTTCAGGTAACACACAAATGTTTTTGATACTAGAGTTTGCGTTTCTCGTAGGGGGGATGATGTTTCATTCCATCTTTTTTGCCATATCTCTATGTAGTATTTCTTTATAACATAATTTGATTCTGCTCTGGTAAGAGCATTGTTGATTTCTATATTTTTATTTAGTCCTGCTTTAGCAAACTTATCTGTTATCTCATTGTGTTGTAGACCACAATGACTGGGGATCCATTCGAAATAGACCTGGGTGCCCTTGTATTTTAGTTGACTACACAGGGTTAAAATTTCAAGAATGAAAGATTCGTCTTTACGAGATTCTATGGCCTGGAGTGAACTCAAAGAATCAGAAAAGATGACTGCCCCGGTGTAGAGTCCTGGGAATTGTAATAGCCATGTCAGGGCAAGTACAATTGCGGCCATCTCTGCTCTATAAGACGATGTGTAATTAGCCAGTCTCTTAGATTGAGAAACATCATAATAAGGTACATGAAATGCAGCAGCAGCAGCAGAGTCTTTATCTGGCGATCTTGATCCATCTGTATATATGTGTAAATAATTTGTCCATTTCGAATTTATCAATTCTAGGGCTGCTTGTTTTTGGGCAAAACAGATATCTGTTTTTGTTATTACCTCTTTTAGCTCTGATGACACATGGGGAGGGAGTATTTTCCAAAAGGGTGTGTTGAAAAAATACTTCATTGGATCTTCTATTATGTAACTGAATTTTAATGTACAATCCTTGGTTCTACGTCCAAAAGCTAATCTAGAGTTAGTACCTCCAAGAATATTAAATTGCCAACAATCTTTCACATCTTCGTTCAGAGGGTGTTTGCGCATACTCTCGATTCGTTTTCTTAGTTTAATTGATAACATTTCTCGCCTTAAATCAAAAGGCATTTCGCCTAGTTCGACTTGCAGCGTTTTAAGGGATGTACCTTTCCGAGCGCCTGCACAAACAAATAACGATTGGTACTGAACTGAGTTCAACATATTTTTTGCGCTTGTCGTAGCCGAGTTGTATGCTTCGCAACCATAGACGATAATTGATAGTATTAATGCTTTATATATCATCACTACATGGACAATCTAATTGTTAGCCTTTTTTCAGGTCATTTTAATGAATTTAGAACAAATAAGTATTTTTTTATATAGGTTTCATGTATATAGAGCCTGGCAGGCAATGCAAATTCACTCTTACCAAGCAGTCATTTATATAGTAAAATATCCTTACTAGATATGTTTCAGGTCATTTACACTGTAAGTGAATGTATGAAATGGGAGGGGCATATTAACACACAAGGCTGGCTTCAGTCAGCCACCTGGCTCAGATTTGAACCTACAATATTTGGTTAGACAGGCAGATGCTCTACCAACTGAGCCATTTTAACAACAAATAACAGGTGTTGTGGTCTAGTGGATAAGTTACCCGACTGCAGATCACTTTGTACAGGGTTCAAATCCAAGCCCCTAACGTCTGCTAGCAAGATGTTAATCTACATTTGCCACTCTTCATCCAGTTGTTAAATGGGTACCCGGTAGGATGCGAAAGTGAAGATAGTTTGCTCAGTATTGTGAGCGTCTTTAAAATGACGCCTGGCTGGAATGCTCCCCAAGGTGTGGAGAATGTGTATACATCGTGTGCGGGCAAGCCTAAATCACTGGGGTAGTAATATATTTGTAAAGTGCAAAGAGACATCATCAATGTAGATGCTGCTTGTAAGTGTCGGCTTGCATGGTGATGTAGATATACAGTAGGCTTGCGGGTGCACCATGTGAGAGAGAGGGAGGATTGAGGAGTCCTGAAAAGGACTCTCTGTAATCTTTCTTGAGTGTTTGTAGTCCTGAAAAGAACTGTTGGTTATCTTTCTTAGCTTATATTTCTAAGGAGAACTTTAGCGGAGTGCCTCGACGTTTCGAACAGTTGACGACGGATAGTCAACTGTTCGAAACATGTTCGAAACGTCGAGCCACTCTGCTATAGTTCTCCTTAGAAAGATAAGCAACAGTCCTTTTCAGGACTACAAACACTCAAGGAAGATTACCGAGAGTCCTTTTCAGGACTCCTCAATCCTCCCTGTCTCTCACATGGTGCACCCGCAAGCCTACTGTATATCACCAATGTATCAAAGCAAGACTGCACTACTTGTATCTTCTTGAGCCCTCTATATAACCAACAATGCCTAAGCGGTACCCATTGGTCCCCCATGATCCCCTTTTGATTATGTTAATTGAGAGCTGATTTGATGAGATAACCACCTGTCAGTCACCATGCAGGGAGGTCTAATCCCTCCTGGCCAAACTAGTGCAGCAGGGCTTTAAGCGCTGTATAAAATCAGAATATTATATTTCTTCTCTCTTTCTCTTCCAGCTTCTCCTGACATCCTACAAGGCGTGTGTGAGAGAGAGGGGGACTTCACATCAGGGCTTTAAGCGCCATATGAAATAAGAATATTATACTTCTTTTCTCTTTCTCTTCCAGCTTCTCCTGACATCCTTCAAGGTGTGTGTGAGAGAGAGGGGGACTTCACATCAAGCTCACGTTTCAGGATCTGTGTGGGCACATGGAATGTGAACGGAGGCAAGAACTCGCACAACATTGCATTCAAGAACGAGTCTCTCACTGACTGGCTTCTTGATAACCCACAGATAGTGGAGGAAACTAACCAAGGTGACAACCAGTTGCTTATTATTATTGCTGCTGCTTGTTTTGCTGTTGCTTTTGTTGATATTGTTGTTGAAATTGTTGTTTATGTTGTTGTTGATGATATTGTTATTGATGCTGTTTCTGTCATTTGTTTATGTTGTTTACATGTTTACATTCTAGTTTGATGATGTTATTAGTATTGTTGTTGATGATGTTGTTGATGTGTTTTTATGTTGTTGATGTAATTTTATGTTGTTGATGTTTTGATGATGATTTTGTTGACATGGTCGATGATGTTAGTGTTGTTGCATTCAAGAACGAGTCTCTCACCGACTGGGTTCTTGATAACCCACAAATAGTGGAGGAAACTAACCAAGGTGACAACCAGTTGCTTATTATTGTTGCTGCTGCTTGTTACTATTGTTGCTGCTGCGTGTTTTGCTGTTGCTGTTGTTAATTTTGTTGTTGATGGTGTTTTAATTGATGCGGATGTTATTTTTTGTATGTTGGGGATGCAGTTGGTTAGGTTCTGATTGTTATTGTTGATGTTGTTGATGATGTTTTCAATGATGTTAATGTTTTTAGTATTGTTCTTTTTGACATTGTTGATAATTTTGATGTTTTTTTTTTATGTTGTTGATGTTTTTTTATTACTGTTGTTGATATTGTTTTATTACTGTTGTTGATATTGTTGTTTATATTGTTATTGACGCTGATCCTGTTTCTATCGTTTCTGTCATTTGTTACGTTGTTAATGCTGTTGGTTATGTTCTTATTGTTGATGTTGACATTCTTGTTGAATGATGTTATTAGTATCATTGTTCACAGTATTGATGATGTTGTTGATGTGTTTTTTATGTTGTTGATGTTTTGATGATGATGTTGTTGACATGGTCTATGATGTGAGTGTTGTTGCTGTTGATGTTGTGATGAATTTTGTAGATGGTACTTTTGTTGTTCTTGTGAAATGAATCTCTGGCTGACTGGGTCCAAGTTACCAAGGTAAGAAAACGTTGAGATTTATCCAAGTAAGGTAGGTATCTGTGTAGTACGACCTTAAGCTTGCTACTTCAAATTAGCAACATTACTAAATAATTTCTTTGTATCTCTCCACAAAGCTCCAAAGTACCCATTGAATCACACACAGTGTGATGGAATCGTCAAAAATGTTAAATTATTGATGTTTGTTTTCTTTTGTAGGTTGCTCGGAGACGGGGGTTGACTATTCTGTTCCCAATGACATCTATGCTATCGGCTTTGAAGAAATGGTGGATCTGAATGCAGGCAATATCATCAGTGCAAGGTAAGGTACAGCGAGATAAAGATAGATAGATGGATAGATAGACAGTTAGATAGATAGATAGATAGATGGATAGGTAGACAGATAGACAGATAGACAGACATCTATGCTATCGGCTTTAAAGAAATGGTAGATCTGAATGCAGGCAATATCATCAGTGCAAGGTAAGTACAGTGAGATAATATAGAGATATCGACTGCTTTGAGAGGCCTGGCTGTTTCATAGGCTCAAGGTAACGTGCACATCCTGACATTGCCCGAGGCGCGCATGGGTTGGCGGTGCGCCGAGGGGTCTGGCTGGATTTGCACATTCCCGAGAGTCTATAAAACAGCCAGACCTTGGATATTAAAGCAGTCGATATGTCTTTTATATACCGAATTTAAACAAAAATCTACCAAGAATTCTTACCTTATCCTTTTATTGAGTAAAGATTTGAGAATGGCAGACAAAAAGCACTGTATGGTGTCCGCACTCACACAAAGACAATTTTAACACGTAAACCAATGGGGATTGCATCATGAGTGCGATTTTTAAAAGACTATTGAACAGTATGCGGGTATGAGGGTACTTTTCAAAAGACTATTGACTGGTACTGGTAGGCGAGCATAGCTTAAATCACGACTCCAATTTTGACCAATCAGATGGCTAGATTTCTAAAGTGAGGTATATAAAGATAGATACATGTAGATAGATAGATAGACAGACATACAGATACACAGACAAATGGACAGATAGATATATAGATTGATGGGTAGATAGATAGATTGTTCAGATAAATAGGTAGATAGATAGATACAGTGTAGATAGATGGACAGACAGACAGAAAGATAGACAGATAATTATATAGATAGGTAGATAGATTATACAGATATATAGATGGATGGATACATGTGGATAGATAGATAATTAAATAGGTTGCGATTTAAATAGTTAGATAGATTAAGAGATAGATAATTAGATAGATGGATAGGAATGGATAGAAAGAAAGAAACAAAATTATACTAGCGGTTTTGAAGAAGTGGTAATTCTAATTGCACACAACATGATTGCAAAGTAAGAGAAATATAGAAAGAAAGAGAGAGAGAGACAGAGATAGAGATGAAGAGGGAATAGAGAGAGAGAGAGAGAGAGAGAGAGGGGGGGGGGGGTAGAAAAGTAGAGTAGAGACATGAAAGATGAATACAGATATTTAAACCCCAAAATACTATACACAAGAGAACCTTTCATTACAACTTTTGATATCATACAGAGCCCGGCCCCCCCACTCAGTGTTATTTAGGGTACGCATATGCGTGTTCCAACCGACCCCCCCTTTTCAGCAAAAGTCCGGTGTGTAAAGTCAATACGGCTCGACCTTTTTCTTTTGTATACGAGCCTTTTTCAGCATCCCCCCTTTTCAGCAAAAGTCCGGTGTGTAAAGTCAATACGGCTCGACCTTTTTCTTTTGTTACGAAAAGGACATTTTGGCAACACGCATGCGGTCATTTTGAAACCTGAGTGGGGGGGCCGGGATACAGAGATGCCAACCGTTACGGTTTCGCCGTATTTGTTACGGTTTTAATGCTCTTGTTACGGCGTTACGGTAAACAATCAAAAGGTTACGGGGAAACGATAAATAAAAGTACATTATAGCAAATGCCGCCTTATCACATAGCCTCCGTACACAGGGCTGCATGTTGCACGCATTTACTCATAAGTTCACTGAATTTGACTACACTGGATAGGCACTTTCACGCACATGGTCCTTCCTTTTAATTCCGAAACAACACGGCCGTCGTTATTACTGTTTTGATACTAGTATGCTACGTGCGGTCATGCATTTTGGGGGGAGCAATGGTGGTAGATGATCGTGCGCGCGGCGCCCGCCATACCCATTCAAAGTATAGTAGCAAAGACTTCGGTGATTCAGCGGGCGCATTGCAGCTGCAAGTGCGGTATACGGTGTGTTGTTGTTCATGAACGCCGGGCCTAGCAGCCTGGGCGTGTGTTTGTGGTACTGGTGATCGTGAGTGTACATGTGCGTGTGTAGGGTACGAGTTCTGCCATTTGACTGTGCATTCGAATTTGCCATTCGACGCTTGAACAAGGTGTTTTCTTCCTGAATACTATCATGGATTCACTCAAAAGAGCGAGTACCCATGGAGGAGATCCTTTGACTGGAAACAGATTTTTTTTTAAACGTTTTTATGCACATCTTTATTTTGGACTTAAAAATGGTGGGTTCGAAATGCAGTGAGTGATTGGGTGTTTGTGTACGTTTTGCACGAAAATTATACTGCGGTGTCTTGCGTTCCGGAAAGACCCCCATTTGTTACGGAAAAATATGGTAAATGTTACTGACAACCATCCTATAGGGTTGGCATCTCTGCATACATACTGTACATGTATTGTGATTTTTTTTCTTCTTTTTTTGTTTTCCTTGCAGCACAACAAACCAAAGAAAATGGGGCGTGGAGCTTCAGAAGTCGCTCTCCAGAGATCACAAATATGTTTTACTAGTGTGTGAACAGCTTGTTGGGGTGTGTCTCTACATCTTCATCCGACCTCAGCACGCACCTTTCATCAGGTAGAAACTCTTTTTGTTTTTCTCAGACCTGGGGGGTGTTTCACCATGGACCTACTACAAATGGACACTGGTCGGTACTATAATATATTCATGCACCTGATTCTGTCAAAAGTATAATAATGACATTGCAAACATGCTTCCAGGCTTTGATCTCATCACGACCGCTGCCAGTCAGTCATAAAAACCCTTGAAGAAACAACAAAATGCCTGCGCAAAAGAAACTGAATCGCTTAAAATCACGGAAATGCATGTGCAGTTGTGGAGTACATATGAATATTGACGTATATGAAGTTTTTAATAGAAAATTAGAAGTAGTTTACAAATGAAACCTGAAAATTTGGCTGTAACATAAAGATTTTAAACTTCATTCTAAAACTTATCCTATCCATTTCCAAGGAATAGAAGGTGATAGGACAGTAAAGAACATGTATTTTTCAAATTCTGGCAGGTCCACATGTATGTCTACCAGTGTCCACTCCTTTAATAATCAATCTAATATCACTCAAATTGTCATAATTTGGGGTTCACTGCTCCTCTAACTGGTCTTAAGTCACGATACTTTTCCTGAAACTACGCTCTGTGCCCTGGCCCAGCGAAAAGAATCTGAAGAAATGTAAAAGGTTCTTTTGTCTGTGATGATGCGTGATTACATAATCGACATTGTCGTTTCGAATGAATGTCCTTATCAACATACACATTATCAGGTGGCGGTGGTCATGATATGATCAATGAAAGACTCTCATTATTAGTCCATCTGTAGTAGGTCCATGGTTTCACAAAGTCTAAGATCAACTTTAAGTTGGACTTAACTATGGCAGGTCGTTCATGCCACTGGTTGCTCACACCATTGGTCTCTTAATTATGATATTTAGATAATGAATAATGAAGTTTCAAAAGAGGTAAATTCTGTAGATTTGTGACCATGATCTTTATGTCCTTTGAGAGACCATTGCCAGGTAATGGTGAGAGCAAACAGTAGCATGAACGGCCTGCCATAGTTAAGTCTAACTTAAAGTCTAACTTAGTCTTTGTGAAACACCCCCTGGACTAAAACTATATTGTACAAAAAGGTAGAATCCATGTGTGTTTATTGTACCATTGAAATCAAACATCCTAAACAAGTTGGCTCTCATTGTTTGCCGTAAATACAGGGATGTAGCAGTGGACACGGTCAAGACTGGACTCAAGGGGGCAGCAGGCAATAAAGGGGGCGTGGCAATCCGGTTCGTGTTCCATGGGACGTCCATGTGCTTTGTATGTGCCCATCTAGCCGCTGGCCAGTCGCACATCAAAGATCGGAATGACGATTACGCGGAGATCAGCTCCAAGATCATGTTCCCTATGGTGAGGATCTACAGTCCTAACAATTACCAATTACTTTTTTTGGGGGGGGGGGGATGGAGGCTGGAGAGAAATTACTAAATAGCTGATGAAAATCCACATAGTTTTTTAATGATCACAGTGATTCACAATATTTGATATGGCACCAATATTATGATAAACATTCAAAGTGCCAAACAATTTTCCTATTTGTTCCAACCCCAAATGACTTAATATGTCAATTTAAAACAATGTATGATTCTGAATCTTTTCTTTTCAGAAAACCTTTAATGATGCTACCCGACATTCATTTTGAGACGTGCCCTAAGGGAGAAGCTGTTTAGGAGAAAAAACACAAATTTGATTTATTTTTGTACACAACAAATGGGAGAGTTGTCAGTGACTATGTCATTATCCAGTGACCAAATGCCAATTTGTGACCTCCATAGATTTAGTGATCTCATACTTTAAACTAATAACTTTCTTATAATTGGTATGATTGATTTCAAACTTTCACCATCCTGTTCCTCATATTTTTCGCTTTCAAACAAATGAAATTATTACAAAGGTTGAATTGCTCTTTAATAAGCCATTTCCTAAATACTACATGTATCTGCACATGGGCAGATAAAGGTCATTTGTGATAAAATTGTAAAACCCACCGAGATGAATACGTGCTCATGTTATGTAATCATTATTCATGTGTACACCTACTGTACATTCTATGATACAAGAAGGCAAACAAAAGCTTTTCATGAAGCACATACATGACTTTGGCATTGATTATTCTAATATACACAAAGTTAGACTTTTCCATGAGTAAAAGATCTGTGGATATTTGGGGTCATTTGACCCATGTGCTAACTACGAAATGATCTATTACGCTTTTATTTTTAACATTTTCCCCCCTAGGGTCGTACGTTAGAGAGCCATGACTATGTTTTCTGGTGCGGAGACTTCAACTATCGGATCGACAAAGACAACGACGAGGTGAAGGACCTCGTGGCCATCCATGATTACGAGGCTCTCAAAGAATGTGACCAACTCTTGCTAGAGAGACGCAAAGGCAATGTAAGTGTCACTGGGGTCGAGATGTGTTTGGTGACCGGTCTCTTTGAAATTCATTACCATGTCAAATATAATGCTGTGGAACCTCGTTGAGGCTCTTAAAGAATGTGACCAACTCTTGATAGAGACGTAAAGGGAATGTAAGTGTCACTGGGGCCGTGAGGTGTTTGGTAACCAGTCTCTTGAAATTCATTACCATGTCCAATATAGAATGTGACCAACTCTTGATAGAGAGACGCAAAGGGAATGTAAGTGTCGCTGGGGCCGTGAGGTGTTTGGTAACCAGTCTCTTGAAATTCATTACCATGTCAAATATAATGCTGTGGAACCTTGTTGAGGCTCTCAAAGAATGTGACCAACTCTTGCTAGAGAGACGCAAAAGGAATGTAAGTGTCATTGGGGTCGAGATGTGTTAGGTTACCAGTCTCTTGAAATTCATTATCATGTCAAATATAATGCAGGGGAACCTCGTTGTAAAGAACAGGGAGGTGTTTCACAAAACTTGTCATCAGTGACAAATTACAGTTTCTGTTATAAGCTTCTGATTGGTTATCAGCAGAGTTGTCACTGATTTTGGTCTTTGGAAAAAAGGCTTTGTGAAACACCCCCAAGTGGTCTGATGCCCATTCTGGGGATCCAGTTTTTGCTCACATCAGGGCCCTGTTTCATAATGCTAATTTATGTGGCAATTTGCTCTCAGCCAATCAAATGCCATGATTACAGTAGCTTATAACAGCTATCGTAACTTGTCATTGATAACAAGTTTTGTGAAATGGGACCCTGAACATCAATCCCTGGGAGAGCATGAAATTTCTAGTGGGAAGAGTAGATCTACTGCCAGTAATTGATCGTGACTACCGGTATCACTCTTTACGGTCCTGGATGTATAATGATCTTCCCTAAACCGTTATTGCACTGTTAGTCAAGTATTATTCAACTGAATTGTATTGTATTAGTAATATTTTATTTCATTTTGTTGCTTTTAAGCTATTGATCATGTTGAATAGTTATACTGAGTTAGACAATACCACCTGTGTGCTTAGAAATGCCTGTATTTTAAGTGCCATATTATAATTATTATTATTATTATGAACTTTTTATTTGTCTGTTTTGTAGACATTCCAAGGGTTTGCAGAAGGTACCATCCGCTTTGCACCGACCTATAAGTACGACCTCTTCTCGGAAGATTACGATACCAGCGAGAAGATGCGGACACCGGCCTGGACGGATCGCATCCTATGGAGGAGACATAAACCGTTCTACTTCAAACAAACCTCCGATAGTAAGGAACTGTCATCTCAAATTGGCAACACAAATTTGGTCATATTTTTATAATTTATTTATAAGTGGCGGAAATTGACGCTGAGTAATTGCTGGAAGACCGAATCTGTCAAAAAACCCTTCTTGAGAAATAGTAAGGAAATGTCATCTCAAATCGGCAACAAATCGGCAACAAATTTTATCATATTTTTATCATAAGTGTAGGAAATTGGCGCTGAGCAATTGCTGCATGACCGAATGTGTTAAAAGACCTTCTTAAGAACTGTGTAATTACTCTTGGGTGTATATCCTCGATGATACTTTAATACTTACACCGTTCTACTTCAAACATATCTCCGATAGTAAGGATCTGTTATCTCAAATTGGAAACACAAATTTGATTATAATCATGCTTTGATTTATAGCATTGGTTGGTTGAAAGATAACTTTGTTTTACAGTGTTCTGCCCATTATATTGGTACTATAGACAACATAAATTGGAGAAGTACAGTATGTTGCTATAAGTCTGATTTTCTTGGTTATGTTTTGACTGATATTCACATTTATGAATGATTTTAGCTTCAGAAAGTTCTACTAACTAATTCTTTGAAACTCAAAAAAAAAGGGTTTTGGGTGTTGCTCTGATCATTGTATTAAGTTAACAGCACTTCTTTGAGCTTTGAGAGGACCATTTATGACGTAAAAAAAACATATTTAATGTCAATTTACAAATGTAGGTGCAGATTGTTATCACAAAGAGGGTGATGTCACACATTAAAAGTAAAATGCTAGGAGAAATTCACCATTTTGAAAGCGAAATGGACTTTAAAAAACAGGACTCCAAAAATAGATAGCCCTTAATCAAAGAATACTTTGTTTGATGTTTGAGAATCAACTGTTGCATGGAATTTTAACTGGTATTAAAGTTAATTTATGAAAAAAAATGAACTTCTAGCCATCTTCCTTACAGGCAATATGAAATAGCCAAGTTTGAGGTCTTGTTGTCTCCCATGTAAAGGATAGTGCACTCTCTCTCTCCCTGTGTAGATCCGTTTGAAGTTTTTCCTGATAACTGGGACTCGGGTCGTGTATTGCACTATGGTCGTGCTGAACTGAAGACATCCGATCACAGGTATACTACTCCTTTAATTATTTTTATATATTTGTGGCTTACACCCAGTAAATAAGATTGATTGATCGATCTGTATTGAAAAACAAGTCATAAAAAATCTTGGAACCAGCGGGACTTGAACCTGCATCTACTGCTTGCCGGGCAGTGACTCTACCACCAGGCCATCAATACTCTTTAATTGCTCTCTAAGGAGTGTTTTTTTTTATTGTTGATACGATGAAACCTGTGTATAAAGACCACCCAAGGGAGACAAGAATAGTGGTCTTTATAGGCAGGTGGTCTTTAAGACACCAGGCAATCCATCTTCCACGACGTCTTCTGCTCTCCTTGTAAATCATTTTTTCTTGTCTGGGTATGCTTACAGACCTGTTGTAGCCATTGTCGAGGTTGAAATCCAGCTCGTCGACGAAGACACCAGGGAATCTATCTTCCACGACGTCTTCTGCTCTCCTCTTAAATTGTTTTTTTTCTTGTCTGGGTATGCTTACAGACCTGTTGTAGCCATTGTCGAGGTTAAAATCCAGCTCGTCGACGAAGACACCAGGGAATCTATCTTCCACGACGTCTTCTGCTCTCCTTGTAAATCATTTTTATCTTGTCTTTGTATGCTTACAGACCTGTTGTAGCCATCATCGAGGTTGAAGTCCAGCTCGTCGACGAAGACACCAGGGAGTCCATCTTCCACAACGTCTTCTGCTCTCCTCTTAAATTGTTTTTTTTCTTGTCTGGGTATGCTTACAGACCTGTGGTAGCCATCATCGAAGTGGAAGTCCAGCTCGTTGACGAGGACACCAGGGAATCCATCTTCCACGACGTCTTCTGCCAGCAGGGTCCACCGGACGCCACGGTCATCCTCTCACTCACGGATCCCCATGGCAACCAGGTAGTGTTTGCTGATGATGAGATGGACGCGGTGCTGGATCTGACGGCTTCAGAGGGAGAAGCTATCCTCGTCAGGTAAGATTGTACATGTATATATATTGTGACGAGATCTGGTTCCATGAACTTGGTAGCAATTCCGAACGACACGAACCAGGTCTCGTCTTATAAATCAGTCAACTCTCCCAGACAGTCGACTCTCACAACTCACAACTATTCAACGAGGATCTCAATCATGCATTCATCAATCACTTCAATCAAAGTAATATCCGAGACAAATAACGACAACTTACAATGATGTTTGATCTTTCAGCTTACTTTACTGCATTCCTTACTGCATCAATACAAAACACGGACTGCCCGTTCGCAGCGTTATCAAATCACTTATATCAATCTGACCAAAATGTCTCCCTCTTCAGGTTAAACACTGTAACGTTCCGTCACACAACCCCCCACTTAGACTAGAACGTCCTCGTTCTAAACCTACCGAAACGACATTTTAAACATAGCTCAACAATATAGGCATTAAAAACATGTAAAACGGTTTTTACTATTAATTCTTGTTTTCCTAACCAATCTATAAGAAAGTCCGAGCAAATCAACGTAATAAGCTACACATTTGCCTTTTTCTCTTCTTCCTGTTATTTTTATAGATATATAATTATATAACACAAGTAATCACAAATACAAAGACATTGATCAACAATGTCCAAAATACGTTTGGAAATGTAAAGAATATCAAAACACTTTTCTCGTAAGATCACTAGTAATACTTAAGTTACAACAACAACAAAAAAACCTGACCTCTAGTAGGCCTACCTGATTTAAGCAATTTGTAAACTGAGGCCTATAGTTGTAATCAAAACAGATCAAGTAAACCAGTAAGACTTAGTGTTAACTTAAACAAGTATGAAGCGGTCGAAGAACTCCTTCGTCTTTCTCGTACGAACTACGCGTCCTTCAATAGTAAAGGTCGTCGTAATCCTCTTCTCAACTCTCGCTTTCTTGAAAACCGGTCTGTCTGTACGCGCATTTCCAGTGGCACCCTCTCCTCCACTCTCAGCTTCTTCCGACGAAGATGATGCTGATGACGATGACGAAACCACCTCATCCTGGGATGCGGCTCTCTTAAGCATGGCAAGAGGCTTGCCTCTGGCATCTCTGGAAGAATCAATACTAGGCACTGGAGTTGGATGTACACTTATAATGGCTGTGTTGTTTTCCTGTGGCTGGTCTCTGTCGTCTCTCTTCGTCTCCGGACAACGTCGATCTGGGGATTTTGCCCTTTCACCGCCCCGGCCCACCGGTTCTCTTTCTTTGCTCGACTCTCTTCTGGAAACCGTGCGCTGTTCGTCCTTTCGGTGTCCGTCCACGTGCCTTTCATAATTCCCCCGCCTGGTAGAGGAATAATCGCAGGTCTTGCAGTTCCACTTCCGGGATCCATCCCGATGGTTCTCCCCGATATGGCGCATCAGGCTGCGGTGGTACAAGAACGTGGAAAGACATTCTCGGCACTTGTAAAGCCGGTCCCCATCCAAGTCCTCTGGTTTCTTCCACTCCTCAGACATTATTCTGCAATTGTGAAGAACAAAACACAAATAATTATTTATGTCGATAATTCTTATTTAATAAAAGAAATCTGGTGGTTTTCGTTTTCTTCTGGGATAGCGACTCTCAATCACGGGAGTCTGAGGTAGATCAGTGGGAAGATCGAACCCGGGTTGATGATCATCAGGCAAGTTCTCATCAAGCTGGGGTTGGTCATCAGCAGGGGTCTCATCAAGCTGGGGTTGATGATCATCTGACAAAGTTTCATCACTGGCAGGGCTGATCTCTTCTGGTATGACCTCAGGGGAAAGATTAGGAGAATCAGCAAAGGGAAATTCCTCCTCAGGAACTCTAAGGCGATATTCCCATGCAAGAAGATCTTCACCAGTGTACAGCTTGAGCCTATCTACATGTACTACCTTTGCTTTCGATCGGCGACTCAGCTGAATCCGAAACGTAACATCTGAGATCTTCGTAACCACTAGGTAAGGACCCATCCATCGCAGCTGTAATTTCGGGGAAACCCCCTTCTTCTTGCTGTGATCATATAACCAAACAAACTGTCCTTCCTTGAGATTAGTGGTGGTAGCTTTCCTGTCATAATTGCGTTTCTGACGCCTGGCACTCTTCCTAAGACACTCGCTAGCCCGTTCGTGAGCTTGTTGTAGATTCTGGCGTAGCTTTTCAGCGTAGTCTGTTTTTGGTTCATCACAGCTAGGATACTTTGGATTCTCCATAGTCAGGTCTATTGGAAGCGTCACTTCTCTCCCGAGCATGAGCATATTGGGTGACTCTCCCGTGGATTCTTGTGCAGTACAGCGATATGCGCTAGTTGCATATGACAAGCACTCATCCCATTCCCTAGACTTCTTTGACTGCTCGATGAGCATGGCGGTGATATTGATGAGGGTTTTGTTGAACCTCTCAATGAGCCCATCTGATTTCGGGTTGTAAGCTGTTGTTCTTGTCTTTCGAATGCCCAACAGGGAACACATCTCTGCAAACACCTGCGATTCAAAATTAGTTCCTTGATCGGTATGTAGTTCACGAGGGACACCAAAACGGCACACAAATTCTTCGACAAACTTTTGGGCCACTGTTGTAGCTCGAGCATCCGGAAGCGCATACGCTTCCATCCATTTGCTCTTATAATCCCCTACTACAAGGATCCACTGATTCCCATGGATGGTCTTGGGTAAAGGCCCGACAAGGTCCATTGCTACTCTTTCCATTGGCTCTCCCACCTCGTACTGTTGAAGTTGAGCACGTGCCCTCTTTGAGGGGGATTTTCTTCTGGCGCACAGGTCACACGACCGGATGAATGACCTCACGTCTCCTGACATGCCTGACCAATGAACCCTCTGTTTTACGTTTGACAATGTCTTGGTAACGCCTAGATGACCTCCTATTGTACCCCCATGGATTGCTTCTAGGTATTCTTTTCGGTACTTCCGTGGCAGGATAACCTTCCATTTCACGCATGCCCCATCCGACGTCTCCCATTTTCTGCATAGTACTCCTTGCTTGCAATCCAATTGGTCCCACTGAGCCCAGTACGTTTTCTTTGCAGCTGTCGAGTTGGCTATTGTTTCCCAATCTGGTCTACAGCTTCTTCCTTCCTTAGCCTTCAATACCCAGCTCATACTATCATCTTCCAACTGGCCTTCTCTTAAGGCCTCTCGAGTGACCCCAGGTAAGGCAATAATTGCCCTACAATGGAACTGGACTTGCTCGGAGGGAGTATCTGTCTCTGTAGATGTGTCTTCGCCGTCACTTGTGTCATCAACAAGGCCACACTGAGAACATGGTTTTCTGGACAGACTGTCGGCATTCACATGTTTCTTTCCTGGACGATGGTGTATTGTCAGTTTGTATGCTGCGATAACCTCGATCCAACGTGCCAATTGGCCCTCTGGATTTTTGAAGTTGAGGAGCCACTGCAAAGAAGCGTGGTCTGTTCTAACGGTCAGCTTCCTACCGTAGAGATACTGCTTGAAGTATTTCAAATAGAACACAACTGCTAGCAGCTCGCGACGGGTCACACAGTAGTTCCTCTCAGCCCTCGATAGCTTCTTGCTTGCGTAAGCGACTACTTTTTCCTCGCCTTCCTGAATTTGGGACAACACAGCCCCTATACCATTCTGACTGGCATCAGTGTCAAGCAGGAAATCCCCCTCCGGTAAGGGACATACTAGGATCGGAGCCTGGATAAGGCACTCCTTCAACTCTTCGAAAGCTCTTTGACATTCGTCATTCCACTCGAAACGCCTAGCCTTCTCAGTCAGTTCATGAAGTGGTGATGCGATGGATGCGAACCCGCGAATGAACTTGCGGTAATAGGATGCAAGCCCCAAGAAGCTTCGAACATCCTTGCTGCATGTGGGATTGGGCCAATTCCGAATGGTCTCGACCTTGGCAGGGTCGGTTGTGATTCCTTCTGAAGACACGATGTGACCTAGGTATTTTACCGACTGTTGAAACAAATTGCACTTGGATGGTTTCAATTTCAAATTGGCTTCCCGGAGCCGCGCCAATGTTGTGCGAAGTCGTACGATTTGCTCATCAACTGTCCGACCGAACACTATTACATCATCCAAATAGATGAGCAATATGTCCCATTGTAGACCAGCCATCACTTTCTCCATCAACCTCTCGAAAGTTGCGGGGGCATTACACAGCCCAAATGGCATTACCTTCCACTTGTATAGGCCACCGCGAACCACAAAAGATGATTTGTCTTGAGCTTTATTATCAAGGGCAACTTGCCAATAGCCTGCAGCTAGATCTAAGGTTGAAAACCACTTGGCCCCGCCTAGTGCATCCAAGGTCTCATCTATTCGGGGGACAGGGTAGGCGTCTTTTACAGTTGCTACATTCAGGCCGCGGTAATCTACACACAACCGTTTTGTACCGTCCTTCTTAGTCACAAGCACTACATTGGCTGCCCAGGGGCTATCGGAAGGTTCGATGAGACCTTCTTGCACTAATGATTTGACTTGGCGATCAATCTCTTGCTGATTGACGATAGGGTGACGTCGAAGGCGTTGTCTTATAGGTCTTGAATTGCCGGTTTCGATGTGGTGTCTGACAGCATTGGTCCGGCCCAAATCGTGACTTCCAGAAGAAAATACATCTTGAAAATCCACGAGGCACTGTTTGATAGCTTGGTGATATTTCGGATCGATGTTGCTCAGGCTTCGTTGCAACAAGTCTTGTAGGTATGAAGGAACTTCATCGTTTCCACTATTCTCTGTCCTTTCCCCACTTTCATGCACTTCCGCTGGTGAGATCATCCCGACCATTGTTCCCCGGCGAAGTGTTATCTTGTTGTTCCCCGGGTTAAACAACCTCAGTGGCAAAACATCTGCCTCTGCAGTGACAAGGGACCTTGCCAACACCAGCCCATGGCGAGCCAATTCGCCTCCGCCTGCAACTGGTTCGATTATGGCAGTACCCGTCATCTCGTCCACACAGTTGGCGATCTCACCTTGCGCGAGCGTTTCTTGACCTGGTTGCACCTCAATAGTTTCTTTCACTAAAATCCTTCTTAGGAATGATCTCCCTATCTGGTTAAGGCATCGAATGTGTTCCCCGTTCAAGATGAGTTCCAGCCGGAAGAAGTCTAGAACCCCAGCGGTTGGAATCAAAAAGTCCATTCCAAGTATTACCTGGTTCCTAATATTAGCAAAGATGACCTTTAATGGAAAGATTGTCTTTCCAACTTTGACTTCTGTCCAGGCAACTCCTAGCACATCAAGTGGCGTTCCATCTACCTGCTGAACCCTGACGTTGTCTTGTTCAAGAACCGGTCTCTGCTCTTTCGCAATACTGTAGTACATGTCAGTTCTAACAATTGTGTCAGTTGAACCTGTATCGATGAGGAATCTACATTTTATAGACCTGATGGTACCCTCTACAAATAAGCCTTGCTTGGGTTCTTCGTTAGGTGTAAGTGTTACAATCCTTCCATCATCAAGTCGACTAGGTCCGTTACTTCTTACAGCCTTCCCGTGGACCTTCCGGTCAGCTGTTCGTCGTTTCCCGACCTCTCCTTTTCAGGAAGAGGACATTCCCTTGCGAAATGTCCATTTTCGTTGCAGTTGAAGCATATCAAATCTTCTTTTCTCCGCGATTTCTTGCCGGAATTTCCAGGAGTTGGTGGTTTGGGAACTCTCTCAGAAGAAAGAAATCTTTCATTCATGAGCCTTGTCATTGTCTCGAATTGTGTTGCCTGCCTTTCACACAAATGCTCCAATTTCTGGATGAGTTGCTCAGATTCCTTTTCTGAACCCCTCACCAATTTGTGCGGACGTCTCTCCGATCTTCGTTCTTCTTCGATTCTTTCATAGTTCTCTGTCTCTATGGCCGCACGAATAGCTTCGTCAATGTCCTTTGGCCTAGCTCTGTGCACTCCTTCTCGGATAGTCCGGTCTTCTATTGCCTCAATAAAATGGTTCTTCTCGAGCCTTTTTCTCCCAACCTCTGGAATGTCTGGGTAGGCTTTGATTGCCAATTCACATATGACTTGGCCAAGTTCCTTCAGTGTTTCTGTTTGGCCTTGACGGCGATGACGCAATTCAAACAGAAAATGTTCTGCCTGTTGACTTGGGCCAAATCGCTGCTCTAGGAGCTTGGTCAGTCCCCTATACGTAAGTTTGCGATCGTGCTGATGGTCCAACAGACGGAGTGCTTCACCTTGAAGGCTTACAGTCAGAAAAGCACTTGCCTGCTCCTCTGTCCAACCATTTATATCTTTGCATGCTTCAAAGTGTTTCAAGTACTGATGCCACGATGTTTGTCCATTGAACCGATCAGGTGTTATGCAAGGCCTTTGGCTCTGTTTTGGTCCTATTGAACAATCTCTAGAAACTTCTTCTTTTATTTCCACATCACCCTGCTTGTTGTCCGGCTTCTTCGTAAGAGCCGATTTCGTTCTTCCACTGGCCTTTTCCCATGGAAAATTGGGATCGAATCCTTTAAGGAAAGGGGACCCAATGTCCCCAGCCAACTCTTGAGAAAACATGGTATCCGGCACAGGAGTCGAACAATCGGTTCCAACCTTCCGGTCTGGGGTCAATAGCTCAGGATACAAGCCCTTCTTCTCTCCACATTCGGGCGTGTTTTCACCCTTGTTTCTCTCAGTGTACGGTCCATTGAAAACTATGTCCGTATCTACTCTCCTTCTCACAGATGGTTCTTCGAACTGTCCAAGCTTGACGGTACTTTGTGAAGACAATCCCTGTTGTCTTGCTTCTATCAGATTAATTTTTGACCGTGCATTGTCACGTTCCAACTGTAAAATTTGATTCTCCATTCGTAGACGTTCCAGCTCTGTGTTCAATTGAGTTAGGTCACATTCATTAACTGAGGACCTTTGATGCTCCTTTTTATCCATGGTGAATTTATTAAGAGCTGTAGCACAAAGAACTTCCACCTCAAGTAGAACCTCAATTGGCACCTCAACTGACACCTCAACTTGGCACCTCAACTTGGCACCTCACCTGGCACCTCAACTTGGCACCTCAACTTGGCACCTCACCTGGCACCTCAACTTGGCACCTCAACTTGGCACCTCAACTTGGCACCTCAACTTGGCACCTCACCTTGCACCTCAACTTGGCACCTCAACTTGGCACCTCAACTTGGCACCTCAACTTGCACCTCAACTTGGCACCTCAACTTGGCACCTCACCTGGCTGCACTTCTCGATAGTTCGCAGCTCACGTTAGCACCTAAAAAGGTGGCGTGTTTTGAGTCCGTGTCTTAGTATGTAGTTTCACGCTGGAAGCATGACCCACGCTGTTTTAGTTGTCCCGCCGCTGCCACCAGTGTGACGAGATCTGGTTCCATGAACTTGGTAGCAATTCCGAACGACACGAACCAGGTCTCGTCTTATAAATCAGTCAACTCTCCCAGACAGTCGACTCTCACAACTCACAACTATTCAACGAGGATCTCAATCATGCATTCATCAATCACTTCAATCAAAGTAATATCCGAGACAAATAACGACAACTTACAATGATGTTTGATCTTTCAGCTTACTTTACTGCATTCCTTACTGCATCAATACAAAACACGGACTGCCCGTTCGCAGCGTTATCAAATCACTTATATCAATCTGACCAAAATGTCGCCCTCTTCAGGTTAAACACTGTAACGTTCCGTCACAATATATATACATCACTGTACCTTTGTAAATTGACCCTTTTAGCCTTGCCCTGCTGGTCGATCACTATATGACAATAAATAAATAAATAAAATAAATGAATAGTTGTGACTGTATTAATCTCTCTGTATACTTATGTACTGACTGTATTAATTAAAACTTTCTTTTGTTGTTGGGTACATTTATATACATTTTTTAACGTAATTGACTGTTCATGGGTCACATTACACGTAAAGAAGACCTAGAGAATCTTGCTTCGACTGAAAATTGTGGGAAGGAGGAGTAGGGGAAGAAGGAGGATACTTTAGATGGACAGTCTGCAGAAATTGTTGGAAGAGAGAGGAGTGAAAGAACTGGGAGTGGTGCTAATAGAGAAGGCTAGGAACCGAGGGTTGTTGAACAGCATGATCGCCAAAGTCAATTGATATGGCACGTAGAGAGAGAGAGAATTGACTGTATCTCTATCTGTATGATAACTTTCTTACTGTAATGGTCATTTCACAGGTTTGTTGGATCTGACATGCTGGTCACGTTCCGGCATGGACACAGTGCTCTATCAGCCCGGGATAAGCTCAACAACCAAACCGTAAGCATTAAATACAACTTAAAAGGCAATTATTATTACAGTCAAACCTGTCTATAGCAACCGCCCAATGGAAACACAAAAAGTGAACTTTGTAGACAGGTTCCTTTAAGTACATGTTTAGTATAGTATAAAGACCACATTTCTTGTCTCCCTTGAGCGGTCTTTATATACAGGTCTCACTATATTATTAACCTTTGACCCTAGATTGGACCTGTATAGAGAGACCACCTGTTTATAAAGGTCACTTTTTTTTTTCCCTTGAAAGTGGTTTCTCATTGAAACACATACGAAAGGAACCTGCCTATAAAGACCACATTTCTTGTCTCCTTGAGTGGTCTTTATATACAGGTTTCACTGTATAACTTTAGCCTAGCCTTTGACCCTAGATTGACCTTTGACCCTTTTAACCTTTGGCCCTAGATTGGACACAAGGTGCTTCATGTGAAGCTCAAGATGGAGAAGTGGTTGGAGCTACTGGAGAAGGAGCTGGCCATGTGCAGTCCAAACACGGAGAGGCTTTTCAACCCGGTCTCTAGCAGTCTCCTAGGAGAATCCTTTGATGTGCCATCAATGAGCTTCGACCTTGAAGGTAATAAAAGGAATTTAGATTTCAGTAGATGATGAGGATGAGGAAAGTAGTAGTGGTGATGGTGATTGTGATGATGGTGATGATGATGATGATGATGTGGTGGTGGTGGTGTTGGTGGTGGTGGTGGTGGTGGAGGCTTTTCAACCCGGTCTCGAGCAGTTTGTTAGGAGAATCGTTTGATGTGCCATCCATGAGTTTTGACTTGGAAGGTGATTAAAGGAATTTAGATTTCAGTAGATGATGAGGATGAGAAGGGTGATAGTGGTGATGATGATGGTGATGATGATGATGATGATGATGATGATGATGATAATGATAATGGTGATGTACATGATGATGATTATGAGGGTTATGGTGATGATGGTGCTAGTGATGATGCTGATGATGATAAATGACTAAGAACCATACTGATGATAATGATGATGGTGATGGAGGTAAAGAGGAGAATGATAGAAGGATCTGTTTTATATATATGCAGAGACAATTGGACAAAGGACATTCAAATCATCAACCAAACAGGACACCCATTATTTCATGATAGTAGTAGTGGTTATTTACCTGACTGCTAAGAAAACATCAATGCTTGTTCAGCCCCGTCTTAATATAACTCAACTAGGGTGAGATTTACCTCGATGTCACTTCGATATTGTCTGGACGTTACCCCGATTGGCGTGTCTTAACTGGAAGGGGTTAAATGTCATCCAAATAACGTCTGGACGGCACGGCAGATTTATTTTGTTGTTAAGACGGGGTTTTAGTAAGCAACCAGAGGACCGACGGTTTCAGGTCCTCTCCGAGGGACCTGGTAATGAGGAATAATGCCCTACCAAACCAAAAGGCATTAGCGCGTCGACTTGGTTTCAAACGCGGGTCGCCGGATAACAAGACCACTGCTCTACCAACTGAGCTTTAATGCCTCCTCCATGTAATTCCTTCTCATCATTATCTTTTCCCCGTTTCTTTACCCCGCTTCCAGAGGAAGACGAGAATGGCCAAGACTTTGGATCTCTCAAACCGGAGCTCCAAGCCCCCCTCCTACCAACCCTGGGTGCCGGGTCACGATCAGGCACGCCCTCTCCCACCGTAGAGCTGCAGGAGGGGGCAGGGAGGCCCAAGAGGCCGCCACGCCCTGCCAAACCAGGCAGGCCTCCTCCTAGGGGAGGTAATGGGGAAGAGGTCCAGGTAGGTTGCAGATACCCTAACCCTAACCCTGTATATTATAATCATTTTCAATATGTTGTTACACTCTTTGTAAATTGAGAAATTGTGGGAACCAATAAACTTTCTATCAAGCTATCCTTTTGCGGCCGTGCCGAGCTGAAGCTTTAATTGACAACACATTGAAAGGTCCAAAATGATTTTTTTTTTCCTTATATAAATTGGCAATATTTAGAGATTGGATACCTGCGCCCTGTTTTATGAAGAGGTGTGATTGGTCCGAATCAAGCGCAAGTCCTCCAGTCAATAACAGGTTTACAGTCTCCTATCTCTTATGTGCATACATGTAGTTGCATAGTGGATATCAATCGCAAATAAGTTGCAATTAATTGCAATCGTTTAGAAGACAGCCCTGTTCTTCTCCTTTACTGCTTTCAAATGCGTGACTCTTTATTAGAAAAATGTAACAATTGAAGAAAATACCAGTATTGCCAATTTGGGGAAGGAAAAGTAATCAATAAGTCAACGCGCTATCAATGACCCGCGCACAATTATATTAGCGCGCATTTAATGAGACGTGTTACTTTGTGATGTCACAATGCTTATCTACCTGAACGGCGCGTGCGCAATGACCCATCAAGCATCCGGATTTTAGTTATCCGACATTATTCGTAGCCTGTCTGTCACCAGTCTGTCACCGACGTAACTGAATAAACTAGAATTCTAAAATCTGGCTTATTCAAGATGGGTCGGGATTTTTCTGTGTGACACCGCCTATAGTCATCATTATGTAATTCCTGGGTCAAAAGATAAGGATGGAATGTGGCAGAGGTTCATTAGGACTGAGGAGACTCTTTTATGACAAGAGCCTACGTTTTATGAGGTGTGGCTGAATAACTTTGGATTTAGAGCTCTAAGCTATAGTAAATCAGTGATGCCAGTTTTCAGGCAATATCCTGAATTCAGGCCATGGCAAGTTATTTTCAAACCGTAGTTTAGGCTTTTTGGGGTACAAAATTGCTCATTCTAGGTGATTTTCAGGCCCTCTAATCAATTCTGACTGTAGTCCCTGAGTACAAGCGTAAATAATAATAATAATTACAGTGCTTATATAGCGCCTAACACTTACTTTGTCAGAAGTCTCTAAGCGCTCTACAATAATGCAGCATAATTACCCTGGCTTTAGCAGTGCAGCTGTTACGCGCGCTGCGTTTCAAGGAATAAATTCCTACCAGGTACCCATTTACTTCACCTGGGTGGAGTGTGGCAAATGTAGATCAATGTCTTGCCAAAGGACATTAGTGCAGCGGCGGGACTCGAACCGCGGACCTTGTGATCGACAGTCCGGCGACGTATCCACTCGACCACAACACTGTAAATACTTTCTTCATTTTTTTCTACATACAATGTTTTCATTATCAGTTTAACCCTTACTGTACTGGGCTATTTTGAGCACCCTCTGACTGGGGGCCGTCGAATGTCCGATGAACACAAAAATTTGCATATTTGTAGATATTTACGTAAGGAACAAGATGGTATAATTAGTTTTTTCCTAATATGCAAATTTTTGTCGTTATAGCCTAATTAATTATGCAAAATGCTAATTTTATGCATTTTACAGAAAATGCTACATATTTGTCCGTAGACTTGTGAAGAATCTTGAAAATGTATTGAATTAATGTTTCCTTCATCTCAAATTCATGAGGTTTCATTATTTTTATGATATTTGAAAATGCATAGGTTAATTTGCATAAATTATGAATATGCAAATTACGCATTCATGAATATCAAATCAGGAACTATATTTAGGGAACTAGAATCATTACAAAAATTGTCAGACTCAACTTTTTGAATGTTGAAACTCATTATTCATATGAAACTTCTTTTCTAACACAAAATAGTTATTTGATGTAATTAATAATGATAATTTATGCAAATTTGATGCGATTTTCTACTATTTATTTTCTTATGTATTTTATTGTTTTTTATTTCTTATTATATCTATTGTTTTATTTCTAATGTATTCTTTTGTTCTGGAATACATCAAGTTACTCTGAGAAACATATAAAAGCAATTTTATATCAATTCATATCTTCACATTTCTGTACATGAATATATGCAATTATAGCACTTTTTTGATTGACATGCGCATACTAATTGTTATGTAACACCTTACAGGTATATCCAATTTTGACGAAAATGGTATCAAAATGTGCGCAAGACTTGAGGGAAAACAGTCATGAAACGACAATTCAAAATTCCAAGCGGTTGCGGCGCGATCTCCGAAAATGTCAAGGGGGGGGCCTCCCAGGCCCCCCCCCCCCCAATACAGTAAGGGTTAATAGTGTCCCCACTTTGTATTTGACACTTTGTATTCTAAATCGGCAGATAAGCTTTGAAATCCATTAATTGACAAGATGTTGAAAGGCTAAATGACGACAATTTGTGAGAACGTAGTCATTGTAATACAAGTTCTTTGATTATTTTATGTTCATAAGTATATATTGTATTGTTGAACTGGTGTCAAATATGTTTTCAAAGTCAATGGAAGAAAAGAAATGTTCATTTGAATTGAATTAAATTTGTTCATTATTTAGGCTGAGGTGGAAGTCAAAGTTACAGCACAGAAGCGCGTACCCCCTACCAGGCCCGGTCCACCAGTGCGCCCCTCTAGACCCAACATGCCGCCAGCGAGACCACAGGCACCACCGGTAGACGAGGCCAAGAGGAAACCAGATGCCCCCGTAGCAAGGGTAAGTTGACTCCTCCCTGCAGAAGATTTTAACCCGTTCAGGCTCGGGGGTCATTCCATCTAAGGATGATAATAATAAATAGTGATTTTTGTGTATCAATGTAACTCTTTACATACCACATAAATAATCTCCCTGTACCATATTTTTTTTGATCATGAGATAGATATACCAAATGCTTCCGGATTATTTAACCGTTTCTAGTCCAAGATTAATCCATACCGGTGTTAATAGGTTTAATAGTCATGGAGCTAATCAAGACTGGATATTATTAATTTTGCAAACCAATTGGGTTAGACAAAATGATCCTTTGGTCAATTGGTGCCAGACGCATACGCAGGAATTTTTCGAAGGGGGGGTTTTAAAATTTGAAAAATACGCCAAAAATTTCGCAACGATTCAGCCAGCCGCTGAATTTGGCTGATCGATATTTTGTTTCGTACGGGGGGGGGGGTAAGTTCAGCTTTTTGGGGTCAACCATTACCACAATATTTTTTTATTTATTTTTCTTAAATTATTTTTTCTTTAAAAAAAATGAGGGGGGGGGGGGGTTTTCCTCCAAAATACACACATAAACCCCCCCCCCTACATACGCGCCTGATTGGTGCCTATTGTTACCCCGGTCATTACATTGATTTGTGCCTCCACTTATAATGTACACCATCTACCCGAGATGTTACTGACACGCACAAGCACACACACCCACACGCATTCTCACATCAGGGCCTTTGTGGGGCACCTGATTGTGGGGTATTTCTGTGCGTTCCAGATATACCTTGTGGTCCCCTACTAGTGGGGTATGTACAACCTGGCGATAACAACCCGGCGGTGTGCTTACGATGTTACCATAAAAAAGTGTGCAAGTTTTAGCACACGCTCACAAAAAGTCATTTATGGGGTACCACTTCTAATGCCCCGCAGGGCATAGGACACCGAATATACAGTCATTTGAAAGACTTTACTCTGTGGGGTCCTGAAAAAATACCCCACAAAGTAAAAATGCCTCACAAGGGGTATGTGAAGCGCACATAAAACCCCACAAGAATGCACGCATGCGCGCACACACACACACACACACACACACACTCACAAATGCACGCACACATAGGCATCCTCTTTGGTACCCCTTATACCCGTGTTTGCAGATAGTGGAAATATCTGAGATTTGAAGACCAAGAGATAATATTTCTACTATGCATTAAATAATTTTCATATGTGGAAATATTGATGTGGCCCATTTGAAGTAGGAAAGATGATACATTTACCATCTGTTTGTTAGCACCTGTCCATGATGCGATAGAATATTCCTCCTTTTGCTATTCAGACACAACATATAATTAATCAGGTTTAAGACCCTCATGTAGGAAACAGAATAATATAAAAGGTTACAAACATCAAAACAATGTGCTATTTGGAATGTACGATAACAGTAAATTATCATTATTTTTTTAATTATTTAAACATATTTGTGGCTTACACCCAGTAAATAAGATTGTTTGATCTGTATTGAAAAACAAGTTTAGAGCAAAATCTTGGAACCAGCGGGACTTGAACCTGCATCTACTGCTTGCCGGGCAGCGACTCTACCACTGGGTGTAAGCCACAAATATGTTTAAATAATTAAAATTTCTCCCAGGAAGCATTACATTTATAAAACTATAATTATTTTGTATTTGATTGTTGTGTATCCTTTGCAGTTCAACGCAGATTTTGATGAAGAAGTTGATTTTTTCTTCTGGTATTAGCTAGTAGGTTTAGCATCCTAACTTGCATCATAACCTGCCTGCTGCATAGATGAATTCATGCAATTTTGTTTTTATGACAATGACAAGATTTGCTATGAGCATGAATTTCATACAATAATGTAAGGAGACATCCTGTGCATGGCATGAGTATTAGAAATGTAGACGTATACATGTACATGTACAGACCTGCCAACCAGTACGATTTAGTCGTATTTTCTTCAATAAAATACAATTTTTTTTTATTTATTTTTTTTTTTTTAACTTTTTAATAATTAAAATTTATTCATTAACTAATTCATTCTGTAAAGTATCCTTCAAGCATTTCACATTGGCAATTTGGGGATTTCTATTGGTTCATCGAACACACCAGTCGTGACGAAATCATGCATAATCAACCAATGATCCATAAAAAAATAAATAAATAAAAAAAAAACTGCAAGAGGCATTGATCCGGTTTATTTTTAAGAATACAACTTTTGTCAGTAAAATACAACTTTAGGGATTAAAGAATACAGTTTTTGAACTCCAGAGGTTGGCATGTCTGCATGTACTATGTAGGTGTCCCTGTCCTGCTTGTAATTGTCTTGGGACCCGTTTCACAAAGCCTTTTTTCAATGACCAGTGACAAAAATCAGTGACAAATCTGCTGATAACCAATCAGAAGCAAGGATTTCAGTAGCTTATCGAAAACTGTCATTTGTCACTGATGGCAAGTTTTGTGAAACACCCCCCCCCCCCCCCCCCCCCCCTGGTTAGGCTATTTAGGGATGCCCTTGTGCATGGCTGGAGTATCAGATTGGCCTGAAGGCCAGGGGGGCGTTTCACAAAACTTGTCATCAGTGACAAATGACAATTTGTGTTATAAGCTACTGAAATCCTTGCTTCTGATTGGTTATCAGCAGATTTGTCACTGATTTATGTTATTTGTCATTGAAAAAAGGCTTTGTGAAACGCCTCCCAGATCAGTAGTGGTATCTTTCCTGCATGTAAGTCCCCTGTTACGACTCTTTGGAAAGCCTTGTGCATTGCATGGGTGTTAGATTGGCCATGACAAGCAGTCCTCCCTTTAATATTTTTCCATGTTCTGTAACAGTACCCTGTTCCTACTGACCTATTGACCTGCATGTTTGTTGGTTTACTATGGCAAGCACTCAAGTGGCGCCGACCTGAAACATTCTTGCATGTCCAACACTGCACTATACTTTTAAACTGGACACTTGAAACTTTGGGAAATGCCCACTTTTGCAGCATGAATCTTTCGCGAATTGCAAGAGTTTAGTGTTGCAAAGTTTGTGACATTTCATGCACAAGGATATTTTCTTGTTATACTGTATGATCTTGGCACTAAACCAGTTATATCACTTTAGGAATTTGTAGCAATATTGGTAAAATTCACCAGACTACGAGATTTGGGCTCACGCATCAAGCATGCCATACTAATAATTTTACATTATACAATACCCCATGGAGTACCCATATTGCACTGCGCAATGTTAACCACAAGCATTAAATTCATGCACGTTTTGGTACCATTTTATTGATTTACTTAGATTTCAGGTATGTAGCACATTAGCACTTTAAATCAACGTCTTTCATCTTTGTTTGTGTCCCTTTCCCATAACTGTTGGCTCGCATGTTTGTTGTTTTTATTGTGCAGCCCTCCTCCATAATCAGTGATCCGTACCAAGTGAGTCATACCCTGCATGCCGCGAGCCAGGATGACGCCATCAGACTTCTACAGGAAATCGGCGTCAGTGTACCCCCATCCCTTACCTCCCCACCTCCCGATGCTCCCAAGGTACCGACAGTGGCACCACGATCTTCCGCCTCTTTGAAAAGAACTACCAGAGGTGCTACAATGAGTGTTGATGCATTCAGTAGTGGTGACAGTGTACCCCTTTCCCTAACCACTCCGCCCCCTGATATTGTAAAGGTACCGACCGTGGCACCACGATCTTCTGGCTCTTTGAAAAGGAATACCAGTGGTGCTACAATGAGCGTTGATGCATGCAATAGTGATGTTAGTGTACCTTCTTCCTATACTACCCCACCCCCTGAGAACGTCGAGGTTCCAACCGTGGCACCACGGTCTTCTGGCTCTTTGAAAAGGGGCACCAGTGGTGCCACTTTTGATGAATACAATAATAATGCAGCTGTGCAGGATGGGAATGCTTTGAGGTCAACTGAGGGTGAAAAGGTACCTGTAGTGGCACCACCTCGTCCAATGCCAAGACAGAGGAGTTCAATAATCCCAGAGTCTAATTCCTTTGTCCATCAGGAGCCACAACAAGATCGACCAACGGCAGAGGTTCCACCAACCAGGGGACCTGTTCCAGCCAGCAGGCCTCCAACAAGACCAGCACCGCCAATGGCTGAAGGTGCTTCAGAGTCACCAGCTGTGTTGTCCATTGCACCGCCTGTACCAGGAAGCAGACCTCAGAGACCAAGCGCACCAGAAGCAGAGGAACCACAATTCATTCAGTCGGTACCTGATAAAATGCCTAATGTACCACCAAGACCATCGGCACCTCCACGGTCTGCCAGCAACGACGCCTTCACCGAAGTCTCATTAGAGCAAGCTTCCATGAGCACCAACGGCACCGTAGCTCAAAATGCAGCACCGCCTGTACCACGATCACGCCCAGGGAGACCTCCTCAGAGAGTGGTTGAACCGGAGGATAACTTCTACCTAGAAGCCATGGCGATTGAAACGGACTCCACAGACAACTTCCTCAATGAGCAATTTGGACCGTCCGAAGACCCGCCCGCTTTCAGTCCTCCTGATTTCCCACCCCCTCAAGATCCTGGTCCTGCTGGTCCACCTATGGTACCACCACCGGTACCTCGCAACAGACCCAGACCTACACCAGGTGCAATTGTCCCACCCCAGGTACCGTCTAGACCAGGTATTAGATAATAGATGTCACTCTGCAAGATTGATAACATGTGAAACCCCCGTTCATAATTGTCACCCTTTTTCAGACGTGACATAGTAAACTGCCACAAGAAATTGAAATAAGAGATGAATTTGAAAAAAGTAAAGTGGAATAATATACACATCCATATACATATGTGTCTATTTTTAGGAACTCTATTACAACGCATCAGCATAGCATATCATTAATAAACTGTTTTGAACATTGAGAACTATTAGCAATTGTGCAAAATAATTAGAATATTATTCTGCATGTTATTATAACAGACAGATATTGAGAACCCTCTGGTGCGTTTGTTGCTTGTAGCTACTCTATTACTTCTCCCGATGCCATTCATTTACACAATAGTTTTTATTCGCCAAAGCATTATTTATGTTCTTGAACAGTTAACTGTGTCATGGTTTAAAAAGGCTTAGATTTATATGAATTTAACATGTATTTTTGTTTCGTTGATGTAGTGTTTTCAATTATTTCATTGTTTGATATAGAAAATTGCAATAATATATCATGTACATGTAACTGTCTATTTTATGACCTCTATAATAACTTATTCTTAGGATATCAGAATAATCAACTGTTTTAATCATTGAGAATTATTAGAAAGTGTATAAAATTATTAGAATATTATATATCAGTCAATTTGTTATGATGAATAAACCAAAGCTGTGAAAACAACAAGTGCTCCAGTGTTAAAGGTCAAGTGAATATTCAAATCTGATTCAAATCTATCATACTAACCTCATCATTTTTGTAAGGTGCAATACAAATTAAGAGGTATTAAAGGGAGAGGTGTTTCAGTTTCCATGTGCAGAAGGTCATCATTAAGACACAAGACTTTGTGGAAATACCATTAATAGGTGACAAAGTCTACACACAGCGAATCCGTAGGCCTATCAAGAAATCCCCCTTGGTCTCTCGGAGAGTCTTTGGGTGATGCAAATGTCAGATAATGACATATGGGAGAATGGGTGGAAAAGGCAGAGCATTATATAAAGTCGGTTGTTCATTATAACCTGAAGGTTAATCCTGTAAATTGAGAACACCTGTTATTGGGTAAACACCAGAATGGTGTCAAATTCCCCATGAGAGCCCACTTCTTTGTTTCTTTAAAGGTAAAGACCAGTTCTGGTCATGCGATTGCATTGTGAAAGAAACGTGGAATCGATTAGAAAAGGTTGATCATCTAGCATATAAGTATTGGTGTGTACTGCAAGGTTCTGGAATCATCAAGATGATAAGAAATTTGGCCCAGTCTTCGTAAAGTTACAAGCACTGTACACAGAAAGATGTATATGGGACTATACGCACACGTGCGCCACACATGCGTTTATCTCTCACAGACCATGTACATAAAGTAATTTATCAAATATATCAATTAGTAGGCGGTTTCCCGGCAAAATTTTTATCATGTATTAGTCAAAACATATTCTTTCACATGATTGGTAATAAGACTTTCCATTTAATTTTTTGAAATTGGGGCATTTCCAATACTGGTATTTACCTTTAAGCAGTTAGAGACATTGCTTGACTAATCTCAAGAATGGAAACAAGCGCATTGCCAACAAAGCTGAACTTAAGTAGCACCCCTACTGTCGCAGTGCATACAACCTTTGACAAAAGAAAAATTGGAAGGCACTATTAAAAGAGGTGCAAATTTAAGCTGGCTTACGGGTATTTTGAATAATCATAGCAATGCGAAAACTGTTTCAAACAAGCATACATAACACAAACACATTCCTTAAAAAAATATAAAAAAAAAATAAAAAAAATAAAGATAATTAGTGAGATAATCAAAATTATGTGAAATAAAATAGCCACCAATCCTTCCATTGCCATATGTGTTGTTCTCAATTTTTGGTGTACCAGTGATGTATCATATTTGGACAAGGATTTAAAAAGGGATTTACGAAGAAGTAAGATTTTATGAAACCGTGTCGCTGTTAACATGACCAATGAAAGAAGTTTCCTACCAAAATATTTGTGCTTGATTTTGTGTCATTATGATTACACCAAAACTATTCTTCATCTGTAAAGTTTGTTTCATCTTTGTTTGTGAATTAATAATCAAATATAAGGAGAGGTGGGAAATATACTAAGTTTCTTTTTTTTTCCAAAAATCCCAATCCTCCCTATAATTGTATCTGAAATCTTCTCTTATTGGATTTTTAATTGTTACAGACATAAGTTATCTGAAGGTTTTAAAGGTTGCTTTTCCTGTAGTTGAAGCCTATATTTACTCAATTGTCCTGGTAAAATCATTGAGAGTTTTATTGGATTCTTTTTGGAATTTACATGAATGTAACGTTGTAGATATTATATGGAGTGTGTACTTTAAATGAAATAAAAGTGTCTAGAAATATATATGAATATTATATAACATATTTTAAAGTAACTTTATTGTTAGTGTCACTATGTAATGCTATTAAAATTAGTTGTGCATTTGAATTGTTATGATTGTAGTGTAGTTGTAATTCATGCTGCTGTTTCATTCATTGTTTTTTCCTCTGAAATTAGGATACTATCATCTGTAAAGAGCCAGAAGGGTGTTAACCCTTTGCATACGTAAACAGGGTGGTCCCTCGTGTTACCCCTTTGTGAATCACAATGAAGTAGTCAACGGGTTAAAGATAAAGATCACTTATGGTCATGCGATTGCATTGTAAAAGAAACGTTGTGGAATCGATCAGAAAAGGTTGATCATCTAGCATATAAGTACTGATGTGTACTGAAAGGATCTGGAGTCATAAAAATCATAATCAATTTGGCCCAGTCTCGGTAAAGTAACAAGCACTGTACACAGAAAGATGTATATGGGACTACACAAATGGTGTCAGGGTTACTTACCTTGATTTCCTTATCTTTCTATGCTCATTACTCAGCCAGTATACATTTTCTACCAAAATTGTTCGGCAAATGACATTTATTTGTAATCCTGAACATTCAGCGTAAGTTTCGTTTGATTCTGTGAGAATTCTTCTTTTTTTTTTACCAGAACTCAAGTTTTTCTTTAACCCTTTGCACACGCCGACAGGGTGATCCCTCGTGTTACGCCTTTGCGAATCCCAATGAATTAGTCAATGGGTTAAATCTGTGTTATAGTAGAAGTACACAGGACAAGCTGCTTCTAAAGCTACCTCACACAAAAAACAAAAGTAACTCTTGGAGATTGTGCTTTCAGTTGCCCTGTTCCAAAGCTTTTGTATAACCTCCCACTAGACACAAGAACAGCCTCATCTGTTGCTGGCTTCAAAGTTTTGTTGAAGACGGACTTGTTTTCAAAAGCTTTTGAATAGTCTTTGATCATGTGTCTGTAAAGTAGCACTGTTGGAGTTTTGTTTTCATCACAGCACAGTAGAGTATAATAGTATCTACGCTTTATACGTGTACATTGATCTTATTACAGTGAAACCTGTATATAAAGACCGCTCGATAGAAATGAAAAGTGGTCTTTATAGGCAAGAGGTCTTTAAGTACAGGTACCGGTACCTTTACTACAGGTTGCAATGAGAAACCATATTCAAGGGGAACAAAAAATGTGGTCTCTATTATTAGACAGGTGGTCTTTCTATACAGGTGATCACTAGCTATTAAGCACATTTGGCTGTATCATTAAAGTATATGAGTTAATGCCCTTTCTGGTTACATAGAGAAGATACCTATTGTTACCTCAGGCATAAATGTACAAAATGTAGAACCTAAGCCAGTATAGACAAGTAATAGTAAAATACTCTGTTTATTATACATGTGTATACATTTACATGTATCACAATGTCACCTATGTATATGTGTGTGTGTGTTTTGAGTAGAAGACTAGATACACAACATTATTTGACTTAAAGGGATAGTTGAGTTCTGTTGCAGAGGGCGCTACACGAAATAATTTTTTGTGAGATAATGAAAAACTGTGTGTCGAATTTGAAAGAACATACAATTTAAATGACAAAATCATCTTTGTATATAATGATTTCTAATACTTGTGTACCACCTCAAATATTTGATAATTTGTGGTGGTACATAATGAAATAGCGCCTTTTACGTCGTATTTAAGCCAATGCCGATGTTAATTTTGTTGTTGGCATTTTCGTGTTGGTTATATTACGCACAACCAGCCGGCCCATGTACTGTTATTTTTAATTAACGGTCACCAAATTTTCTTTTAAGTGTAGCTGAATTATGATCGTATTGGCTAAATTTCACACATTTTGCAGTCTAAAATTACCTTCATAGCAATTTTAGGTTCTAAAAGGGCACTAGAAATGTCATAGATAAGAATAAGAGCAATAACCATGCACTTTGAAGGCATTTGCGGTCTGAAAACAGAACTCAACTATTGAAATGTTGATTTTAAAGAGTTCAGGCCTGATAAAACCCGATTTAAATCGGTTTCCCGATTTTTTTATTTTTCCCCGATTTTTTTTTTCTTCCCAATTTAATTTTTTTTTTTTTTACCAGATTTTTTTTCCCTTCCCTATTTTATCCTTATTTTCACTAATAATTTTCACTATTCTTCCCTATTTTACCCTATTTTTTTCCCAATTTTCTTACTCAAAAGGGGAAATATTGTTAGATGCCGTTTTTTTCCCGGCGAATCCTCTTCTTTTTGTTTACTCAAGGGGGCGTGGTTGAGGGGAAAACAAAAAACCTATTTTTTTTAGTGCTCACTATCACCCATGAGAGTTAGACGTAGATACCATTTTAATGAAGGACATGGATGATTGAAGAATAGAAGAATATATAAAAACGGACTGGCAGAATATATGCACAAACATGCGGCATGAAAGTTGTGGTCCACAACCTTTAGCTCATACTTGTCATATTTCGAATATGAAGGCATTTCATTTAAAGAGACATCCTTTTCAGGGGACATTCAGACCTGCCAACCAGCACGATTTAGTCGTATTCCGTATGATTTTTAGAAGCAAATGCGATTTTCCTCAATAAAATACGATTTAAAAAAAAAAAAAAATTAAATATTTGTTGGGTATTTTTGTGTGTTTGTTCCATTTTCAATGGTAAAATGCACATTCTGTCCCGTAAAGTATCCTACAAGCATCTCACATCGGCAATTTGGGAATGTTCATTGGTTCATCGCACACTTCCATTGATCCGCGTAACAGTCCACGTTTATTTTTTTAAGAATACAACTTTTGTCAGTAAAATACAACTTTTGAGATTAAAGAATACAGTTTTTGAACTCCAGAGGTAATTGGCAGGTCTGGACATTTTTAACGTGACGCTCTTTCATCTTTTCCAGAAATCTACCTTCTCTTTAGAAAGACCAAAAAAGTGAACAATGTTGACAAGATGTTGTTCACACTTTCTTGTATAAAAGAGCACTGCTATGAATTTAGGTTTGTTTTTAATTTAAACATGTGACAAATTGATTTATTAAAGTTTTCGTCTGAAAGTATTCAACAAAGGCCCTAATTCAACCAGTCCAGCTTTCATTCAAGAGTTGCAAAAAATACACAAAATTTACAAGGAGTACGAAAGATATACTTGTTAACTATACATGTTTTTGATATTCATTGTTTTGAAGTTTGTTCTTTGTGGTATAAATATGTCATAAACATTGATATAGATCCATTTTATTGATCCTGATATTCATGTACTCGTAATAATAGTATTACCTTTTCTGTCTTCCTCATATATAGACATACAGAATATCAATGTTTACCATAATTCAAACCAAACATTCATTACAGTATGTGGGACTGTAGCGTTGAATCTGCTTGAACCTGATGTAAACAAACAATATCATCATGTATCTTCAAATTGTTATATCAATGGTCTTTCTATTATATTTGTTTCTTAGCTTCAAACAATGTGAAGACAGGTCTATTATTATTAATTCTTTCCTTGTATGTGTGCAGCATATTTTACATGATGATTTTATGTATGATTGTATGTAGTATAAAATATTCCCCAATAATTAGCCCAAACCAAATAGACCATGCATTTATTTTATTTTGTGAAGTCAATTTGTGTCAATATTACATGAATGAAGATTATAAGACCAACGTCTCATCGTATTTTGAAGTATGTGATATGAGTATACTTTGTGGAGATAACAAAAGAGATTATGGCCATCCCTGATCAAATAAAACAAATGGAAAAGACATAAATTGAAGTTGCATGTTGTTATTTTTCTGGATTGATGTCTAAGCTATGGATGTATGGAAAAGGAGAGAAAATTACACAGATAGAGAAAGAAGGAAAATGATGGACTGACCTGGAAAGACCATAGAAAGAGAAAGAGAGAGAGAAGGGGGAGAAATACAAGGAAAGAGAGAGAGAGGCCGGAGAGAGAGAGAGAGAGAGAGAGATATGAGAAAGAGAGAGAGAGAGAGAGAAGGGGAGAGAAATATATAAAGAGAGAGGGAGAGAGAGAGATGAGAAAGAGAGAGAGAGAGAGAAGGGAGGGGGATATAATTAAGGAAAGATCGAGAGAGGGGAGAGATGAGAAAGAGAGAGAGAGAGAGAGAGAGAGAAGGGGGAGAAATATAAGGAAAGAGAGAGAGAGGGGAGAGAGATATGAGAGAGATCAAGCTCGATCCTAATTAATTCATTTCTGACTTAATTCTTGTTTGCATCTTGTTTTCTTTGGTAAATTTGAAATTGTGACGTCGATTTTCCCTAGTGCTCTTTATTTCTCCTTTTTATTTTTTATTTTTTTTAAAAGAACAAGAAATCAATCGCAACACCACCAACAAACCCCCCCCCCCCCCCCCCCCCCCCCCCCCGCCTTCAAAAGTCCACGACCAACCAACGCTAGCCCAACGCTATCGTTGATGATTATCGTATCGTTGACCTTTGACATCAAAGTCCGTAAAAGGTAAATAAAAGGGAGAAACATCCCAAGTATTTGGCACGGCACCGAGTAATAACAAAGGAAAATGACATCAAAATTCGATCTTTGATTCATCTGAAATTGAGATGCATATGCTGAACTGATTCACTGAAGCATCTTGAGTGCCATATTGTCTTGAAAATCACTCGGAAGTGAGTATAAATGCATGAAATTTCTGGGTTCTTATATGCGAGTGTGTCGTGTTTTTGCAATGTCATAGGCATTGAGTTCTTGCACAAGATGAGCGAACATTGTGTGTGGGGTCGGCCGTAGCAGGGGCGAACGTGGAGCAGCTGGCGCTGGGCGGCTCTCGACTCTCTTGGGTTGCGTTTATCTAGCAAATTCTTTTCTAGAATCAGGTTTCTCAAACGTCTTGCAGGCAAATTTAGAAGTAGATAAACGCAAAGCCTTTTTCAAACGTCTTTAGATATGGGCATATCTAAAGACGCAAAAAGGTGCGTTTTGAATGTGACATAGAGTCTAGTCTACAGCCAGAATCACGTTTCTGAGAGATCGATAAACGCAAAGCTGTTTTGAACCTCACATACAAATATGACCACCCAGGTGTTGTGTACAAGCATACGTGTAAAGTTGACCTCCGAGAAACTGTCTGCTTCCCGCGTCAAAACAGCTGGGCAGACACAAGGCCTTTATTTTGAATCGTGAAGGGTCGATAAACGCGACATCCCGCAAATCACGATCGCATAGTGGGGTACGATAGTGGGGTTCGATAGTGGGGTACGATATGTACATATCTAGTGGCAAGCCTAGATAAACGCGCTCAAAGTCTTACTCTCGTCTCGAGCTCTGCATCTGCGCCATGACTCTCCAAACAGTACCTGAATGAAAGTCGCTGCATTTAACGTTACTTGCTTTGTCCAAAAAATAGTTGATTATCTAGTACAAACCTTTCGGACAGCTAAATAATATTGATCCAAAAATTAAAATGTTTGAATGCCGTTGCTTACATTTGCAAACCAGTTAGGTCTAGACCTAGTTATTCTATTTCTAGAATCTATCTAGAGTCTAGAGTAGACTAGACTCTAGAGAGCTTTTTCGAATTCAATGATTGTGACAAAATTAATTAGGAAATTTAGGATTGATCTTATTTTTAATTTTGAATGCGACTCGATCATTCACTGAAATTAATTAATGTTATAGTGTTGTTGTTTTAATAAATAAATAAATAAAGAAAAGAATAACTAGATCTACTTCTAGTCTAATACCGGTAAGCATTTTCTGTGTGAAACACGAATGACAGAGCTTTTGTTTACCTCGCAGTTTCACGTGACTCCTGTTTAGAGTCTAGTCTAGATCTATATGATGTGCAATTTTACTTATAAATTCAAATTCAAATTCAAACTTTATTGATTTCAATCAAAACAGATAGGATCATTTCCGATTTGTGTACATTAATGGATAACAAATTTCAAAGTTATTGTGCAACATAGATAATTGAGTGTAAGAGTAAAGATAACAATAACCAGGAGTGACACAAATTAACATACTACTGCAAAAACGACCTCTGCCGAGGGGGATGTTGAGTAAAAAAATAGCATATAAGTATTGGTGTGTACTGCAAGGTTCTGGAATCATCAAGATGATAAGAAATTTGGCCCAGTCTTCGTAAAGTTACAAGCACTGTACACAGAAAGATGTATATGGGACTATACGCACACGTGGGTGACACATGCATTTATCTGTCACAGACCATGTAGATAAACTAATTTACCAAATATATCAATTAGTAGGCGGTTTCCCGGCAAAATTGTTGTCATCATGTATTAGTCAAAACATATTCTTTCACATGATTGATAATAAGAGCTTCCATTTCAGATTTTGGGAGAGGGGGATGTTGAGTAAAAAAATAATAATTGAAGTGCTCACTATATATTATACCCCCCCCCCCCAACCCCCGTTGAGCAACCGGGAGATTGCGGGAGAGCGGGAGGAAGGGCGTGGTGGCGGAAGTCTCTCGCTACGAGCTGGTGGGAAGGGGGAGGATGAGCGTGGTGGTGTGAGACTCCCTCCAAATGCGGAGGGTTGACAGCACTGTGTATAGCAGCATGCCCCTCTTTGACTGATCCTAATTCTGAATATGAAGTCATACGGCTTAATGCTCTGACAGAGTAAAACAAGTTGGAATAGGTGTGCACATGACCTCAGAAATAAAGTGATACTAAATACTATTGATAATACTGAGAACATGTGAGCCTCAAATTATTTGAATACATTGGGATCTTGAATAATAACTATGGATGGTGGCAAAGAATTTCAGTCTGTAAGTGTTTTCAGAAGGAATTAATAGTTGAAGGAATCCTTGTTTGAAATTTTGAATTGATTTTAATATCAGACTTCTTGTGTGATCTCCTGGTTAAATGAGTACCAAGGTGAAGTAGAGCCCTGTTATATAAAACTTGTTATCAATAAGTAAAGCTAAATTTTGATGACCAATTTGCTCTCAACCAATCAAATGCCACAATTTCAGTAGCTTATAACAGTTATTGTAACTTTTCTTCATCCCTTCTTTAGCTTTGGAGAAGATATTATTGTAATAGTCTAGAAGTCCTTCTCCTTTCAGCAATAAGCGTATTCATTTCATTTCATTTATTTCATTCTCCATAAAAAAACATTTAACATACACACATGATACACAGATAAAAGATTGGTTACAAGCAAAGTACAAAGGGAAGGAGCAAACAACATTTTATAGGAATGTGGGGTTAACAAAATGGGTATTGAGCGTCAACCCCTTAAAAAGTATACGCTGTACTGTTGAGAAAAGAAAAAAAGAAAAAGAAAAAGAAAAGCAGAGAAAATCTGAACACCAATACCAAAGAAGGAGAAAAAAAAGGAAGGAGAAGGGAAGGGGAGGGGGAATCGATTACAAAGTGCATTTATGATAAAAGATGGGATTATTCAATCGTTTAAAAATATTCATACAACACAACCCAACCCAACCCATTTTTGTTTCTCTTTGTACATCTTCCATCCAGGCATGGTGGTCGAGGTAGAACGGTCAACTGCCGGCCAAAGCAGAAGCAGGCCATGTTAATGATGTCATAGAATAATGATTGAGATCTCTTTTGCGTTCAAGCGATTTTTAGCAACCATGATTCTGCAGATTCCCGTTACAAAACGCATCTTTTTCAGCGTTTCATACTTGCGTTTTGAAACACGTTTATTTTACAACAGACGGAAAATCGCTTGAAATCGCTTGAACGCAACCGTGTTTTAAACTAAACGTCGTTTAAAAAAAACGCGTTTCTTGGGTGAAAAAGTGTCGCTTGAACGCAACCTATGTCTAGCAGTCCTTCTCCTTTCAGGGAGGCAACACCAACCCACTTTTGTTTCTCTTTGAACATCTTCCATCCAGGCATGGTGGTCGAGGTAGAGCCAGACCTACCTCACGGTCACTGTGGTAGCTGCTATAGCCGAGACTGCCAGGTCTCCCCCCAGCCCGGGAACGCTTGTAGTCTGGTCAACTGTGAGGTCGACTGCGGTGCCAGGTTTCATCGATGTAAGGAGGACGAACATCGTCTTCTCTGCCCTAATGCAAAGGTAAGTTTCAACTATCGTCTGAGAGTCAGAAGAGTGTCCATGCAGACTATAGCTTTAGAAGGTTGAACCCTTCAGGCTCTCAATGAATAATATTTATTATAAAAAGTTAGAGATGGTGGTTGCAACCATCTTCTGCTGAGAGACTGAAAGGCAAAAAATCTATACTATAGGTTCCCTCATTTACTCTAGTGATAATTTGGTTTTAGCTGATCCCACTTGTATTTAATCACTGTATGCTCCTGGATTTATTGCATAGGTCTGCTAGTGAAAACAGTCTTTCGTCCAAAAGACTAAATCCCATCTACATTACATAAAACACTTCTTGACACAGTCGTACTATTATACAGTTTTATCTTTTTTCCTGCAAAATATGATGGTATAACATGCACGTAGTTGCCAGCCATTCCTAATAAGGAGAAATGGTTTCTAATTTTTGGCCTTCAAGCTATTGTTTCGAACCCTAGATTCTTCTCTTTTTCGGAAATAATCTGTGTGAAATGTATCTAAAAATAGACTGTATTCCTAAATTTGCCTCGAGGGATTCCTGCTTTTGTTGTGAAAAGTTGGCAGGTATAGATTACATACAGATATGCCAACCAGTACGATTACATTATCGATATTGATATAATAATAATAATATTTAATTTTTATATAGCGCTTAATACAAATGTCTCTAAGCGCTTTACAAATATACTATTACCCCGGTCATTGGATTCAGTGCTTGCTAGTCAGCCGTATATAGATAATAATATATGGCTACATGTATGTTTTTGTGTGATACAAGAATATTTTGCTCTCGCTAAGACAATATTAGACTCGTCTTCGACTTGTCCAATGTCATCGCTCAAGGAATTTATTCTTGTATCACACTGAACACCATCCAATATTATATAAATATTCTTTAATATTTTTTTGTTCCCATAGACTGAATGCGTGAATGCCATCTATGGCTGCCCTGTGGACATACAGAGACGTCATATATGCAGGCACCTGGAGGTCTGTCCAGCTAGCGTTGTTAATTGTACTATGGAATGGAATAGATGGCCGGTCTATGCCAGTGAACGACAGCCACAACAACCGCTACAGGTCAGTGTCTCTTTCACTCTTTCTCTCCCGAATTCTTTCTTTCTCTCCCTAATTCTTTCTTCCACTCCCTAATTCTGTCTTTCTAACAGTACAGTATTTGTCTATCACTCTCTCTGTCTCTTTCTGTTTCTCTCAGTCTCTTTATGTCTCTCTCAGTTTCTTTCTGTCTCTCTTTGTCTCTCTCTATATCTGTCAGTCTCTTTCTGTCTCTCTCAGTCTCTCTCTGTCTCTCTCTCAGGCTCTCTCAGTTTCTCTCACTCTCTCTCACTCTCTCTCTCACTCTCTCTCAGTCTCTTTCGGGCTCTCTCAGTGTCTCTGTGTCTCTCTCAGTCTCTCTCGGTCTCTCTCGGTCTCTCTCAGGCTCTCTCAGGCTCTCTCAGTGTCTCTGTGTCTCTCTCGGGCTCTCTCAGTGTCTCTGTGTCTCTCTCAGTCTCTCTCTGTCTGTCTCAGTCTCTCTCGGGCTCTCTCAGTGTCTCTCGGGCTCTCTCAGTCTCTCTCACTCTCTCCATCTGTTACTTTCCATCTTATTGTGTCACCATTTATCTATCTATTTATCTATCATTCTACTTCCCTGTCTATTTTTTCTGTCTAAAGAACTGCCAATCTACAGTATCTATCTTTTAGTTTGTCTGTCTTATGGTTTATATTTTTATGAGGTCTGTCTAGCTGGTGTTATTACTGTAATTGTTCTATGGAATGGAATGGCCTATTTATGCCAGCAAACAAGCTACTTTGAGATTCTTTCTCTTTCTCTCTGTCATTAGATTAATCCGACCCTATGTCTCTTTCTGGGTTGATATATCTCCAGTATGACCCTGCTACTGTCATTAATTGCATTATGGAACAAAAGGGATATGCCAGGTTATATGCCAGTGAATGACTGCCTTAACAGCTGATACAAGCTATTCTTCTCCCTCGCTCTCTCGCTCTCTCGCTCTCTCTACCTCCCTTGCTCTCTTTCTCTCTCTTCACCCTCTTTATTTTCTACCTCTATCCTTGTATCTACATGCATGTATGAGGAGTAAGATCAATGGTTGATCTATGACAGTGAACGGCATCCTAAATAAATTAAAGGTAGCTACACCAATGGTCTTATTATGCCCGTTTTTTGATTGTGAACCTGTCGACTACTAAATTTTATTATTCTCATAGGCTTATTACAGGAAAAACCCGGTTCCTGTAAGCAAAGGGTTAAAACTCTGACCACCTGGATCTAGGTTCGGAGCATATGAAGGTGATGGCATCCTTTACACATATATCTTATCTGATTCTTTGAAAAAAACATGTAAAGCTATAACTGTATCAACCTCTGCATGAACATCCCTCTCAATTCATCACAGGTAGTGCCCAATAACTTCAACCAGCTGGACATAGCCACACTCCCTTTAATGTTCAGTATTGAAGGCATACCTTACATTGAGGCATATCTTACATTTAGACATATTTTGTAAAGCCATAAGTGTATCAACCTCTGCATGAATTTCCCTCTCATTCCATCACAGGTAGTGCCCGATAACTTCAACCAGCTGGACATAGCCCTGGCGCTGCGGGATCAGCGCATGTTGACCAAGTCCATGAAGGCCTCGAAGCGAACACGTCAGATTCTAACCAATGCTTTGAATCGTCGTCATCCGGCCGTGCCTCTCGCTGCCCAGCACACCAACGACGTTCCTGATTCGGAAGAGGAACACCGAGAGCTTGCCAGTCTATTGCAGGTAAATACTCCTTCAAAGTTTCAAGTTCAAGTTTTATTTGTTCCACATTTTACAGAAAATATAGTTATACATATAAAATTAAAAATTATACAATACAATTGTAGTTTAAATGATTCAATATGATGTAATAGATTAAATATAATGTGAGGAACCTAGGCAATGGTTGTTTAATAAAGGTTCCTAAAAAAAACAAGTAATGTAGATGAAAAACAGTAGCAGTAGAGAAAGACATAATTTAGAGGAGAGAATTTCAAACATAATGAAATAAGGACATTTGTATATAAAATAATGCATTTGCACCAATACCCAGAGTCACCCGGTTAAAATGCATAGTTAAAATGCGTAGTCATCCGAAGCTCAAAAATCATATGCTAATACTTATCTGTATTAAACCGTCTAACAATCAATTTTAAGATTATTTTTAATTAAAATTTGATTTTTATCAGCCAAAGAGAGATCCTTGCAATACAACCCATGAAGAGCTATGATGATTTCTTAATGAGTTCAAATAAGCTTCTTATTGAAACTGCTATGAAAGGTACATGTACAGGAACTCCACATGCTTTAATATGAAGACCTCATATATATTTTGCTTCTCTTGAGCAGCCATTATATACATACATGCACAGTCAAACCTGTCTCAGTGGCCACCCCTCTATAAAGGCCACCTGTCTAATATAGTGGCCACACATTTTGTCTCCCTCAAGAGAGAAATGTGTGTTATAGAACCTGTCTAGAAAGGCCACTTTTTTCTGATTCCCTTTAGTGACCTTAATAGACAGGTTTCACTGTATTTTCACTATGATGGTATATTTTTTATGCCTCCGTTACGAAGTAGCCGGAGGCATTATGTTTTCGGGTTGTCCGTCCGTCCGTCCGTCCGTCCGTCCGTCCGTACGTCTGTACGTACGTCTGTACGTACGTCCCGTTCTCGTGATCACGTTATCTGAAGAACGGATCGATGGATTCCTACCAAACTTTGGTCATATATGTATTTAGCAAAGTCGATGAACTGATTAGATTTTGGGGTCACGAGGTCAAAGGTCAAAGGTCACAGGGCTCATTATGTATGCAAAAACAGCTCGTGATCGCGTTATCTGAAGAACCGATTGATAGATTCCTGCCAAACTTTGGTCATGTATGTATCTTGTAGAGTCGATGAACTGATTAGATTTTGGGGTCACGAGGTCAAAGGTCAAAGGTCACAGGGCTCATTATGTATGCAAAACGGCTCGTGATCGCGTTATCTGAAGAACCGATAGATGGATTCCTGCCAAACTTTGGTCATGTATGTATCTTGCAGAGCCAATGAACTGATTAGATTTTGGGGTCACGAGGTCAAAGGTCACAGGGCTCATTATGTATGCAAAAACAGCTTGTGATCGCGTTATCTCAAGAACCGATTGATGGATTCCTGCCAAACTTAGGTCATGTATGTTACTTGCAGAGCCGATGAACTTATTAGATTTTGGGTAACGAGGTCAAAGGTCAAAGGTCACAGCGCCCATTATGTATGCAAAAACAGCTTGTGATCGCGTTATCATTAGAACAGATTGATGGATTCCTGCCAAACTTAGATCATTTATGTATCTTGCAGAGCCAATGAACTGTGTAGATTCTTGGTTCATAAGGTCCAAGGTCATGGGCTCATTATGTATGCGAAAATAGCTTGTGAACGCATTCTCATTAGAACTGACAGATGGATTACTATTTAACTCTGGATATCTTGCAGAGCCAATGAGCTGAGTAGATATTAGGATCATGAGGTCAAAGTTCAAAGGGTCATATATGTATATGAGAAATTGTTTGTAATCACGATATTCTGAGAACCTGTTAATGGATTACAATTGAACTTGAATTTGAAAAATTTCTTCTGTTTTGGTTTGAAAAATTGCTCTATGACGGAGGCATCATTTTCGACTGCGCGCAGTCGAATTCCGTCTAGTTTGTTTCTGGACCCTGTTTCATAAAACTTGATATTAATAACGAGTCACAAGCTACTGTTATAAGCTACTGAAATCATGGCATCTGATTGGCTGAGAGCAAATTTGTCATAGAAATTGAGCATATGTTATCGATAAAAAGTTTTATGAAACGCCCCCCTGTTGTTACTTATCAGGTAATGCAGGATGAGAAGGAAGCAGCGGATCGTGAGAGAGCGCGCACACCTCCCGGTCTGCAGCGCAGCATATGCAACGAGCTTTACCGAAAAACCCCTGCAAGCAACGGCACCGATGCTGCGACACCTGCGCAACAAGAGTTCTATCCTCTACCCAGAGACCCCTTCATCCACTGCTCGCACTGCGCCCATCGCAAGGAGCGACTGGACCGAATCGTCGCATCCAAAGCAGCGATGCTCGATCCTTACAATGGTGCTTTAGCTGCAGAAGAAGATCCCTCCCTGGTTGAGTATGCCATGACACCCCTACCTGAGCATCAGAATGGATTTGCCCCAGACGGGGATTGGTGCCCTGATGGACTGTACCATCGTGAAGGGAGGGAGGATGGCATCTTTCATGAGGGATTACCTGAGGTAAAAAGGAGCTACTTTTGTTTTCACATAACTTTCCAATCTGTATCAAAGGGGATTATCATTGGAGACGCCTAGGGATATAATTTAGGCTATTTTCTAACCATTCTTATGTACCAGTCACTATGAACATGACGGACAAAGAAAGCGGACAGAACATACAGTTCCTCAGGTAGACAAATAACATCCCTTCACTGCTATAATGTTAAAAATGAGTAAAACAGGTGAATATGCATGTGACACCTGTTCTACACATTTTTACATAATAGCAGTGAAGGGATGTTCCTTTGTCTACCTGAGGAACTGTATATTTTGTCCTCTTTCTTTGTCCATCATATTCATAGTGAGTACATGTATCTAACTGATGTTGTTTTGCAAATATATTTTATTTTTTGTTTTCTTTTTATGCTTTTCCTCTTGATAGATGAGATTCATGTGCAGTAACTTTCTTTGGCTGTAAAGCAGGGCTCCCACTTAGCCGAGTTGGAGCCTTGAGTTGTGGCAAGCTGGCGCGATCGTATGGCAAGCCGTTTTATCATTAAAACATATTTCTTGATATCAAGAATTCAATTCTTGATATCACAAAATCGAATTCCTGATATCACGAAATCGAATTCTTGATATCAAGAATTACCATTGCTTTACAACATTAAATTCTTTCATGATAACAATAATTGATTTATTGATATCAATTAATAATAAAACGGCTTGCCATAAGATCGCGCCAGCTCGCCACAACTCGAGGTTCCAACTCGGCTAAGTGGGAGCCCTGCTTTAATCAATCGTGATTGTGGTGAACAATTAAAAAAAATATCGCTAATGGGTTACAAGTTATGTCAAAGTAAATTGTGTAAAAGTTCTTTTGTGGTTTGAATAGAGTTTGGTTATCAATATCTTCATCCCTCAGGCTGACAGACCTTCGTCACTCAACTCAACGTTATCTAGCGAAGAATCTGACATCCAAACACCAGCCGTCTTCGTGACCCAGTCAACCACCGGCGACGTCTCTGCGGCGCCCACTAGGGGCCATTCAAAGCCAATCATCATCCAGCCGCCAGCGCTGTCATCATCAACGAACAAGATTCACAGACTGTCTTCGTCATCCAACGGATCGCTAGATAGTAGACACTCGCTGAGCCTTGATCTCTCACTGGAGTCTATTACTCGATACCAGGCCAAACCAGACTCGATGTATACTTTCCTATGTGCGCAGGTAAGTTGTCTAATGGATAGTAGACATTCTTTTAACCAAACTCCTGGGCCCCGTTTCACAAAACTTGTCATCAGTGACAAATGACAGTTTTTGTTATAAGCTACTGAAATCCTTGCTTCTGATTAGTTATCAGCAGATTTGTCACTGATGTTTGTCATATGTCATTGAAAAAAGGCTTTGTGAAACACCCCCTGGGCACTTCCATAAAACTTGTTATCAATAACAAATTAGAAAGTCAGTTACAAGCTACTGATGCTGCTGCATTTGATTGCCCGAGAGCAAATTCATCATAGAAGTTTTTACCTTTTTTATTGATCGCAAACTTTATGAATCAGGGTCCAGATTGTATCCTCCAATAAATTCTTTAGCTGTCAATGAAGGCTATTAATCATTGCCGGGTCAAACCTCTAATCTACTCAAATTAAATTCAAAATTTAAAGGAATCCGGTAACTTTGTCTCAGATTCTGAAACGAAATCCTGGATTTAGCTCCCTATGACTTTTACAAGCCGATCGCCTGTCTGATTATCAAGATATTTATGATTTAAAATTGAAACCAAATTTTGCATTTTCGTAACAGTTTTCATAACACTGCAGTCTATTGGGGAAAACAAGTATGGTAAAACTGGTCACTCAAAGATTTTTACTTTTTTGAGGCACTTCTTGATCATTTTGAAGCGCGATTTTTTTTTTAGGGCTTTAATATTACACCATATCACAGACACTGATAACACGAAGGCCATGCATCTCAGATTTAACATTGTTAAACGATGCATTTAAGTCCAAAATTGGGTTTAACAAAGGAAATTTAATAGTCTGAGGTCTAAATTGTAGAGCCAAGGTCGGGTTTAAAGGAATTATGCATCTTTATGTCTGTATACAGTCCTATAAATGCCAGCTTGTCAACTAAGAGATATAGATAGTAATAGATGTATGTACAAACACAACTACAATACAGGATATCTTTCTTTGCTATATGGTACAGACATGTCTGTACTTTATGTTATGTACATGTAGTTGTATATGTATGTTGCACATGAATAAATCACAGGATTTTGATATTTGAATGAGAAGAATACCAACTTTCAGCAAGTTTTTCTTTGGTTCTCTTAGGAGTTCCGGCGAGACGAGTATCCCTACCACTTCCAGAACGTCCACAGTGACATCCACGGCGGGTTGAATGGTTGGATGGAACAGCGATGTCCTCTGGCCCCTTATGGGTGCACCTACTCACAACGCAGGCTCTACCCCGGATCGCAGGGAGCTCACATCATCCACAGTGAGAACCTTGAGAGCTTTGGCCTGTGCCTTGATGGCGGAGGAAAGAGTGGAAAGTCTGAGGTCTCTGGATGTCACGCCAACGGTCATTCTGCGAACCCTGAGAGCCAAAGTGAGAACCTGGAGACCATTGGACTGTGCCTTGATGGAGGACAGAGTGGAAAGTCTGAGGTCTCAGGATGTCGCGCCAACGGTCATTCTGCGAACCCTGAGAGCCACAGTGAGAGCCTAGAGAGCTTCGGATTGTGCCTTGATGGAGGACAGAGTGGAAAGTCTGAGGTCTCTGGATGTTGCGCTAACAGTCATTCTGCGAACCCTGAGAGCCTGAGCGTTGAAGGAAACACCAGGAACGGTGAAGATGAAGGAGAAAGCTGCAAGTATCCAAAGCTGGAGGCGGAGGCAATGTCAGAAACTTTAGGATGTAACGATTTGAACCCTGAACATGATGATATACTGAAGACAAATTGTAATGTTTGTACCCCTGACACTAGCAATAATGATACATTACCTAATGAGAACAGTACAGAATCCAAGTGCAATGCCTTAAAAGATGGGATCAATACTAGACCAAAGGATGTTTCTATGGAGATCGAGGACTCTGTTGATAGAGGATCAAGCGTGGAGTGTGCTTCCAATGTGGCTAGTCTGGACCAAAGCGAGGAAAGAGTTACAGGAGCATGCCAAGGGACTCTGGGTGCGCAACAGGAGAAGAGCAGTACTGAGGACTCTGTTGACAGAGGATCAAGTGTCGAGTGTGCTTCCAATGTAGCTAGTCTGGACCAAAGCGAGGAAAGAGTTACAGGAGCTTGCCAAGGGACACTAGGTGAGCAACAGGAGAAGAGCAGTACTGAAGAATCCATGCAGGAAACATCGGAGGTCAATATGAACTCTGAGGATCCAGAGGATGCCCAAGCTGTGTCGAAGGTCACAGGAGCTGATTATTTCAGCCAACTGCCGTTTGAACTGCTGCGTTACCTGATGAGGTTCTTGGATCCCTTCACGATCAACCACCTTGCGATGGCTTCGAAGCTTCTGAGACAGGTCTGCTGCAGTCTGTTGGAGGATCGTGGGATGGTGGTCCTGCAGTGGGAGAAACACAAAGGACACTGGGAGACAACCATGAAGGTAAGCTGATAATCTTTGTACAGTCATCCTGCTTTAGTGACCACCTGTCTACAACAACCACATGTTTTGTTTCCCTTGAAATTGGTTTCTCATTGAAACATGTACTAAAGGAACCTGTCTACAAAGACCACTTTTGTGTTTCCCTTGGGCGGTCGCTATAGACAGGTTTGGTCGTAGTACTATCATAGTGCCAAATTTTGGTCCAATGTGACTTTGTCCAATGCCTGTTTTAGCTTCACCACATTTTGTCTATAGCCAATTTGTCTGTTCTCCCTTAATACATCTAATAGTCCAGGCTCGGGTCCTTTCCTATGGGGCCTAGCCTGGACTATAATCACCATTTGCTATACTCTTACCTTTATCCACATGTCTGTGCATTGCTTGTTTATCTAAGCCATTATCGATTTGGTTGAATGAAGAAGAGAAAAGAAAAAACGCTAGCAATGGCCACAGATGGATTTTCTTCACACGTTTTCATAGTTCACTTTTAATAGAGTGAATAACTCTTTGGTAGCTGATACTCTAACTTAAAGAAAGAAAACAAAATGCATGTGTTAAAACCCGTCTGTACTAAGTTGAACAGGGGGGATTAGACCTCCCTGCAAGGTCACTGACTGGTGGCTATCTCATTAACTCAGCTCTCAACTAACATAAGAAAAAGAGGATCATGGGGGACCAAAAGGCACCAATTAGTGTATAGAATAATATGATAATTTTAATGTTTTGAAAAATTCACTCATTTGCATATTTATGGTAATTTATGCAAATAAAGTCATAAAACTCTCATTTTTACCCATAAATCATATATTATTCATAATTAGGCATTCTTTTTCACTACATATATTCATTAGACCATTCTGAATAATAATACAACCAAAAAATTTGGAAGAGCCAGCTTATTCCTTATGTTATCCCTTGTTTTGATAATTTCTTATGTATTTCATTGTTTTTTTAACTTATGTATTTCATTGTTTTTGTTGTTTTATTCCATTTCTAACTACAATTCAACTATTTTGACACCCAAAACAACCACCTAAACTTTAAACAAGACCCAATAACCTATTTTTGATCTGTTTTTAGGAAAAATTACTTTTCCATATGTTTTGTACACATATCATGAAAATGAGCGATTTTCGGGGTGACATGCAAAGACAAAAGGTCACGTGACCTTGTAACCGTAGGTCCGATTTTCAAAAAAATTCTTTTAAAAGTTGCGCAAGACTCGAAAGAAAAAAGTCAGTGAGTGGCGGGGCGCCATCCATATGGGTTCTCGAGCAATCAGAAAAATCGTGGAGGGGGGAGGGCCATAATGCCCCCCCCCCCGGCCTTATTAGGGTTAAGTAGATCATAATGAAATTTTGACTTCGCATTGTTTCCATCCTGTCCAGGTGTGGCATTTCAGCACGGCCTTCACTCCGGTCAAGACCTGGGGCTTTCAAGACAATCCTCCCATCGCTGAGCATCTCAAACGGTGTCCTTACAACGTCCGCAACACGGCCACTCAACCGGTCAAGGTCATGGGTCACGACGTGGCGAAGGTCAAACTGGAATCGGCCAACGATCCTCAGAAAGCGAAAGAACCCGAGCCGTTTCGACCTAGGCGTAGGAGATTGCTCGATAATGATGATTAGTTTAGTAGATCTTTGCTTTTTTAAATTTTAAATTGGAAACACTCAACTGGTCAAGGTCAGAGGTCAAACTGGAATCGGCCAATGATCTCAGAAAGCGAGAGAACCCGACCAGTGGCGACCTAGGCTCAGGAGATTGCTCGATAATGATGAAGATTAGTAGATCTTGGCTCTTCTAAATTTCAAATTGGCAACACTCATCTCTGATTATATCATGATAATTGGTAATATTCATTCATAATTGTGCTCTTCACGTTTAAATTGGCAACTCTCATTCCCAACTAGATCATAATGATTGGTAACGCTGAAAACTTTGCTTTTATTCAAATTGGCATCTCTCATCTCTGATTATATCATGATAATTGGTAATATTCATAATTGTGCTCTTTGTGTTCAAATTGGCAACTCTCGTCCCCAACTAGAACATAATGATTGGTAATGCTGACAACTTTGCTTTTATTCAAATTGGCATCTCTCATCTCTGATTGTATCATGATAATTGGTAATATTCATAATTGTGCTCTTTGTGTTCAAATTGGCAACTCTCGTCCCCAACTAGAACATGATGATTGGTAATGCTGACAACTTTGCTCTTGTCCAAATTGGCATCTCTCATCTCAAATTCCATCATGATATTTCATAACACTCCCCATTTTGCTCTTCATTAAATTGGCAATACTCTTAGTGATTGGTAATTCATATACATGTAACTTGATATACACCTGTAGGTGCAGGACACTACTGGATCATGATGATGATGATTTGCTCTTTGTGCTTAAATTGGCAACACTCAACTATTTCATGATAATAGGTATATTTTTTTAAAGTTTACTCTTCTTATTCAAGCTGGCAACTCTCATCTGCAATTAGACCATGAAAATTGGTAAAACTCATAATTTTTCTCTCAATGCTCAAGTTGGCAACAGTAGTCTCCATTCTGATCAATCTTGGTATTGCTCAAAATGTTGCTCTTCTTGTTCGATTGGCAACACGCCTGTTAAATTTGATCATGATGATTGACACTAGTCATTGATTTCATGATTCATCAAGGAAAAGTGTTCATACATTCGTTTATGTTGAGTATGTGTCCAAAGGAAGAAACAGGCATGTGTGAAAGCAACCATACATACAGTCAAAGCTGCTTTAATAAGTGACCACCTGTCTACAAAGACCACATTTTTGTCTCCCTTGAAAATGGTTTCTCATTGAAACATGTACTAAAGGCAACTCTCTTCCATTTTATTTCTGCAATATGGATTGTGGTGCATTATAAGGGCAGGTCAAGTGCATTTTCTCCCATATGCTGCTTGCTACATCAAAGATTTTTAGTGTATCCATTGATAAGGATTTCAAAATTTATTCTCAGTCGTGTAGTGTTTCTTGTAGAGCATCTCCAGTGCTGTTTAAAGGGGGATAGTTTCAGTTGTTGTTTTTTTGTTTTGTTTTTAATTGAAAGATTTCTGCCCTAAAATAGTTCATTTGTACTTTAGAAGTAACTTTCAAGCAACCCATGTTGACTTCCAACAACCAAAAGAAAAAATGAAAATATACAGAATCAATTAGAATTTTTAGTTATTGGCTAACTGTCTAGTTTTAAAATGGACTTCCATCTGCCAAAAATTGTTTTGTAACTTTAAGCTGATCAATAGCTGATCAATATCTTAGTTAAAAGCAATGATAAACTCTAATGTTGACTTCCAACATTGACAAAATTGAAAAAATTGTTGTTTTAATTGTTACCTCATATTCTGTTAGTAGCAAGACAAGGCTATAGTCTTGATAGTATGGTAGAAACAATGCAGAAAACACAATTTTTGTTACGTATGATTTGTTTTTCATATTTTTCAACTCTATCTACATGTATCTCTGTCTCTTTCCCAGTATTTCTCTGTATTTTTGTCTTTTGATTAGTTACTGTCTTGGTAGCATGTGCATTAACTTTAGATGTGTTACATAATTCTTGCCACAGATTTGGGTGAATTCTTATAGCGTGATTATAAGTGTCTTCTAGATTATTATCTTAAATTTATACGTTTTCAGTGCTTCCTTTGTTTTCTCTATTTATTCGATAGATTTTATGGAGTGTTATTACTGTTAGAATAGGTTTTTGTTCATGATAGATGTATTTTCTTGTGTTTTTTTTGTATGGAATTCCATGGCTTTTTCCATGACATACGTTATGATCGAGAAACTGAAGGATTTTGGGTTTGTTTGCTTGCTCTGTTCACATGTGAAGGGCAAGGTGGGTCAAGAAAAGGGCAGCTGAATGCAACTATGAAAGATCCTGTGCATTCTAACTTTTTTGTTTTTGAGTTTTTCTTCATTAGAAAACCTGTGGTTGATCACATAAAATGAGAATGAGCTGTAAACGGTTGCAAATCTAATCAAATCAAAGAAATTCATTTTTATTCTCAATTGACAAAAATGCATGCAACTAAAGTCCTATGCATTCTAACATTTTTGTGTTTGAATTTTTCTTCATTAGAAATCCTTTGGTTATCACATGGGATTGAGCCGTAAACGGTTGCTAATCAAATCAAAGAAATTCATTTTTATTCGCGATTGTCAAAGTCATGCCCATTGGACCATACAAAAATAATAATAATCCGCTTTTATATAGCGCTTAGTACCGTACATCTATAATGTCTCTAAGCGCTTTACAGATATATTATTACCCCAGTCATTAGATCAATGCTTGCCTGCACACACTGTGTGCACAATCTCCACTTCCTGGGGAGTATTCCAGCCAGGCATTACTTGACGCTCAAAAACTGTTAGACCAACAATGCATTGACATGAGCTAGCCCAGCTAATATACTGGGGATCACTGGATGCACTTGCAAATGGGGAGTTTTTTTCCACAGCCTGCATTATATTTCAGCTCGAGGAGCAATGGATTTGTGGTACAAGGACCGGTCGATATGCTTCTTACAGGTCAAGTGTGCCAAACTTGTCAAAAATCCCCTGACCTTATTTTAGTCGGAGTCCGCCCTGGTCAGGAATACTTCCTTCAATGTCAATGATCAATAAGGCATTCATATTGCATGCACATTATCATTGGATTGTTCAATTTTGCTGCTGTGTAGTGAATGTTCTTGGGTTGTTTCTTGAAATTTCATCTCAAACTTTTCCTTCCATCTCATTACTTTTAATACTGCATTGCTGATTATGTTGCCATTATATGTCAGAAAAGGGTATTTTATTTCCCGTCATAAATTTTGTTGAAATACATGTGTACATTTAACAACTTAATTATTCATACCTCTTTCAAGTTTTATAAAAGAAAATTAAGTTTCTTAAGAATGTGACATATTTAAAGTTACATCTTAAAGTCTAAAAGCCCTTATCCAACCAGTCCACCATTCATTCTTGAGTTACGAAAAACATAAGAAACATCAAATTTACAAGGGGTAGCAATGATTTAGTTGTTGACTGTATAACATTTTGATTTTTTTGTGTGGAATAAATGTATGCATTGAACAGGAGGCAGGAATCATTGAAATTATAGAAATACGCTCAGCAATTACACTTTTACCAAATAAATCAGAGAGATCATGATGAAATAAGGGTAACAAAATTGGTAGAATATCCTTTGGTTGAATCGAATGAATCATTTTATAGAAAATTAGCAAATTAGAGTGTAACAATATGGTAAATTAGTAGTGCAATAGACAGTAGAATGTTGTCTTTTATGAAGAAATAATTTCAGAACACGAAGTTAGATAATAATATATATTTTCTGATTGCCATATTCAGAAAATATGAATCTTATATATAGTCTAAGTAAAAACTTAATTAATGTTGTAACAACTCAGAAACTAACTTAGCATGAAAAAATAGCTGTACACTGAATAATCATTTTATTCAAATAAATCATATTACAGTGTAAAATAGATACTATTAACAATATTATGAACATGAATGCAAAATGGTAATGTTCTAATCGCAGTAACATTACACTAATAAGCTTTTTATGCAATCTCTTCCACAGATCTGCAATTCTATGATTTGCAATTGTTTTCCTTTTTATGCCTCCGCCACCGAAGGTGGTGCCGGAGGCATCATGTTTTCGGGTTGTCCGTCCGTACGTCCGTCCGTCCGTACGTCCGTCCGTACGTCCGTACGTCCGTCCGTCCCGTTTGACCGTTATCACAATATCTCAAGAACCATTTAAGATTTAAACTTAAGACTCGGGAATAGTATTTATCACCATAGGAAGACGATCTGATTAGATTTTGGAGTACGTAGGTCAAAGGTCACAGGTCACAGAGGTCAACTTATGAAATTCCTTGTATTGAGTTTGTTAGCGCGATATCTCAAGAACCATTTGAGATTTAAACTTCAAACTTAAGGATAGTATGTATCACCATAGGAAGACGATCTGATTAGATTTTGGAGCACGTATGTCAAAGGTCAAGGGTCACAGAGGTCAACTTATGAAATTCCATACATTGAGATTGTTATCATGATATCTCAAGAACCACTGGAGATTTAAACTTCAAACTTAGTGATAGTGTGTATTACTATAGGAAAACAATCTGATTACATTTTGGAGCACGTAGGTCAAAGGTCAAGGGTCATAGAGGTCAACTTATGAAATTCCATACATTGAGATTGTTATCATGATATCTCAAGAACCACTGGAGATGTAAAAACTTCAAACTTAAGGATAGTATGTATCACCATAGGAAGACAATCTGATTAGATTTTGGAGCACGTAGGTCAAAGGTCAAGGGTCACAGAGGTCAACTTATGAAATTCCATACATTGAGATTGTTATCATAATATCTCAAGAACCACTGGAGATTTAAACTTCAAACTTAATGATAGTGTGTATCACCATAGGAAGACAATCTGATTAGATTTTGGAGCACGTAGGTCAAAGGTCAAGGGTCACAGAGGTCAACTTATGAAATTCCATACATTGAGATCGTTATCGCGATATCTCAAGAACCACTGGAGAATTTTCACTTCAAACTTAATGATAGTATGTATCACCATATCATAATATCTCAAGAACCACTGGAGATTTAAACTTCAAACTTAATGATAGTGTGTATCACCATAGGAAGACAATCTGATTAGATTTTGGAGCACGTAGGTCAAAGGTCAAGGGTCACAGAGGTGAACTTATGAAATTCCATACATTGAGATTGTTATCATGATATCTCAAGAACCACTGGAGATTTAAACTCCAAACTTGTTTAAATTGCTCTATGGCGGAGGCATCATTTTCGACTGCGCGCAGTCAAAATTCCATCTAGTTTTAATGTGATATTGTCTTTTACAGTAATACTAAATGTCAAAATATGACACTGTAGATTGATAATAATTTCCAAAGTTACAATTTGTTATAAACTGCACTGTGCGCAATATTAATTTCAAGAATACAGAATTCCGTTTGTAGTAAATTTTCCTAAATTTCTTACATTTACTGTATTCATAAATTGTTGAATTGTTGGTAAAATGCACAGCAATATTGTTATGTTCAAAATGCATTGTACATACATGATTATGCATATCACAAGCATAATTTTGCTCATGTTATTTTAAGAAAGGCCATAGTACTTGCGTCACATAAATTCTACAATCTTAAACTTTAGATAACACAAATGTTACCTTATGTACCAATTACAACTGGGCCCGTTTCACAAACCCTTTTTTCAATGACAAATGACAAAAATCAGTGACAATTCTGCTGATAACCAATCAGAAGCAAGGATTTCAGTAGCTTATAACAAAAACTGTCATTTGTCACTGATGACAAGTTTTGTGAAATGGGGGCCCTGTTCAATGATAATCAATCAGGAGGGTCATTTGAAAAGAAAGTAGTTACTTTTATAGCTTACCCCTGAATAAAAATAACGTGGCATAAGACCGGGGCATAAGATGACTATTTGTGTGGCATCAAAAGCTGATACATCGTCCCTTGTTACTGGCCTGACAGTGGTTACCTCATCGTATACTTAAACACAGAATCACACCGTTCCAGCTCAGAACAATTATGGTGCCGCTTTATAGTTTCACTGAACAATGAAAATCATGGCTGTCAGTATTTTGTATTCATTTTTAAGGTAGTTGAAATTTGTGTATTGATTTGTAAGACCTCGTTCAGATGTGGCGCGGGAAAACCGGGGCGCGGTAAACCGCTGCGCAAAAAAATTCAACCGCTGCGCAAAAAAAAATCAACCGCTGCGCAAAAATACAGCCAGGGCTTTTTGTTGACATGTAAAATGAATGGCAACTGCGGAGAACAATGGACTTGCGCGTATTCACCTAGCTCGGTGTTATAAAATACAGAAACGAGAGGCGTATTGTACTTCACCTCATCATAACAAAAAAAAAAACGCTGCTGTTTTTGCCACTTCATATCTGAACGAGGCTTAATTGATTAGAACCAAATAAGATGTAGTACAGTCAAACCTGCTTTAGTGACCACCTTTCTACATGGACCACATTTTTTGTTTCCCTTGAAAATGGTTTCCCATTGAAACATGAACTGTAGGAGCCTGTATAAAGACCACTCTTTGTGTTTCCCTTGGGCGGTCGCTATAGACAGGTTTGACTGTATTTGTATGTGTTAGCTCAGAAAGCCATATTGATGCTATTGACTGATAGACTCTGATGCTATTGACTGATAGACTTTTCGTGGCATGTGCGTATTATGTGACTTATTTATTTCAGAGGTGATTAAATTCTGAAGAAAAAAAACACAAGTTGACTGGATGCGTTGTATTTTTGATGTATCTGGGATTGAACGATGATGCTTTTAGTGAAAAGCCATGTAACACATGAATGCATGATAGATAACCAACATAGAATAAGAATTTGAGCAGAGGGAGAAGGGGAAGAGTGAGAAAGTTAAAGAAATGAGGGAGGGAGAAAGGGCATAAAAAGTGGTGATAACAAAAGAGATGATGGAAAGGGGGGATGAGTAACGGAAAGAAAGAGGGGAATAGAATAGAAGAGTGAGATATGAAAAAATTAAAAAAGTGAAAAGGGAGAGAGAGCAGAAAGAAAAGACGAAAGAGAGAGAGAGAGAGCAGAAAGAATAGACGAAAGAGAGAGAGAGAGAGAGAGAGAGCAGAAAGAATAGACGAAAGAAAGTACGAGAGAGAAAGAAAAAGAAGGGGATTACTTACAAACATATAGAATTGGTAGAAAGAGACAGGGGAGGGGAAATAAACCTTTTTCTTTTGTCATTTCCTTGTCATTTCTGTGTATTCATGTTGTACTAATCACATCGATGATATATAGCGGGCCTTATTTACAAAGTTACAGTATATTAGGGTCTGTACATGTATAGCTGAATTGCTACTAATTAGACTTTTATAGTTTCACAATGATTTATAAATCTTTTTCTTTTCTCATGTGGAGGCTTATCTCTTCTTCAAACTACCTGAAAGTCACAGTTAATATAAAGATTTACTTGCAGAAAGTATACCTCTATCAATTAACAGCATCTAATAAAGTACATGTACCTAAAACGTGGTCGCTAGAAACTGTTGAGGTAACTGCGCATGTGTAAACAATGCATTCTCGTGCCGCCACGTGGCGTGTTCTAAATGGTTAGAACTGGCAACTCCATCCTGCACTCGTGACCAATCAGGAAAAGCGTTAAATGAAGGAGCATCGATAGATCCTTGCATGTATCGAGGATTCTCATTGGACGATGTTCCCCACGGATATGTTCGGGTGTGATTATTGGTCAAACCTGCTGCATTTCTCCATCGAAATGACTCCTCAATTTCTTCCAATGTTTCGTCTGCCACACAAAATACAAAGAAACAGATTTGAATCACATTATATCTTATCACGACGATTATCATTTCCCTGTAGATAGGCCTACTTCTTTCTTAGTAAATTATCCTGGTATCGAAATTGTGTCATGAATGTGTTCAGGTGCGCTACAAGATATAAGCATCAACAATTATGTAATTTTTAATACAATATTATTTTTTTTTATTAAAATTTAAAAAATCTAAAATTTAAGAAATTACAATTTTTATTAAAAAAGAACTAAAAATTAAAACAAATATCAGATAAAGATTTGAGAAAAAAATAATAACAAATAGGCTAATTTAAAACAAAAAATTCAACTTCCAAATAGTACTCCGAAATGGTACTTTTTCAGAGCAACCTATTATATTTCTGGTCACGTGACGACCTCTCCACCAATCAAAAACCAATACATTTTTGATGCAGGATATAATAGAAAATAACATTGAAACAATAGTCAGTATACCTTAAGTTTAAAAAAATATATGTGATGTCATGAGTAAGTATTGCTATCGATTACCTTGGCAACTGTCTCTACGCAGAATAGAGAGTGTTGCATTCATCCTAGCATCCGACATGATAAGGTCGACCCTGTAGAGTATATACTGCTCTAACATCAGCTGAAGAATATGAAACGAACCTGGAACCGAAGCAAGTGAAATCTAGTTTTAGTCGTGTATGATATTTAAAATTTTAAAAAATATATTCAATTCATGAAGAAAAAAAATTCATTCAAAGTCACAAGAATATATGGAAAATTGTTTTGGCCACACATTGTAAAAATACGTAATATATATTTGAGAAACTATATCATTGTGTATAATCATAAAAGAACGATCAATGAAGAAAAAAAATGTTCCGCTTTTCATAAAACGCTTAATATAATTATCAACGATGTCTCTAATCGCTTTACAGATATATGATTACCCTGCTCATCAGATTCAGGCTTGCCTGCACACAATTTATGCACATTCTCCACTTCCTGTGGGGCATTCCATCCAGGCGTCATTTTACAACACATTACGCACAATGCTGAGCAAACTACATTATACTACCGGGTACCCATATAACACTTGGGAGGAAAGTGGCAAATGTAGATTAACGTCTTGCCAAAGAACGTTAGTGTCGGGCTGGGATTTGAACCCGTACCTTGTGATCTGCAGTCGGGTGACTTATCTAGTAGACCACAGAACCTCTACAATTTTGGTATCATTCCATAATAATAACAATAATAATAATAATATTTAATTTGTATATAGCGCTTAATACAAATGTCTCTAAGCGCTTTACATACATGTTACACAAAATCGCAACTAAGTTTCTCGCTTCATACAAGATCACAAATGAATTTCACATAAACATAATAACTTACATTAACTAACAACTAACTAACACTCACCACCATAACTACATGGTACATAATACAATACTTAAACATAAACTGTTATACAAAAATCAAGCCAATCTCACAATTAACATTTTGTTTTTGTTAGATCTAGCCAGAAAATTTAATACAAAAATGAAGTGAGGCAAAAAAGGAAGACAGGAGATAAGCAAATTGGAAGAAGGTGATGTGAAAATGAAAAAAACTATAAACACGATCGGAAAGATTTTTGAAGTATCATCAATGACATGCGATTTCAATACCCCTTTGTAGACCATATCCTTTAAAAAAAAAAACATGCTGAGATCTCGCAATACCCCATTGTTATGTTTGCACATTTCAGTAGCAGATGGTTAATGCTATTGAAATCGCCTTTATTTGATTTTTCAAAATGATTTGCTATCGTGCAGCATATAAAACTTTTAAATCATAACAATGGGTATCCAGGTTTATGTGCTCTAACGTGTGCGTGTGCGTGTGCGTGTGCGTATGGGGGCCGTTACATCCGTAGGGAGGGAAGTAACATTGGTTTCCAAAGGTTGGGATGGGGTCCAATTCGTGAAAAAAAAGGCTCATGCGTCGTAAATCTGTGATCGTATATATTGCACATTTTAATTACATGAGAATTGTCTTATCATGATTGTGATGATGAATATGATTAGGATTATGATGGATTATGATTGTGATTACAATTACTGTACAGACTTTGGTTATGCATTTGGTGGAGGTGGCGGTGAGGCATGGAATGAAGCTGGTAATTGTGATTATACAGCAAAATGTAGACAAGGTTAGAAACTGATAATGGAATAACATTCATGGGTATCCTAATTTTTTTTTTAAGGAATCATGGTCTGAAGCAAGAAACCCACCAAAACTTGGAGCGCTGCCAATAGTGAGGTCCCGGATAACCTTTGAGGTGAACGTTGACCAGGTTAACAAGAACTTCCGGGTCAATTTGCAAACTCTGTTGGATTGATTATTGCTGGGCTGGAGATGAAAGAAGGACAAAATTAGTTGATTTAAAATAAATGTGAGAGGGACAGTGAGAGAGAGAGAGAGAGAGATTGATAGACGTGATCAATTGTGCAGACGATTTTAATTTTATTACTTAAAGTTATCTTAAGCTATGGTAACAAATCAAAGCAGCGACCGACCGATCAGTAGCCTGCTCGGTCGATGCTGGAATTTAGGCATCGCCCAGCGATTAGGTCGGTGCCCGAGCGGCGACCGCCCAGGCACCGAGCGTATTTTGGGCGTCGAGTGAAAATTGAGCAGGCGCCGCCCAAATTTTGACTCCGCGCTAAAACTTCAGCGGCGACCAAGCGATGCCCTAAAAACGAGCGGTGCCTCGGCGGCTGCCGCTCGGTGGCCGGGCAGCCGCCGGGCAGAATTGGTTAAAAACTCGCCGCTCGGCCGCCGAGCAGGCTACTTTTGGGTAATGTGACCATAGCATAATACTATAGGTCTTACAGTCAAGACAAATAGTTCTGAAGAAGAGGGAGCCGTACTATGTAGAATAGTAATGAATAAGATCCAGATATGAATAAAATCGAGCATAATTGTAAAAACTAAATATTCATCTTCCTTTAAAATATGTAAGAACAAAGTGAAATCAAGTTTATTTACAAATCTGGTGTTAAACTTATGGTCTTTTCTCGTATTAGTGTTTCAAGATTTAAGAGATTGTTTAAAAAAAGTTGTAATTTGTGAATGGCTCAGCCGAACATACACTACGTGCATGTTCTGTAATATTAACATGACTTATTCACATAACTGCGACTTAATTAATATGTTCCTATTGACATTACTGTTTACTAGGTTAATGATATATGTTTATTTTGCAAACGAGTATTATTTTTGTAACTGTTCTGTATAAATGTTATAAACGATGTAAATATGTTCATTCAGGGCCCCATGGAAGACCACTACTTGTTGGTGAATGGGCTACCCTGTCAAAAGATTAGAAATAAATAAATAAATAATGTGTAATCAATCACGAACATTTTTTGTAACCTGTATTTTCACGCTTGTATTATGATTCGATAATAATAATTATTTCATAACAAAATAGCATCAATGATTAGAAAGGGAGCATACATGGATGAAGATGAAAGTAAAGCATATTCATCTTACAAACGTCATTTAAACATTATAGATAGGCCTACTATTCTGGGCGATTCCGAGACAAGGAAATTAGATATAACCTGATGACTGACATGATAAAGGGCTTCGTTATGTATTTGAATTACAATAATTAGTGGAGGATAATTATGGGTCATCATGTGCACTGTATACGTAATTGACAGTATAGTATTGTGCAGTATTCTATTCAACTCATTGGTTTCATCAATTGCGGTCCCACATGAAGGCAACTGTTGGATCAGGTGTTATGGAGACATATTACGCTTTGTAATGAATGTGATCTCTCTTCGGCAGCTGCGTCTATACGTAATACCGCCAGCGGTAGCTAATTAATCTCATATTATGAAAGTATTTCGAGGCCAAAGGCTAAACCTTTGTATCTAAGCTAATATTTCAATGGGTAGTTAAAAGAAATTGAGAAATGGTACTTCATGATTATAAAGTGCAACTGATATTGTTTGAACAACTGAGTTTAATAAACCCGTGAGGGCAGTAGACCTCTAGAGCGAACAATGTAAAAAGATCTAACACATCAGAACTGCATGGGATCTGATCATGATACTATAATAATTATAACTGCCTTTGTAAATTATCGAAATTATGAAGTAGGTTATGGTCCATCGTAAGATGGCGGTCTCCTGTATATTTCTATTTTAAAATGATTTGTCGACTATATGTTTGTTTTTTGTTGTTGAAGGGTATAAATATTGAGTCCATATATATTATGATATGATGTATGTTGACCTTTGGTAATAATTAAAAACAAACAGTGTTTACACAAATAAAAAAATAAGCCAGAGGGACAGCAAAGTGTAAAATATGGTTATGTTTTATGTCAGTATTTAGACAAATAATACATTTTCAGATATTTTTTTAATAATCTTTGTTATTGTAAAGGGTAATATATTTTGGTAATGAATTCCAAATCACCGGGAGATTACACCGAGGATGTGTAACATAAACATAATTTTCCAACGATGAAAATTGATTCGATTTCTTTTGTTATAATTATGAATACTAAGATTCGTAGGGAACATGTTCGAAATCGTGTATGGAAGAAGATTATGAAAATAAAGGAACCCTACCTAGCACTGCTGTATGATTTTGGAATAAATCAAAAATATTCAAGGTTTTGAGCTTGATACAAAGAAGAGCGGAATGAGCAAGATAGAATTGTTTTCTAAACAGTCTATGAAAATGCATTTTTGTTTTCCTTTTGTTATTGCAATTTATGTTTGAAGTCAAATATCAATGTACAGTGCATCCAGTTTTGTTATAAAGAATATGTACAAATTTGTTATGAAGGATACTGATTTGTACAATATCTATTTGATTTGAGAGAAAATAAATATAACAGATATCTATTAAAAACAAATATGGGTGTCCCTCTTAGATGAGCGTGCATGGATAATGTGTGGACTTGTATGCTGAATGTGTGAGCGTATGCGGTGTGCGTGTGTACGTATGTAGAAAACAAAAGAAAAGGATGTGCGTGCGTGCGGGATATGTGGGTGAGCGTGTACGTACGTATGTGCGTGTGCGGTATGTTTGTTGTGCCTATTGGGGTGGGAGTGTGATGTGTGCGTATGTATGGTGGATTAATTGTGCTAGGCACATTATCATTTGCGATAATATTTCGATTTTGAAAGTAAATCGTAATGCTTGAAACTTACCTCAACAATGAAGGTTTTTGTAAGTTTATCCAACCAATCAGTGAAGCGACCCAGAGTGACGTCATCATCCAAAATCTTCTCAAACTCTTCACACGCTGTAAGGGTATCAATCGAAGAAAAGAAAATAGTTTGGGAAAATTTAGTTGTTAAAGCCTGTCTGCACTATTTTGGCCAGGAGGGATTAGACCTCCCTGCATGGTCATTGACAGGTGGTTATCTCATCAAATCAGCTCTCAATTAACATATGGATCATGGAGGACCAACGGGTACCGGTTAGGCACTGTTTGCTATATAGAGGACGCCAGTGGCGTACGCAGGATTTTTTCAAGGGAGGCCCCAAAATTTGCTCCCGAAAATTTGAAAATCGCGCCGGCCGAAAAATCGCAACGACTCAGCCAGCCGCCCCCCTGTGTACGCGCCTGGAGGACGCAAGTAGCTACAACTAGTGCACCCCCGCTTTAATCCACTGATTTTTTTTAAAAAGATGGAAACAGTCTGCCAGTGTAAATGTCATTCTTACAGACTTGCGAAACGATCCAAGATAAAATACTGAATACGTGATGCAACATCATTGATTTCCACTCACACAGGTGGATGGGAGATGTGGATGTTAGATTACTGACAATAATTTTTCAATAATCTGTTGATTTTATCAATTATATTATCGATTATTTTACGTACCATTCAGTAATGTGTTGAACCATCTCGTTGTGCCTTTTGCACACGTCACCGAAACAGTCTGCCGGCATATGCTGTCTAGATCCAACAACGACCAATCATCGCTCATCTGAAGTATGACGTCACTTGACTGCGTCACCGTCCTCGCTGCCTGCAAAGTGTATCATTATATAAGCCACGCCCCCACTGATTACCAATTGCAAGTGATGTATGTTTTTTTTTTCTTCCCGAAGGTTTGTAATCCCCCTCCCCCTTGAGACCGACGGGTATTCAATGTAGTTCCATGACAACGTGCATAAAATCTTTGATTTCTTTATTCATTTTATTTCCCATTCTTTGTTTAGCGTATTGTTCAATTGATGAGAAAATCAGGGTCCTTACAAATGCAAGAGTTATTTGAGAAATCTGCTCTCAGCCAATCAACTGCCACGATTTCCCTAGCTTATAACATTTACTATAGCTTGTTATTGATATAAAAACACTCTTAAAGGGATCTGGTAACTTTGTCTCAGATTCTGAAACAAAATTCTGGATTTAGCTCATGATGCAATGATAATTATAGACCTTTTGGTCAGTCAGGAACCCCATGACTTTTACAAGCCGATCGCCTGTCTGATTACCAAGATATTTATGATTGGAATTACAAATTTTGAAAACCGTTCGCCTGACGGTTTTCATAACACTACAGTCTATTGGGAAAAACGAGTATGGTAAATCCGGTCACTCAAAGATTTTTTTACTTTTTTGAGGCACTTCTTGATCATTTTGAAGCGCAATTTTTTTAGGGCTTCAATATTACACCATATCACAGACACTGATAACACGTAGGGCCGTGTATCTCATATTTAACATTGTTAAACGACCCCTTTAAGAAACGAGGCCTAGATGTTTTCGACATACCTGTGCAAGATGGTTCAAGGTCATTTGTTTCTCTAGGAGCAAAGCGAAGTGAACAGCTTCTGTAAAGATACGGAATAAAAAATATGTTATCAAGTTATCGATTCACATTTATAGTATGTCTAGTCTGTAGTATCTCTTTGTTAAACTGCCCTATTTAGTCTGTGTTTCTGGCTCGTTTTGGGCAATTAACCTTTCATTAGCCACCGGTACGTGCTGCATACGTCGTTTGGCACACGTGCATGACAAGATTGCGTTCAGCTATGAAACACAATGGCCTGAATTCACAAAGGAGGTTTGTCGACAAACCTAGGTTTTCGTGCGTCATTATGACGTACATAAACCTAGGTTTGTTGACAAACCTCCTATGTGAATTCGGGCCAATAGCTTTGTAAAATGGCATGTTTCCGGTTTTGATCACCCCTTTTAATACCTGTAAATTGAATTCCTCAGTCACAACAACGAGATCGACATACAACACAACTGACTATCAATACACCCCTTCACGGTTAAAGGGCCCATGCCATCCAAATACAAGTTTAATCTTATTGGTGTGTACGTTGGTATGTAAACTTTTGAATGTGTTTCATAGATTTTTAAATATTTTTTTTAATATTTTTGTTTACAAACTTGCTAAGCTCCACCCTACAAATCCTCCAGATTTCATTCCCCTCGTGACATCATGTGTCAATTATCAATGAGCTAACTTGAGAAAGTGGTATGTAACTTTGCCAAAGTTGACCACCTGTTATAATACACAATACAATAGCAACATAAAAGTTGATATGTCTGACATGCTGTAGCACACAAAGGCAAAGGCAATGATAATATATTGTACATGTATGAAAGCATGCAATTCTATTATGAGCTTGTGTTGAGCTGGGGGAAATCACATGCCATTGTCTTTTGTAGAATATTAATTTAGCCGACTGATTAGTCTGACATGTCTGTCATAACAACGTATATGTTGTTATTGTTTGTTGTATTGTAACAGGTGGTCAACTTTGGCAAAGTTACATACCACTTGGCACTTTCCCAAGTTAGCTCATAGATGACTGGTAGATGATGTCACAAGGGGAATGAGATCTGGAGGTTTTGGGGTGGAGCTTAGCAAGTTTGAAGAAAAAAATATTTAAAACAATATTTAAAAATCTATGAAACATATTTAGAAGTTTACATGTATGAAGGACTACACATCAGCAGGAATAAACTTGTATTTGGATGGCATGGGCCCTTTAAGGCAGCCATTTTACATTATTATTTGCGAGTAAACATTGCGCGCGTCATCAATGTTTTCAGACGCGCATGTATTGTTCCGCCCAAAGGTTGCGCCACTGCCTGCGCTGCGCGCTTACATCTTGTCGACACATGCGCTTTGCATGCTGCATAAAATAAAAGTTACTCTCAATATTCACTCGCAATACACCAGTTTACAGTTGTATCAGTGCGCATGCGCAGACATTTGACCTCGGGTCATTGGCCCCGGAACCGTGGGCCAATAAACTCTGACCTCTGGTATTTATGCGTAAATTAAGATTGCGCCCATGCAAATGATGATGTGCGCGCACAACGCAGCGCGTAGGGCAGTGATATCATCAAAATTTGCATGGGCGCAATCCTAATTTACGCATAAATACATGACCTCTAGGTCATTGGCTTTGTTTAAAATGGCGCACACAACTGTAAACTGGTGTATTTAAAATGGCACCCATGTCGGCGCATGCGCACTCTTGTTAACGTGAAAGGGTGTATTAGATTACCCCCTAATGCCTATCGCTTAGGCATTGTTGACTGTACAGAGGGCGCAAGTAGCTATAAGTAGTGCAGTGGGGCTTTAATTCAATCTTCATGATTTCATATAATTTCCTTTCATTCAGTTGTATGTATTTTGAAATTAGTTTGCTTCATTCTATTCTTAATTATTTTTTTGCATTAAAGATGTCTTGATTTCTTATTTCGTTAATTAATTGTCTCTGTTTAAATGTGCACAATATTTTTGTATGAAGGCATTTTTTAACCATTATGGATAGAACTGCACTATATGAAAACATCATTTCATTATTATTCTATTTCCTGAATATCATTTTCCCTTTAAAGTAGACACACGAAGAAACAAAAGTGTTTTGAATTGATGCAAAACTCATATCATTGCGAGGTGGAAGCCTTACTGATCAAATACCAGAACTCTCCTCTTCAAAATATGTTTGGGGCCCGCAGTAATCAACTCTCAAAAATGTTAGTTTTAAAATCCAGATTTTCTGCCTTCAGCGGTCCTTTGTAGAGCGTCAATATTTGTGACGTCACACACGGGACACGGCTGGCTAGCTGCATACTGCTACACGGCGCTGAGCTGTTTGTCCAGTGTGTGACGTCACTTTTCAGAGCTCGCTACGCTTGTGTGTTTGACTTGCGTTCAGGGGCGTTCGGGGGTCTCAGGAGGGTCTTAAAAAATGGCATTTTACGCCTTTCCATGATATCTATATTTCTCAGCAAATTGTTCGTGTTTTTTAAGAGAAAATCTTTCCATCCATAATTATGTAATTTGTTCTAATTATGAGTTGTTACTGAATTTTCTTTGTGTAGCTCCTTTAAAAAAAGAATTGTAATAATTAAATTTCCTAATTAAAATATAATAGGGCAAAAAGACAACCTCGTGGAGGTAGTAAAACGAATATTGGTAACTTCAAAATATAGATTTTCGTCGCTGGGGAGGGGGTCACCCCCTTGCCCCTGGCTCGTTCGCCTACGCCAGCGAGGCTCCCCGGGGATTTTAGCATGTAAATTGTGATCACATTCAATTTGTTATCCACCTCACACTGTTTGACGTGTTCGTGGCGTGTAGCTGCTAATTTATTGCACGTATATGGAAACATATATGTATACGTATCTTGTGGTTAACAAGACATTGGACATAGAGCTAACAGCATGAATCCTATGATAATATTCGTTACGCTTATTTCTGTTCTTTCCACGCCTTCTCTAGCCGAGCCTGGTAAGTATTACATAATCATAATAGACATGTCACTAGTTATATGCATATTTCTTCCATAAAGGTTATCCTTGACAACTACAAAGTTTACCACAGGCTTGCCAGACAGAGCAAAAGTTCATGTATGCAATTAAAAGTGGATTCTATCTATAACAAGGGAAACGCTCTCGGCGGTCTCCGATCGCCTGCATTACGCAATTCGATATGATGAAAAATTGCATTACGCAATTCGATATGATGAAAAATTGAGGTTGAAACATTATTTATAGGCAGGGTGGCCTATTCGCAGGCCCCTGAAAGTGAAATCCTCCGAATATAATCATCATTTTGAAGTGAATATTGACTAAGAATCATGAACAAATAACAAAAATTGATTTATTTGTTCTCATGTTAAGTTGTGAAAACATGATCCAAGTCTACTGACCTAAACTGACCTTTGACCTTGTGACCTGCAATTTGTGTCATATGATTTGTGATACTTGATAATCCTTGGGTACAAGTTTCATAGAATTTGAACAAACACTTTTGAAAATATGCTAAAAATTCAAAATCTTGATGTTGATGCCACAAAAAGTGTAAGTTTGTTGACCTAAAATAAATTTTGACCTTAACTTAGTGGCCTAGATTCTCCTCACATGATTGGGGATACTTGATTACCCTATAGTCCAAGTTTCATTGACTAAGAACTTATACTTTCAAAATTATATCAACAATTTAAAAACTTAACCTTAGGTTAAGTTTTCGATGATGATGCCACAACATAGTCTAAGTCTGTTGACCTGAAATAACCTTTGACCTTAACTTAGTGACCTAAATTCTACTCACATGATTAGGGATACTTGATTATCCTATAGTCCATGTTTCATTGACTAAGAACTTAAACTTTCAAAATTATATAAAAAATTCAAAAACTTAACCTTAGGTTAAGTTTTTGATGTTGACACCGTCACCGGAAAGCGGCGCCTATGTCTCGCTTTTCTTCTACGCAGGCGAGACAAAAATGCCATTCTGGATAGCAGATGGTTTAACATAGTTAAATACCTGAAGTTCTGGAGAGAAACATGCATGAATTGAAAAACATTACACAGTTCTAGTATAAATCTGCAATTTATTCTTCCAGTACCATAGTTACGGGAGCACTGGGAGGAGAGGTCAGATGTCGTTTTCCGATGGTTCATAAATAGGCCATTTTCGTAATGTAACCAAATTTAATACATAAGTCTTTGTGCAGTGCCTCAAAAAACACATAAGGACAGTACTTGACCTACCTAGCAACACTTACTATATGCAGTTTGTGTTCTGACTATTGAAATATTCTTATTCTTATCGGGTGAATGAAATAATTTGTATTGAGGCACTTCACAAAGACTTATGGATTAAATTTGGTTACATTGCGAAAATGGTATATTACATTGACCTATAGACAGGTTTACTAACACATTCACATTTTATGAATGTTTTTTTCCTGTGGACATAGTGACGAGTTATTCCATTAACCTGTTATTAATGAATGAACTGCAAAACTTGGAATGAAGTATGCATATATATATTATACATATATTACTTGTTGCTATGTCGGAGAGGCATCGGGCAAGCTTTCGGGTTGTAAAGAAAGGTATGCATACATTAGAATATCGTCTATTCCTAAGGTTCATAATTCCGAAAATTACGAAGAACCCTGAAAGTCTATCGTGTTTCTTTTCTTTGGAATAATGAATTCAACCTTCAAATTAATGAACCCTAGGCTAATTCACTTTCGGAGTAATGAACATTCGGATAAACGAAACTTCGAAATAACACCAAAAATGGTCGGAATAATGAAGAAAACATAAACAGAGACCAAAGGCGGGTAAAGGTAGAAGGGAACGAGAGGAGGGGGGTGGGGACGAGAAAAGAAGCCATTTTAGCCTCCCGAATTATTCCCTTAACCAGTAGCTTGGTAAATTCACATTCCGATTTTTGAATAAGACCGATGCCCCTCCGTCCATCGTACTATGTGATTACAAATACATAATGCCGGACACGTCTTTTTTAAAACATAACCTTGCCATCCTATCGCTGCATTTGAT